CGTAGGAAGGCGGACGTCCCGGGAGCCGCCGTCGAGGAACCCGGCAGCCCGATTGGACGTGCCCCGGTAGGCCGCAGTTGTAGCAGGTGACCCTTCCACTGCTGGACTGGGACGAAACAGACCTCGCCCGCCGCCGGTCGACCCGCCACCGATCGCCGTCACCCCGACGATTGCTGCTCCGCTGATGCGGCGAGCACGCGGGAGCAGGCTCCTCGTCCGAGTGGGCCCCGGGTTCCGCGGAAGACGTAGAGCATGCCACCAACACCCTGTCACGTTGCAGGGTCTACTGCGCCTGTATGCACCTGGTGATCTTGAGCAAAGACACCTTTCCGTCCTCGGCGGGGAGCACAGTATGAAGGTCTTTGGCGAGTCCCAACATCTTCTCGAGGACCAAGGAGTCAAGGCCGTCGTGGTCCATTTTCGGGGGGGTGTGTGGGGGATGTGTAGGGGGTGGAGGATGTGTGGAGGGGTGGGGGTGTGGAGGGGGGGAGATGTGTGGAGGGGGGGGGGATGTGTGGAGGTGGGGGGATGTGTGGTAGGGGGGTGTGTGTGGTGGGGGGGGGGGTGTAGGGGGGGGATGTGTGGTGGGGGGGGGGGTGTGTGGAGGAGGGGGATGTGTGGTGGGGGGGGGTGTGTGGAGGGGGGGGATGTGTGGTGGGGGGGGGGTGTGTGGAGGGGGGGGGATGTGTGGAGGGGGGGGGATGTGTGGAGGGGGGGGATGTGTGTAGGGGGTGAGGGATGTGTGGGGGTGGGGGGTGTGTGGAGGGGATGTGTGGAGGGGGTGGGGGATGTATGTGGGGGGTGGAGGATGTGTGGGGGGTGTGTGGAGGGGGGGGTGTGTGGAGGGGGGTGTGTGGAGGGGGGGGGGTGTGTGGAGGGGGGGGGGGATGTGTGGAGGGGGGGGGATGTGTGGGGGGTGGGGGATGTGTGGGGGGTGGGGGATGTGTGGGGGGTGGGGGGTGTGTGGGGGTGGGGGATGTGTGGGGGGTGGGGGATGTGTGGGGGGTGGGGGATGTGTGGAAGGGGGGGGATGTGTGGGGGTGGGGGATGTGTGGGGGATGTGTGGGGGGTGGGGGGTGTGTGGGGGTGGGGGATGTGTGGGGGGTGGGGGATGTGTGGGGGGGTGGGGATGTGTGGGGGGTGGGGGTGTGTGGGGGTGGGGGGTGTGTGGAGGGGGGGATGTGTGGGGGGTGGGGGATGTGTGGGGGGTGGGGGATGTGTGGGGGATGTGTGGGGGGTGGGGGGCGTATGGGGGGTGGGGGTGTGTGGAGGGGGGGGATGTGTGGGGGGTGGGGGATGTGTGGGGGGTGGGGGATGTGTGGGGGGTGGGGGATGTGTGGGGGGTGGGGGATGTGTGGGGGTGTGTGGGGGGTGGGGGATGTGTGGGGGGTGGGGGATGTGTGGGGGGTAGGGGGTGTGTGGGGGGTGGGGGGTGTGTGGAGGGGGGGGGGGTGTGTGGAGGGGGGGGATGTGTGTGGGGGTGGGGGATGTGTGGGGGGTGGGGGATGTGTGGGGGGTAGGGGGTGTGTGGGGGTGGGGGGTGTGTGGAGGGGGGGGTGTGTGGGGGTGGGGGGTGTGTGGAGGGGGGGATGTGTGTGGGGGGTGGGGGGATGTGTGGGGGGGGTGGGGGATGTGTGGGGGGGTGGGGATGTGTGGGGGGTGGGGGATGTGTGTGGGGGGTGGGGGATGTTGTGGGGGGTGGGGGATGTGTGGGGGTTGGGGGATGTGTGGGGGGTGGGGGATGTGTGGGGGGTGGGGGATGTGTGTGGAGGGGTGGGGGATGTGTGTGGGGGGTGGGGGATGTGTGGGGGGTGGGGGATGTGTGGGGGGGTGGGGGATGTGTGTGGGGGGTGGGGGATGTGTGGGGGGTGGGGGGTGGGGGATGTGTGGGGGGTGGGGGATGTGTGGGGGGGGTGGGGGATGTGTGTGGGGGGTGGGGGATGTGTGGGGGGTGGGGGGTGGGGGATGTGTGGGGGGGTGGGGATGTGTGGGGGGGTGGGGATGTGTGTGGGGGGTGGGGGATGTGTGGGGGGTGGGAGGTGGGGGATGTGTGGGGGGTGGGGATGTGTGGGGGTGGGGGGGTGGGGGGTGTGTGGGGGGTGGGGGGTGTGTGGGGGGTGGGGGATGTGTGGGGGGTGGGGGGTGTGTGGGGGGTGGGGGGTGTGTGGGGGTGAGGGGTGTGTGGGGGTGGGGGGTGGGGGTGTGTGGGGGGTGGGGGGTGTGTGGGGGGTGGGGGATGTGTGGGGGGGTGGGGGATGTGTGGGGGGTAGGGGGTGTGTGGGATGGGGGGTGTGTGGAGGAGGGGGGTGTGTGGGGGGTGGGGGTGTGTGGGGGTGGGGGGTGTGTGGAGGGGGGGGATGTGTGGGGGGTGGGGGATGTGTGGGGGGTGGGGGGTGTGTGGGGGGTGGGGGATGTGTGTGGAGGGGGGGGGTGTGTGGAGGGGGGGAGTGTGTGGGGGGTGGGGGATGTGTGGGGGGGTGGGGGATGTGTGGGGGGTGGGGGATGTGTGGGGGGGTGGGGGATGTGTGTGGGGGGGTGGGGGATGTGTGGGGGGTGGGGGATGTGTGGGGGGGGTGGGGGATGTGTGTGGGGGGTGGGGGATGTGTGGGGGGTGGGGGGTGGGGATGTGTGGGGGGTGGGGGATGTGTGGGGGGGGTGGGGGATGTGTGTGGGGGGGGGGGATGTGTGGGGGGTGGGGGTGGGGGATGTGTGGGGGGGTGGGGGATGTGTGGGGGGGTGGGGATGTGTGTGGGGGATGTGTGGGGGATGTGTGGGGGGTGGGGGATGTGTGGGGGGTGGGGGATGTGTGGGGGGTGGGGGGGTGGGGGTGTGTGGGGGGTGGGGGGTGTGTGGGGGGTGGGGGATGTGTGGGGGGGTGGGGGGTGTGTGGGGGGTGGGGGGTGGGGGTGTGTGGGGGGTGGGGGGTGGGGGGTGTGTGAGGGGTGGCGGGTGTGTGGGGGGTGGGGGGTGGGGGGTGTGTGGGGGTGGGGGGTGTGTGGGGGGTGGGGGATGTGTGGGGGGGTGGGGGATGTGTGGGGGGTAGGGGGTGTGTGGGGGTGGGGGGTGTGTGGAGGGGGGGGGGTGTGTGGGGGTGGGGGGTGTGTGGAGGGGGGGGGGATGTGTGGGGGGTGGGGGGTGTGTGGGGGTGGGGGGTGTGTGGAGGGGGGGGGATGTGTGGGGGGTGGGGGATGTGTGGGGGGGGGGGTGTGTGGGGGGTGGGGGGATGTGTGTGGAGGAGGGGGATGTGTGGAGGGGGGGATGTGTGTGGGGGGTGGGGGATGTGTGGGGGGGTGGGGGATGTGTGGGGGGGTGGGGATGTGTGGGGGGTGGGGGATGTGTGTGGGGGGGTGGGGGATGTGTGGGGGTGGGGGATGTGTGGAGGGGTGGGGGATGTGTGGGGGGTGGGGGATGTGTGGGGGGTGGGGGATGTGGGGGGTGGGGGATGTGTGGGGGGTGGGGGATGTGTGTGGGGGGTGGGGGATGTGTGGGGGGTGGGGGATGTGTGGGGGGGGTGGGGGATGTGTGTGGGGGGTGGGGGATGTGTGGGGGGTGGGGGATGTGTAGGGGGTGGGGGATGTGTGGGGGGGGGTGGGGGATGTGTGTGGGGGGTGGGGGATGTGTGGGGGTGGGGATGTGTGGGGGGTGGGGGATGTGTGGGGGGGTGGGGGATGTGTGTGGGGGGTGGGGGATGTGTGGGGGGTGGGGGGTGGGGATGTGTGGGGGGTGGGGGATGTGTGGGGGGTGGGGGGGTGGGGGGTGTGTGGGGGGTGGGGGGTGTGTGGGGGGTGGGGGATGTGTGGGGGGTGGGGGGGGTTGTGGGGGGTGGGGGGTGTGTGGGGGGTGGGGGTGTGTGGGGGTAGGGGGTGGGGGGTGTGTGGGGGGTGGGAGGTGTGTGGGGGGTGGGGGATGTGTGGGGGGGTGGGGGGTGTGGGGGGGGTGGGGATGTGTGGGGGGTGGGGGGTGTGTGGGGGGTGGGGGGTGGGGGGGGTGTGTGGGGGGTGGGGGGTGTGTGGGGGGTGGGGGGTGGGGGGTGTGTGGGGGGTGGGGGGTGGGGGGTGTGTGGGGGGTGGGGGGGTGTGGGGGGGTGGGGGATGTGTGGGGGGGTGGGGGATGTGTGGGGTGTGGGGGTGTGTGGGGGGTGGGGGATGTGTGGGGGGTGGGGGATGTGTGGGGGGGTGGGGGATGTGTGGAGGGGATGTGTGGGGGGTGGGGGATGTGTGGGGGGGTGGGGGATGTGTGGGGGGGGTGGGGATGTGTGTGGGGGGTGGGGGATGTGTGGGGGTGGGGGGTGGGGATGTATGGGGGGTGGGGGATGTGTGGGGGGTGGGGGGTGGGGGGTGTGTGGGGGGTGGGGGATGTGTGGGGGGTGGGGGGTGGGGGTGTGTGGGGGGTGGGGGGTGGGGGGTGTGTGGGGGGTGGGGGGTGTGTGGGGGGTGGGGGATGTGTGGGGGGGTGGGGGATGTGTGGGGTGTGGGGGGTGTGTGGAGGGGGGGATGTGTGGGGGGTGGGGGATGTGTGGGGGGGTGGGGGATGTGTGGAGGGGGGGATGTGTGGGGGGTGGGGGGTGGGGGGTGTGTGGGGGGTGGGGGATGTGTGGGGTGTGGGGGGTGTGTGTGGGGGGTGGGGATGTGTGGGGGGTGGGGGATGTGTGGGGGGGTGGGGGATGTGTGGAGGGGGGATGTGTGGGGGGTGGGGGTGGGGGGTGTGTGGGGGTGGGGATGTGTGGGGGGTGGGGGATGTGTGGGGGGGTGGGGGATGTGTGGAGGGGGGGATGTGTGGGGGGTGGGGGATGTGTGGGGGGGTGGGGGATGTGTGGGGGGGTGGGGGATGTGTGTGGGGGGTGGGGGATGTGTGGGGGGTGGGGGGTGGGGGGTGTGGGGGGTGGGGGGTGTGTGGAGGGTGGGGGGTGTGTGGGGGGTGGGGGGTGTGTGGAGGGTGGGGGGTGTGTGGGGGGTGGGGGATGTGTGGGGTGTGGGGGGTGTGGGGGGGTGGGGCACGCGGGAACGCGCGCGCTCCGCGTGACGTCACTACCGGGATATCCGAAAGCGCGCCGCTTCGCCCGCCGCCATTTCTGCTGCCCCCATCTGCATCTGCAGTGTTCGCTTCCAGCCAGGTAGGTTGCTGCCATCCGTCATCATCCTTGCCGCGGGAACCCTCAGTACGGGACCGCCGATTATTGTCGATGGGTTTAGAATCCCTTCGACGCGATGCCGCGCTAATTCCTCGGGGATTTCACCCTCGATTCGCGTGCGAGGCGCGGGCGGAGGGGGACCCACGGGCGCTCTTCACTGGGCCCGGTTGGAATGGCGCCCTTTTTTCCCCCCATCATCGCGACCACCGTCACGGTTGTCTTTTCCGCTCTCGATACCGTTACCATTACAACCGGTATTGGCGCACGAACATTAATGGGAGTCGTGCCGAGCAAGCTCTCATACCTGCTGCTAGAATCTGCGAGGCGGCTCTATAGACGCCGCAGTTTGTTGATCAGGACTAGGCCGCCATTCAAACTCGGGCCCTCCAGCCTTGCCTGGTCGTTCAGCCTGCCCGCGGGGCGCCCTGGTCCCGCACCACCCTCGCGGCCTGGAGCTTGTTGCGGCTTTGTGGTTGTCGTGGGGAGCCGCTGCTTTGGATGGGTTTTGTGTGGCGTTGGGCCGTGGCCCCGGGTCTGGGCGCTCTGGCAAAGGCGGGAAGTGGATTCACTGCCTGTGGTGAATGGAGTTGAGTGTAACGTAATTTAGGCGGTAAAAAGTGAAGTGCGACCTATACACGTGAATGGCTATTTGTAGATACGTAACTTGTCCGACTCTAGTGTAATTGAGGGAAAATCTAAAGTTGCGCCCATGTGCTCCATTGTAGTACGGGCGGTAATGTAACTGAAATTAAATGCGTTAAACCGTACGGTAGGATGGCACATGTCACAATATAACGTTATAATAACGCGATTGACTTAACCAAAGTGTTTATTTCGTACAGGCCTATGTGCTGTAGCTACAATATGTTTTGGTTTAATCGTCCCCTGCTGTCTTAACGGTATTTAACATCCTACATCTGTGGTGCAGGTGATATAAAGTATGGCTGCACACGAGGAACCCCAAGTACAGTTCAAGGCAAGTGGCTACACAGCGTCTTAATTTCTCGCATTTTCTACATTGGGGTCACTTCAGCCGTTAAGACATCATCGGTGTGAGGGCCGCTACACATTTGAAACCAATGGGGTGTGACGGCACGATGGGGATATTTTCACATTTGTGTATCGGGGGCCGCATTAAAGGCCACCAGGAGCCGCCAGTAGCCCCCGCGGCCCTTAACAATAAAGAACACTGGGGTATGATGTTTGTTATCTCCACGTGGAATAAGGGGGAGTAGTTGGGGAGCAGTGACGCGGCTGAAGTGCCTCGTGTGACGAAACCGTGTGGGCGAATGTGACCCGGTGTGCCGTCGCCACAAGCTGAAGGAGGAGGGCCCCCGACTCGATCATACTTCCCCTGTGGCAGCACCGTAGTACCGGATGGGGTTTCGATAGCCCACGACGTGTAAGCTGCTCCGATGGGCTGTTGAGTAGAACCCCGAGTGCTCTTGTCATCCCACGTGGCCAAAAAAAACAATGCCATTTGGGCAAACCTTTCAATTCAGGAGCTTTTTTTTAGGAAAAAAGTGAGACTTGTGCTTGAATGGTTTTGTTTTTTTGTGTATCATTATGGGTGGTTTTGCCAACAGTTGGTGCTGGTAGGAGATGGAGGTACCGGCAAGACCACATTTGTGAAACGCCACCTCACGGGAGAGTTTGAGAAGAAGTATGTTGGTAAGTAACCCTTCTCTGCTAGACGTGTACTGAAAGCATCATTTCGCTTAATGATTCAAATGTTCCTGATGCACCGAGTCGCCCCTCAAAAAAGGGCTGCTTTGCTCAAAGAATGGGTTTTGCTTGGGAAATAACGTTTTAATTCAGTAAAAATATTAAAACCTCTGAAATTGTTAATTAAGCTGATAATTACAAATGAGAGAACTAAGTAATACAAATATCGTAAAAATGACTAGATTATGAAATCAAACCGCAACCCCATTTTCTGACACTTGGTCAAATTGAAGGGGGTAGGGGTTAGTTTTCTACTGAAGGCATTTGCCTGTTTGCTGAGTGAATCTGCAGTCGTGTTCAACCTGTAGTCCATGTGCTAGAGCCAATATTGTTACCATCTAAGGCAGGAGTCGGGCAACCTGTGGCTCCAGAGCCGCATGATGCTCTTTACGAACTGCTCTGTGACAGGATGTGTTAACTCATTCAACGTGTTTTATCACAATTCACTTTTCTTGGCTACATCAGGAAATTTAAACTACAAAAGATGTTCCCAACTGAGGTGGTACTCACAAATGCAATGTCACTATTGGGAGAAAAATGGTGATCAGTGCTGACTGCGGGTTCTCTCCACAGCTACACTGGGCGTGGAGGTGCATCCCCTGGTGTTTCATACCAACCGTGGCGCTATAAAATTCAACGTGTGGGACACAGCTGGCCAGGAAAAGTTTGGTGGCCTGCGTGACGGTTACTACATCCAGGGTGTGTCTTTGTTTCCAATATTAACTTCATCTTCTGCAAATGGATTGAAAAGCGTTGTATAAATGTGCAGGACCATTGAGAGTTGGGTCAAAATAAATACAACATTAAGACTGCAAGTAAAGTTTGAAGCTGTGGTATAAAAAGGAAAAAAAGCACTTGACTGAACTTAATGAAAAATTTTGGAGCTTGAAAATCAAAAAATATGCTTTGATTTTAAACACATCTTATAATAAATGTTATTAAGTTGGAAAATTCAACCATTTTGGTTTAAGCTTGAAGAACCTTGCACATTTCAACTTAGTGTGTGCTCCCCTAGGTCAGTGCGCCATCATCATGTTCGACGTGACGTCACGTGTGACATACAAGAACGTGCCGAACTGGCACCGTGACTTGGTGCGGGTTTGTGAGAATATCCCCATCGTCCTGTGCGGCAACAAGGTGGACATCAAGGACCGAAAAGTAAAGGCCAAGGCCATTGTCTTCCACCGCAAGAAAAACCTACAGGTTTGTACATTGCTCAACACCTGAATGGCCAACTCCTGGAATGTTTATCAAATCTTTCCAAAGTTGAAAGAGTGAATATCGGTTAGCTGTGACATGGTATTATGGTAACGCTCTTTAAGATTTACTCAATATAAAAAAAAAACATTTAGGATGACAGTGACATAAGATGGTGTCATTACATGACATTTCATACTGCAAAAAAAACACGTGACTTTTGCTTTGTTTAAATTCACATGTTCATGGAATGTTACAGGCCATGCTTAACGATCTCTTCATTTCCATTCAGTATTATGACATCTCGGCCAAGAGCAACTACAACTTTGAGAAGCCGTTCCTGTGGCTGGCGCGCAAGCTGATTGGAGACCCCAACCTGGAGTTTGTGGCCATGCCTGCGCTGGCCCCACCGGAGGTGCAGATGGACCCCCAGCTGGTGGCACAGTACGAGGAAGACCTCAAGGTAAGGGGGTGGTGGGGCAAGCATCTACCTGATCGTTTTTACATTGGACACAGTCTGGGCTAATGCAATGATTTGGGATGGCTGCACAGATCTCACGGGTGTGTGGCTTCTCGTGCAGGTTGCCCAGGCGACCGCTTTGCCCGACGAAGAAGATGACCTGTGACCTCCGTGTGCATCACCACCGGCAAGCTCGTCTCGCGCGTGCGGTCTAGTTCTATAGGCGGCAGCATCCCGGCCTCTCCTCCACTGCAGCTGGTTCATGCCCACCACACACGACACGGCGTCTAGCCCATGAGCGTTGAAACTCCCCTTCCTTACAAAAGCAACGAACTCTAGTTTCAGCTTTCACAATGCATGAAACATGCTCCCCGCCAACAGGTGTGGTATTTGCTTAATAATTTTAACATATTTGCAAGGTTCGGGTATTTAAAATCTGTTGGAAACATGACTAGCAACAGCCCTGAGTAAACGCGGAAGCTGTAGTACTTGTAGAGCATTGCGAATTATCGATTATCCACTGTAACAATTTGCTCAATGTGAGATTATTTTATGTTGTAGACGGATTCTGGATCAGTGTTGTATGCGTCATGTGGTTCATTTCTCAAGTTATTAAACTCTTACCATTGTCAACAGTCCAACATTTTTTTTGTTTGTCGAGACAAGGTGCAAAAATGCCTTAAATGTGTGGGGGGAAAAGTGAAATGTTTAAATTCCAAACGAAGAGGTAATTTTCTGCCCTGGGCTATATATCCTGAGTGGATTGTGGCAATAATATTAAACTTGCTTCCTGACAGACTTGTTTAACTAGTGGACTGAAAAAGATAATACATTTAGTTGCCACAGAAAGTGCCATTTACACGGTTTGTGTAAAAGCTCTTGGAATTGCACCTTGGTTAATCCGGGTGACTGTTTTAAAGCAACCCTGCGTTATCTGTTGGACTGACAGCAGCATATGGCCCAAATTTGATACAACTGGTCATTGGAACATGCACCTCATAGCCAGTTTGTTTTTGTTATATTTGTTTGGGAGTGTTTTGTATCAACTTGGTTTGCTCTGCGAATAAAAATGCTGTGGAATAAATTGTTAACCTTTTGACAGATGAGTGTGAAAGTGCACGCAGATAAACTGTTGACTGCATGTGTTCCACAGGTACATACCTGTGCTTGCATGAGAACTGCCCCATGTCAACTTCCACAATAGAATTTGCAGAGCTGTCTTTGTAACCCTTACACTTGTTTCGTGCAATGCGGAATACAAGTAGAAACTAAACGGCAACAACATTCTTATTGTTTTCTTTAATTAAAGGGTTCAGATCCATTGTGGTATGCACACATTAAATAATCTCATTCTAACCAGTCCAGTGCATTTACAAGTGAATGCTGGTCCCTTTTTAATACTAATTACAACTGGCTAACATTTTCCCTACAAAGCCAGTAATGCAAAGGATATGAAATGTTTCAATATTTAGTTTTACTTCCAGTCAAATGGGCATTGGAACCAATTCCCAACTTAAGAGGCCTTAACTACAAGGACTGGGTGAGCTCCCATTTTCTCCACTCCACTGCTGGGTCCAACACCAGATGGAGGGGTCTCTTCAGAGATGGAAATTAGGCCCTTATTTACCTGCAATACTATATATAGTCTACAGTTTGTGTAACTTTCATATACAGTACACAATATACATGAGATTTGGGCCTTTCAGCATGACACAAAGCTGCATTAGTGTCCAAAACATTAAATATTTGTTCTTTGTAAATAAACAATTCTATTAATTATTTCAAATCAAATTTTATCTCCCATCAGAAAGATTAAATAAACAATAGTGCCAACATAGTTACATTCAAGACAGTATTTGACAAGTGCCAATGTAACTAGAACCATGGCAAACAATACTTAAAAAGTCTGGCCTTATAAAAATTGTACACCACTGAAAACAGTAGAAACCAATGCTAGTACTCCACACTGGTGAGAAATTACACGTGCTATGAAGAATGCTCAAATCTGGTAATCACAAGTCAAAAACAATTGCACTGGAAAATTAGGTGTCATCTCCCACGTGCAGGCTTGACAACCCTCGCTGGAAGATGAGCAATAGGCTGAATGCAAGGTCGTGAACTGGCACACAGACGGGGTGGGTATCTACATCATCCTGGGTGGATTTTGCTATCCTTAGATGTTGCAAGCATATTCTGAATGATTACTTTAGTTTGTAAACAGAAACGGTAACCTATGTTTATGGCAAAAGCTTATGCAACACATTTCAAATCTAAATGTTGGGTATAACTTGGTTTTATTATTAAAAAATAAAAAGTAAAAAAAAAAACCCTTGGCTACGCACATTTAATAACGTTACCGTCTAGGATCAGTAGGATGACCTAAAGTCACATGTGCAAACCTCAGAAGACGTAAAATAGACCTTTACAATAAAAACCACTGAATAAAAAAAAAAACTTGCACAAAACTACTCGCCCTTCAGTATCTCAAAGCAGCAAGACGGAACCATGTCCACACTAGCCAAAGCTCTTCACGACTGCTAATACTGTCAGTCCCTTGCACAACTAATTTGATCAGAACATATTTTGACTCAAGCCGACGCCAAACCTCCGTCTCTCCACAAAAGCATAATCCTTATTCCTTTTGTGTTCACCTCCAATTTCGGCAGCTACTCATTGTGTGTATTTCACTGTTTAAAATGTGACAACTGGACTCGGGTTCCGTGAAGCGCAGTCAGAGGTAGGTCTCCTCCATCGCACAGGAAATACGTCCTGTGCTCTGCACCACTGAGCTGGGCTCTGGCTCGGGGATGTTGGGGTCCGGATGAGCAGGTTTCTGCGAGGTTGCTGGAGAGATGTCCCGTGAGGAGCCAGGCCTAGCACCTGGCGACGTTGGCATTGCTGCCGCGCGTAGTTTGGCAGATGCCGGGCTGAGGGGTGGTTTTTTATTGTCCTTGACGGGCGAGAGTGTGATTTGCGGAATGCGGATGCCCCCGCTGGGTAACTTCACTTTGTCTTTGCTTGTTGACGGAGACGCCACTTTGGGTTCCGGGGTGCGTGGGCTTTTGTCTTGGACAATTGGCGAGGACGACCGTCGTTGCTGCTCTTGCTGCACGCTTGATGGGCTGCTCGTTTCGGGTACTGTCACCTTGATTTTGGGGATGTCGATGTGATCAGCCGAAGGTGTGTCTTTGGATTTTTCCTCCTTTTCCTTACCTTTCTGTTTCATGCCCTCCACTTCCTTGCCTTTGGGGATTTTCTTTGCCATTTCCCTCTCTCTCACTTGCTCTTGTTCCAGCTCCTTCGCTCTCTGCCTGTCCAGCTCCTTTTGCTTGGCCGTCTGCTTTTCTAGCTCCTTTGCCCTCTGCCTCTCCTGCTCTCTCCACCGGGCTCGCTCTTTCTCTTCCTCCTTTTCCATCCGCTTCCTCTCCTTCTCGTTCTCCTTGTCTCTGTTCCGCAGGATGCGCTGGAGCTCTTTCTCCCGGAACATGGATACTGACAAAACCACAAAACAAGCATCAACTCCACTTCGTAGTTCACTAGACATGCCAATGACTCCACACGGCACGCTCTACTCACTCCACAGGACCCAATACACAGGCACCATGGAGTGCTCACCGCACATGGAATTTGCTTTTTCATATCAAGGAATACTCGCTGCCCACTGCATGGTGGTAGTGAGTACGGGCAGTCCTCGGCTTACGAACCTAATTCGTTCGAACGGTTCGTAGGTTGGAACACAATGCATTGTATTTAAATGCTCATATAGTCAGCATTATGAAATATGCTATAGTCCAACAAAGAGAGAGGCATTGTTAAACTCGTAATTAAATATTGTACATGTGCATGCAACATTAAAAAAAATACTGCATAGTACGTAACAAATCAAAAAAAAAAATTCACTGACCTTGAGTCCTGATGCTGGCTTGCTTGTCGTAAGGGGGGCAATGAGTCACCACAATTGCACACACACAGGGCACGCGCGCACCCACAAGCACACAACAAGACAAAGATCCCCCGTATAGCCTCAACAGACTTGGGGCAAGTGCTGTTAGCGAGTACCACCTATGAAGGCCAGCACGGCACACGAGGGGGTGGGTGGACAGCACCACGCCCGGCCGCCTTTGTCTCCCCAGTGGGGATATTTACACATCGCACCAGGTACTCATTTGAGGCCGAGTCGACCTAGGGGAGACCCACGACCGGTTCAGAGAATCGTAACTGGTGTTGGCCATGAGCAAAAATTTAACTCGGTTGGCCGGGTTTGTAGCGCTGCACGCTAACCGCTACACTACCGCTCCCCACACACACTCCAACGACTGAACCACCGTATGGCCTTAACAGGGTGTTGGGGCAAGCGCTATTGGGAGTAGCAATTATGAAGGCCGGCATGGCACATGAGGGGGTAAGTGGCCAGCGCCATGCCCGGCTGCCTTTGTCTCCCTAGTTGCAATGTTTACACACTGAACCAGGTACTCTTTTGAGGCTGAGGCGACCTAGGGGAGCCCCGGGTCCTATTCAGATAATCACACTTTGGTCGCCAGGATGGTAGCACAGCACGCTAACCATTGCATTATCGCTCCCTCCCCACACTTGCTCACAAAGACCCCCCAATCCGTATAGCCTTAGACTAGGAGCAAGTGCTGTTAGGGAGTAGCAATTATGAAGGCCGGAACAGTACACGAGTGGGTGGCCAGCACCACGCCCGAACGCCTTTGTCTCCCTAGTGATGATGTTTATACATTGCACTGGGTACTAATTTAAGGCTCAATCGACCTAGGTAGGCTCAGGACTGGTTCAGATAATCGTTACTGGTGTTAGCCGTTAGCAAGACGCACCATTTTGGCACACATGCGTGCATACACGTGCACACGAACACTCCCAGCGCGATGCCGACTCAATTACATCTTGTGGAGAAGGATCGCTCCTCTGAAGAAAATAGTTCTATGGTTCAGTTTGCAAGTGCAACTTCGCATTGTAAGTTAGCGTTTTTTAATATTTCATGGATGCTGGTTCATAAGTGCGGGGGGCGTTTGTATGTCGAGGACTTCCTGTACATGACAATCTCACTGCACAGGACTCAACTCCACAAGGCACTCATACTAACCTTACATCATAAAATGTTGGCATTGCAAGACAATGAAATCACAGTAAATAGGGTAGTAAACATTTGTAAATGGTGATGGTTAGCATATGGATTTATAAAGTAAATAATTTATATCCCTTGCCATTCCAATGCTGGATGAAGGCCTCTCTAAGCCGTGTTTGGCCATGGAAGTTGTCTGACCAGACTTCACCACCGCTCCATCTTAAAGGGCATGATTGTTAATCCAATTATCTCAATTCAGGTAATTGAGAAAGCCAATCAAATCAAGTTGTCACGTGGGCAAATATGTAGATAGATTTGGTTTATTATCAAGATCAGAATGTTAAAAGGTCAGGCTAAATTGTAACAACTTTACAGGTGGCGCGAGCGGGTAGGGGTGCCAACTCACTCTTGCCACGCCTCTGGCTCATGGTGCTCATGGTGCTGAGCGTGCTGAGCGTGCTGGTGATGCTCGGCGTCGGCGAGGGAGGCGGCGAGTAGCCCGTCGTCTCCTTGTGGTGGGCGCGCCGCGCCAGGCGCAGTGCCTCGCGCTGGAACTCCAGCTCCTGGCGGACGGCGCGAGCCCCGTGCAGGCGGTGCGTCGACGAGTGGCTCGGCTCCCCGCGCGACTCGATCCAGCGCTGCAGCTGCACCGCGTGCTCCTTCTCGATGTCCATCTCCGAGATGTCCAGCTCCAGGATCTTAAAAAAAAAGTGTTTATTTTCAACGAGCACAGAAAGGCCAGGAACCAGGGTGCACCGCCGTTCAGACGACCACACAAATTTGTGTAATAGGGACCGCACCCCCCAAGTTGTGATCTAGAAAACAACAGAATAGCTAGTAAGATGGAAGGCGAGATAGAACAGTGAAAGCGTGATGGGCGGAAGAGGTTCAAAATCAGGAACAAGATGACAAAAGGAGACCACATCCTTCTATATATCAGCCGTGTGCTATCTCTGCAAAAGCCCTAAGATGTTCAAGAGTGGATATTTTGAGCATTAGATTCAGCAAGTGCTCAATTGTAAGAGACGATACGTCAGTAATTTTTACCTGTAATCATAGGGATCACCATTAGGTACCCTAAATGATTTGCCCCAAATTTAGAAGACATTATCCAGAGCAGAATAAGTGTAGGAAACCACCTCCTGTAGCTGTATATAATCATTATTAGCCATGATCAATTACAGTAACCGCTCAATGTTAAGCCATCGCCACCTCTCACAGTATTGTAAAATATGACTAATAAGGTCACTGTTGTAGAACTCCCGAATATCATCATGCATCACTAGATGACACCTCAGCCATTCTGATTCTTCTGATCTTTTCAGTCCGATCAAAACCTTGAGTATAACATATTTACAAATACACAAATGAAACCTCTCACCGCCCACGTGTGCGTTTCCCTGGGTTGCGCAACCCCATGGTTGTTTCCCCTACGTCAGTGTTTGGATGATGGCAATGCTGCAGTTACTGCTGCCCATTAGGCCAACGATCTCTGCTGAGAGTGGAGATGTCTGGGGAGAGAGGAGATGTCTGGAGAGAGCGGAGCTGACCCGATGTCGCAGTGGGCAGAGGGCCTACGTACCGCTCGCACGAGGTACTCCTCGTGCAGCTGCTCATGAGGGATGTTCTTCAACTGCTCCATGGTCTCGTAGAGGCCCGGGCACATGCGCACCCTCTCCGAGCTGCCGAGCGCGTGGCGCAGCAGTACCAGCCCCACGCGGAACATCGTCTTGACGCCTGCCCACGCATGCACGCGCACACACGTGTCCGCACAGTTATTTAGAAATGGCTGATGACCAGGTGAGAGTAGTCCACACAGGCAAAAAGTGTGGCTTCTGAAGGAAAATCTGGCTTGCCGTGCAAATACAAGCTAAAATTTCCATGATGATAAATATTTACAGTGGAAAATAAAACCACCGAAGAATAAACGAGTATGGAGCAAATGATTCACCAGCTCCAATATTTCATGGACTTTAACCAATAATTTGGAGTTGTGATATTATTCAAGTAAATCTTTTTCTTTTTTATGAATTAAGGTTTTACCGTAATGTCGACCAATGCATCATACACGTCTGACAAACTCGTAAACAATGTTTGTACTTGGGCAAACATCAATCAGTACTGAGCATCACCAAGTGGGAATGCAATCATAGGGGTAATCGAGATTAAGAATGAGTCGGAGGTCGACAGGCAAGAGGATTATAGGGTGTAATTACATTTACAACTCTATGGTCTAAAGTGTTATAAACTTTCGAATCACGAACAATTTTAAGCTTATACTCCGATTGTAAGAATCCAGGTCAACACATCGGTGAATCGCTATGTCCCCACAATTACCCGTGCAGGAACCATGAGCGGCCGTGGAGCTCCTCCACTGCCCTGCGCCACCGCACATCAACACCACACCGTCCCCCAGGTGTGCGCGGGTTAAACGACCGGCGCCACCACTCGCCCACCCACCCACCTTCGCAGAAGAACATGTCCCAGACGCGCAGCACCGAGTCCCAGGGCAGTGTGCGCGAGAAGACGCACATGAACCACTCTGTCATGTAGAGCACGGGGTCCACGCTGTGCCATTTCAGGTGGCGGTAGCCAATGAGCGACACCTTCCGCAGCAGCGCAAAGAGGATCTCGCCGTCCAGCTGCAGCGACTCCTGCATGGGGGGCGATGGTGGGGGGGGGGGGCAGGATGACGACGCATGCACATGCGATCAGTGGGTGTGTGTGCGCGTGCAGGCATTGTGTGCCAGTGCATATACGTGGAGTGGCCATCTGAGACTCGGTTTGGAGACGATGTGCCAGAGTGTGGGGGTGTGCAGAAAAGTAGAGCGAGTGTGCGCACACTGTAGAACGAGTGTGCGAGAACGTAGGCGTGGGACAGCTTGTAAATGTGTAGCTGGCGTGCAAGTGTGTAGACGGTGTGCAAGACGACAGATGTGGAGTGGGAGAGCGAGTGCACGAGGTGTGTAACCAGTGCGTGCGCTTCAAGCATGCACGCAGGTCTAGCCAGCAAGTGAGCGGGTAGGTGTGGAGTGGGCGAGCGAGATAGATGGTGTGTAATGGGTCAGCGAGCATGAAAGCGTGCGAGTATGTAGTTATGCCAATACTGGGCGTGGCACGTGCAGGATAGCGACTGTGTTACCGAATCACCAGCAGAGGTCCTCAACTCACCAGCCCAGCACTGTAGTAACCCGGAAGGTATTTCTCGCAGATCTGCACAAAGCACCAGAATGCTTCCTGCAAAGGCAGCAAACGCAGTCTCACACATGGAGCCTTACTCAGTTCAGCAGCAGCAGCAGTTATAAAGTCAACGACAGAGGTGGAAAATCTGAGGGAGAGTGGGGCCGGGTGCGGTGCCCAACCTCGGCCGGCATGTGCATGAGCAGCACGGCGGCGACCGGGGCCTGTCCCTGGCAGTACCCCTCCTCTGGGCGGTAGACGGTGTAGGCCTTGAGCACGCGGAACAGGTCCTGTTGCCTAGGTGACGACACAGCACACGCAGAGCAAACGGTAAACGACAGACGTGCGGATACCTGACAAGCCTCACCTGTACCACCAATTAATGAACACAAACAATAAAACTAGCAAGAAAGTAGTCCAGCTGCAGTGCTGCACGCCGCGTGCCTCGCATAACCGGGTGTAACATTTTATGGAACAGGTTTTACGCGCCGTCACGAAAATACTTCAAGATGGTTAAATAACGTCAATCATTTGTAAAACTGCTTTGAACCAAAAACAAATATTTCGCCCGCTAGTGTGTTATGGGGTTGTACCGTGTGTTGTACGGCGTGACGTCCGTATCGCCCCACGTGCTGGGAGCTTATGCAGTTAGCCCAACCATGAACACCTACGTGGTAGCAAGTCTTTTGACTCGAGACACAAATAGCCACATCCGCGGCTCATAACCTTGATTGCATCACCCAATAAAACATTTGTATTATGCCAGTGGGCACAAAGACTGAAGATGTGTAAGGGCTGACTGTGCTTAAATAAATGCAAACCCTCTCGGACCACACCAGAGAGGTCACGCTGAGTTGAGTGTCAGATGTGCCAACATTAATTGCACGAATAATTGCTTCTATGTACAACTCGCATTTATAAGCAGGTATAAAACCTCACCATTCACGATTTTATGATGCAATTAATTTATTCAAAAATCTGTAATTTTTTACTCCAAGTAACATTTAACATGTCCACAAGCGAGACAATCGATTTCTTATTGACGAGTCGACGCGTCGTTACACGTCCGTTCCCCAAGTCAGGCAAACGTGACATCCGCACACGGCAAAACCCAGCGCAGAAAATCCGGCGAGCGGAGCACGTGATGCTGGAGCTCGGGACCCACCCCTGGCCTCCCTTGGCACGGAAGAGCTCGTGGAAGGGGAACTGTCGGTGCAGGTCCTTCTGGATGACCTCCAGCCACTTGGGGTCCCCAGGTAGCTTATCCAATTCCTGCGGAGACGAGCCACATACACGGGACACTCGTTAACGTTGGCTCGGCTCAAAGGGTGATTAGACATGGCCACTAAAGAGCAAAGATTCGATTTTCTATAACCTCCAATGTCAGAGGTAGCTCGGTAAGATCTGCTTCGATGACCTCTTCTCTTACACAACAAGTCACACTGGTCTGCGAGAGATGCAAATGGTTACTTCATATCATTACATGATGCCAATAGCACAAGTTCCATGAACTGGGGCAAGATTACAAAATTTTATTTTTTAAATGCAGCCTTATGAAGATAGTCCACTCCAGTCAGTGTCTTAGGGGTCAAAGTTATGAGCTGGCACCAACGAGGTCATAGGTTCAACTCTGGGTTTCGGCCACCTGTGATGAAACTGAGTTGTGAGAAGATCATCTTAGTCCGGTCACCAATGCCAATACAACAAAAACCAAACCATTTAATTGCGTCTTTCTCGTTGTCAAAATTTTTGCACCGACAGTTAAACATTTCAATTTGATTGAAATGCAAAGAAGACTATTTGAAGAGCATATAAAGCATGTGCCCATAGCATGCACAAATGGACTGAATGAAATAACCTCTGAAGTCGTTCTGTGATCCTTCTTCTTGGTTCTTTTGGTAAAGTCACGTAGAAGGGAAATAATAAAATAATATAAATTAAACATAATAAAATAATTGTCACGACGTTTCGGCCACAACGCAAGCAGCTGTCCTCAGGTGAAGAACAGGTCTGTCGGAAAGACAGCGTCTGAATGTCTTTCCGACAGACCTGTTCTTCACCTGAGGACGGCTGCTTGCGTTGTGGCCGAAACGTCGTGAGAATTGTATTTTATTATGTTTAATTTATATTATATTATTATTTCCCTTCTACGTGACTTTACCGAAAGAACCAAGAAGATGAATCCCTGCAGTCAAATCGAAATTTCGTTCTGTGATGTCGTTTAATGGAGCTGTTCCAGGTGATGCATCTCTAGCTACAGAGTTCCAAAAGGAAATTCCATCGTCTCATAACATGACACTGACCACACTACTGGAATATAAATTGGGAGAAGTAAAATAAAAAAAGGCAGCCTCACAGCCACGGCACACTCACAAACAATGCGGCCATCCCTTGGCCGCGGGAGGCGGTGGTTGCTGTGGTTCGTTTTGTGACTGTGGAATTGGCTACTCGGGTTTCGACAGCATGGCATGGGAAGGCTGATCAGAGTTTTGTTGCGAGTGCCAGGTTGCGTGTGTGAATTCCGGTGGCGATGGACGCGAACCCCAGGTCATCGTGTGGCGACAGGCTCGAGTGGTCGTGTATTTGCCGCTTCTTACAGAGCTGCACGCTTCAAGCTCAGCCACCGCCCTGGTTAACACTGTGGGAGTTTTAACCATAAAAAAAACTGCTGGAAAATTACGTATTTTGGTAAAATTACATAACAACACGCCTCCCACTGGTAAACCGGGGTGGCAGGGTGGTGCAATGGCAGAAATAATGCCTCAGAGCAACAAGCGCCTGGGCTCAATTCCCACCTCAAGTGCCTAAGTGTAGTTTCATCTTCTTGGTTCTTTCGGTAAAGTCACGTAGAAGGGAAATAATAAAAGAATAAAAATAAAAACATATTATTTTATTATTTCCCTTCTACGTGACTTTACCGAAAGAACCAAGAAGATGAATCCCTGCAGTCACGAAAGCTTTAAATCGAAATTTAAGTGTAGTTTGTTATGCTCTCCAACTGTTCTGCATGGATTTCCTCTGGCGTAGCCAGTTTCCTCCCATAGCTAAAAAAACACACAATTTAACTTGTGTTGGACAAACATTCCAACGCTGAAAAATTACCTGCAAAATACTCAAATGAGATCACACACAGCAGCAACATCGCTCCCTACTGCAAGAATTAAACAAGCGTGGTCAAGTTAATTAAATAGTCTATTACTCGTCTGCGAAACATTTCGCCTTCGTGACAAGTCTTGCGCCACCACAAGTTTGGTGTGAATATCAAATGCGCAGGGGCGCGATGGCACGCACCTCAAACTTGCCGGGCATCTGCTCCATGATGTACTTGCTGCCGGATAGATGCTCCCAGGCACGGGCCCGCAAGGACGGGGGGATGCCCTTCCGGCACCGCAGCTTTACCTGCACACAAGGGTGGCAATACGGTACATGTACTCAAGTGTGTACGCCATGCAGAGTGCGCGCCGTGCATATTCTAGGTGTAATGATGATTAACCTTGAATCATCGTTTGATTCCAGCGCTAATTCTACCTGGTCTCGTTTCCACCGTCTCTCCTGTTGCATTATCTGTCTGGTTTGCTTTGTTTTCCCCAAGGTGTCCCTTCAGTTGTCACATCAAGGGCATATCCATGGCTCAAGCTCCCTGCCTCCTGCATGCTCCCACTTCCCCTCTTCAACACGCAACAACGCTCTCCATGCTGGGGTCCTAGAGGCAGGCCGAGGGAAGGATGGTGGAGGTGGCTTCTCTTTGCCTCTCTCAGCAGTGCTGTTTAGGTGACACCATCACCAGATTGCAAGTTTAACAAAACACCCAGGACAAGCGTAAAAACAGTCACTAAAATGGAATTGGCCAAACATCCCGATGCAGGATCCGCCTGAGAATTAGCCTTAAGGCTTTCCTGGATAATACCATTACTTGGTCACACGTACACAAACTTTGATTACGTACATATGTTCATGTACAAGAACAAGTTGCAAAGGTGTATGAAAATAGCAAGCACAGACCAGTATTAAAATAAGAATAGATTTTCCCCTTTCTGGCAATAAAACCGGTGTTAAGATGCTCAAACACCAAATAGATTTATTTTGGAAGGAATATAATCACCACAAGTACGTGTGGTTAATGCAAACTTTATTCCTTGCAAAATTAATCTATTTGGCGTTCGAACATCGGAACACCTGTTTTATTGCCAGAAAGGGTAAAATCTATTCTTATTTTCCATACTTTGATACTGGCAAAAAAGGTCCCATTATAAACATCAGTATGTTACTTCAGTGTTTGGATTGGTAACTTTTAGAGACGCTGTGCTTACTCTCTTGACGAAAGCACATACAGACTCAAGAAGTTCAGGGGAGGGGTTTAAATATGCATAAAGTTCAGCCAGAGCAACCTTTTTCATTGATCTCCTTGGTAAGGATTCTCACATCCCCTGTATGGATTAGCAGCAAACATTTGTTTAGCGAAAAGGTGCAGTCAGTTATTATCGTGGTGTTTTACGTAATCAATTAAGTGACTTGATAAACACGGTGCTAAGACCCCGATGCCTCAATGTATACATTTGCCCCAGTGTACAGATTTGTCCAGTATAAAACAGGACAGCAAGCGAATGACTAAACCCAACAAGGAAATGCATGACCAGAAAACAGCAACACTAAGGTCATAGCCAATTTTGTCACTCCATTCAAAACGAGCCCTAAGTCAATTATTTATTGGCAGCACGGAACCTCACAACGGACTGGAAACTGTTCTTCCATGGCGATGAGAAGCAATGCGTGTTTCCTGTCGACGCCAACAGTTTTAGCTCATTGGGAGGGGACTCCTCCTCCTCTGCTGCCCCTACTTTCTTTTACTTTGCTTTATTGGCGTCATTTTCATGACCCATGTGACTCTTGCAAGAGCACTCAACCTGGTTAAACAAAATGAACTTGAAACTACTGTCGGGAACTCACCCCCCCCCCACCCCCTCTTGACCACACAGCCGATACCCTCCCCCCTGTTAAAGTCCACGTTCAAGAATCTTCCTCGTACGGTGTGCCGCCGTGTACGATTGAGTCACTGGCTCCCCATGCAACATCTGCCAGGACGGTCACTCCATGAGCCGATGTGGCCACTTGGTCGCCCTGTTTCCTCTTGCAGGCAACACGCTCATGAAGAGTCATTGACCAAACGTCCCAATGTAACAGGACCTTAGTAAAAAAATATTAAAAAAATAAGAGTTTGGATTCAGTGACTTTCCCTGATTCAATAAATTACATGATTATAATATGCTCGATAAAAAAAAAGTATTGAATAATTTTAATGCATTTGTCACAGCTCATAAGATCACCATACCCGCTAACCACAACTGACAATGTTTTAATCAACCGCCAAAGCTTCGTCAATTTCTGCAATCGTAATACAATTGCACAGCAATTTGCATTTACCGAGCATCCAAATCTAACTGCACGTCAAGATGCTGTACCAAACAGTCGGGCGTGTGCTTCGCAGGGAGCTCAGGAAAGGATGCATATACAGTTTAATTGTTCAGAAATGTGCAAAAGAAGAGGAGACGGCGGTGACACAGCGGAAGCGCGTTCGCCGCGTGTTGCAAATGTCCACGGTTCGATACCAGCGGCCATCCTGATTAATAGTGTGTGCGTATTAACCAAAAAAAATACTACGTGCCGGGCGTCATGGTCCAAATTTTCCGAATTTGAAGTAAACTACACCGCGAATGACTCAATTGCAATCCAAATAGTAATAATTTTCCCCTACTGCGATCGGCAGGGCACTCGATAAAATTTCACCAGCCTCAGCAAGGATCTCCTGTGTAAACAGGTGTAATAATCACAAAGGAGCCAGTCAGAGGCTAAAAAAAAGGAAGCTCTCAGAGTTAGGATTTAAAAAAGGGGCAGGGAATCGGCAGCGTGGACGCCGACCTCCTACGCGACCTGGAGTCTCGGTAGCAGGGGAACCGTGCCCCCAGCGCCACGTGACCTAGGCGGTGGCGCCATAGCAAATGAAAGCCCGGCTCTGTTGAAAATCTGGCAACGAAGAAGTAGTGACGCAGACCATGAACAGTGCCCCTTTAAGACGAGAGCCGTCGTACAGCTGTCTCGTTGCTCCTGCAAACCGGCGCTGCTGCGATGGACTCGCTCGCGAGTCTCAGCTGCCGAGATTAAAAACGGGCGATCGCCTACGACTGGCAGCGAAGGAGGAATGGTCGCCTCGAGGGCCGGTGACGTTTCACATTAACGGCGCTGGCGTGCCCTGCGCTGCCAAATTATTCTCATTGGGATGCAACCGAGAGTGTGAGGAAATGACACGCGGCAAGAGCTCGACTCAAGAAACCAACACCATCCATAACAATCTCAGCCACACTGTAATCAACCACCACACTTGCAGGTCACAAGACTTTTCTTCTTCCCTCGCACTGCCCCTAATTTGGAAGGCCTTCCCATCGTCTCCTTTCCCAAGCCCTTATGACAACCTTGTTTAATGCCACAAACGTGTCAATAATGATCTATTACAATTTTCAAAATGCTATTTTTTGCTGATTGCTTGGCGTTTTGGGTCTTTGTGCCCGTGCTCGGCAACAGGAGTCGCACTCTCGTGATTACACAAACATTCGACATTGAAGAAATGATTCTTTTTCTTAGTATTGCGGTGCATGGTTAGCGCTCCAAATGGTTGTCAGTGTTGCCCTGAAATCGTGAATACATTACAAACTAGCATCATAAACAGATTAGAAGGTCTTGTGCCTGAACGTACACAAATAAAAAGATTTTGAATACGCGATTCGATGCGTCTATCGTGAGCTTGAGGATCAACATCAATCGATAGAGCGACGCATCGTCCAACTGCAGACTCTTACGCAGCAAGCATCAGAGGAAGGTACAGTAGGCGGTGGCTTGCTAATGTGTGCTCGTGCAGAGTGCAGCAGGGCTCCGTGACCATCTCGAGGAGTGAAAAGTCATGCCACCCGCGTCAGGCCCATTTCCACACCCCCCCCCCCGCACCACCCATTTCCCTTGTGCCCTTAGCAGAGAATACGCACATTGTTGCACCACGATACAAACAAGTTGTTCAATCCGTTACTCTTAGAGTAAGCTCATACGCCTAATAATCTCTCTTGCGAGTTCCGTAAAACATGTGGAGCGTTCCCATAACGTGTTCTCTACAGCTGCGCAAGAGGAAGCAAGGCAAGAAAGTATTTTACGCAACCAACCACTGCTCTCACGACTTTTAAACCCCCCTTTGACAAAATCCTATGGCCAAATTGCCCAGAACGCACCCAATTTCATCAGACCTTGGAAGTTAAGCAAGTGTGAGCTTGGACAGTGGATGAATGAGTGATCACCAAGCGCAAACAGGTTGTCATAGATGGCTGGGGAGCAAGATAGAGGGCATTCTAAAAAAAATGCGTTGTTGTACTGCGATTCTATGCTGTCACATTTGCCATCAGCATTGACCAGCCATGGTGAGGTATCATAAAATAATCCCCACAATCTGCATGGCATGACAAGGCCCTCATCGAGCATTGGATTGATACAAGGGCTGCACTCGTGTGTGTGTGTATGTGTTGTATTTTGTATATGTTGGGTGCAGATATGTACGCATGCATATATGTATATACATGGACATACAGCAGCATGTGATTTCCCTTGTGGTCGCTCCTGGAGGCTCTGATATGCAGTTAACATTTCCCGTTCGGACACTGCACGTGTATATTTAGCCTCAAGCTCAATAATGGCGTCCAGAGGGTCAGAGGTGAAAGCCACGGTGCTGTGTTCAATTCTATAAGTACTGTACTCTCATTCATTTACTGCTGAAGTCGAGGGAATCAATTTTAATAAAGCGTATTACTATAATTGATAATGATTTCAATGGACATGTGGTAATATTTGTGTAGCGGTACTCGATGAACATGACAAGCGGAATTAAATCACCGGCCATGGCGAAGACCAGCGGTCCCGGCTGCCCCTATTACACCTCACCAACCCGCACTGATCAGCGTGGTGAAGTATGGTCAGACGACCCCTTTACCGCAATGGCGTGGAAAGGTCTTTATCCAGCGGCGGCTCGATAAAAGACTGCACATCAGCATTATAATTACATGAAACATAATACAAATAGTTTGAAACATTTCCCAATGGACAAACGAATCTGGAGCTGTAACAATCCAATCACATTCAATTTCATTTCATTGTTTATATATAAAACGCAAATCGTTGTACGGTCGATACGGACGACCGAATGTGCCTCGCAGTAAACCAGTTCTCTGCCGTGGCCTCGTAAGTAGCCATCTCTTAACGAGCTGCTAATTCTGTCCTGTGTTCCATTAGAGATTACCGCCGGCAATGCGCTAACAGGGCTTTAGCAGCCTCAGCAAGGAAGCATTGCGGTGGCATATCAGCACAAACAGGGGAACAGCCCTGATGGGGGTGGCTATCAGACTTCCTCAGCTCGCCCATGGAGAGATTGGCACCACGTGAAAACAGAAAACCAAAAACAATTTAAACGGTCAACGTTAGCCGTTTGGCGACGCGACTCCCTGACCACTCTTCCAGCACGATGCAGACACACGCGTGGATTCACTGGCTGGTCACATCACTCACGGACGAGCACAATTCAACAAATTATGAAGCATTTTTATTTTAAACACTCTGCTGGATAGAACAGCCTCTAGTGGCCGGAGGGGGGGGGGGGGGTCATGTGAACCGAGTACATACAACACAACAAAACACACATGAGAAACGAGGACTCTGCAGTCGCATCCATTCCAAAGTGATTCAGTTATGCAACCAATTCGTGCAACCGATCATTCGGGAGTGGATCCGCCGTTACGCACGCGATCCATTGCATGTTATGGTGAGCTTAATTATCGATGAATCGGTGCATTGTTACACCCCGGTAACACACGAGCACACACACGGAAGCACAGTACAACCGTCACACGCGCACGGCTCGCGCCCGCCCACGCGGAAACTTACGATGAAGGGGAGGGTAAAGAGTCAAATCAGAGACCAAAAACCAGAGAACCCCAACCGGGTCCCCTCCTTTGAGGAAGTGGAACAGTTTGTTGGGAGAATAAGTAATAACGTAATTTCAAGTGTGACTGGGTTACCCCCGAGCTCCGTTGTTGGACTGTGTACGTGCACGATTTACAATTTACCGCATGGTTTTGCGCACTGCTGCGCACTGTAGCGGTTGGTGGACTGCCGATTTGTAATTCCACCATCAGAGCGATGACACAAGGCAACCGGGTTCTGCGACGCAAACCGGCGTCAGCGTTTGTAACCGTTACACGTCCGGCATGTGCTGATGCCGCTATCCTGGGCAGCCCATGTGCCCAGACCAAATATTTCACTTGTCAATGCAAACCTGAGCTGGCAAAACTTTAGCAATAGCAATTAACATGTTTTTTGTATACGCAGTGCGCAGTGGAGTGGTGGTCAGGAAAAGTGTGAAGCCACCGGTGAGGAGCTTCATTGGCCAGAATTAGATAAAATGCATTTGCAAGTGTAATACAATCTCTTTCTGAACACAACAATCTTGTTGGGTGGTGGAGGGTTAATGACAATACATTTGACACAAAACTACCAAGTGGCCAAACCAAAAACCGGCCGGGTACGGGTAGCCGTTTGCGACCCTGGTGCGGCCGGGTATGGGTACGGGTAGGCCGTGAGTCACTGGTGAGTAACCGTTTGTCACTCATTTCGGGTAGGGTACGGGTAGGATACGGCTACCTGTACCCGGCCGGGTACGGGTAAGGAATCAAAACCCGTTTGCGACCTCTGGTCAGGACTGGTGTTTGGTCGCTTAGTGTGCTCCACCCTTAAAGCGCTCAGCCCTCTTCCCCACTGCTACACCACGCCCGTGGCCACGGTTTGTTTGTGGGGTTGGCAGCAGCGGTGAGCTCTGTGCCGGGCGGCACACTCACCTTGTTATGGATCCCTGCAGTCACTGAGAACTTCAAATCTAGATACTCACCTTCTTGTAGCCCTTGGTGATCCACTTGTCCCAGTAGCGCAGCATCTCCAGCCACTTCAGCTCCCTCTGCCGCAGCACGTCCACGGGCATTGCGAGCGCCCTGCGAACACGACGAAAACACGCAGCGACGCGTGAGCACACCGACACACTCCCGACATTGCGACAAGAATAAAGCATCTTCTTGGTTCTTTCGGTAAAGTCACGTAGAAGGGAAGTAATAAAATAATAAAAATAAAACATAATAATAATAAAAATAAAACATAATAATTATGTTTTATTTTTATTATTTCTTTACTTCCCTTCTACGTGACTTTACCGAAAGAACCAAGACGATGAATCCCTGCAGTCACGAAAGCTTTAAATCGAAGAATAAAGCAACGCACAATAACAACACGTAAGCAAAGCTCCCTACAACAACACATTACAGTCGCCCCGCGTTTTATGGGCGTCTACGTAACGCTGCTTTTGAAATAGCGCGTTAAGATTAATAGACAACTTATTTTTGTTATGCACGCACTGTTATTGAAAAAACCGCGCTCCAGCGCTTTGGGCATGATGAATAGAACGAGCTAATTGTTAAGTCAGGCAGTAAAGTTCAGTAGCGATGCTGCCTGAGGTGTAGTACGACAACCACAAGCGCGTGCAGCATCAGCATCTCCTTCTCGCGTGCCATTTTCAAGATCTTGTCCACGTGAACTTGGTCTTGTGCACACATTTGCCTACCAATGTCCAGTAAGCATCTCGCTTAGTGTTAAAAAAATAATTATGATGTTCTTTCTTTAAATAGGTTGTTACTATATTTAATATATGTATGGTAGTATTGTAAATATAATATGTACTGTAACCAGTGAAATATGTAGACGTAAGAATGAAGTTCGATAGCGTGCTCTCCATAACTCCATTTCCGTTATTTCTTTGGGGAAAATTTCGTTTAAATTACGCGATTTTGAGTTATGCGCCGTATTTCAAGAGCACGGCCCCCCTGTAAAGAGAGATGTAGCATACCACATCAGTACAGATACACAAGAATGACACAAACTAAGATCCCAATCTCAACACAGCTCTCAGCATATACAGAAGTCCTCTAAACTGAACAATAAACAATATTCATTGCTTAAAGCAGCGAGATGGTAACAACACTATGAAATGGACAGACCTTAGCCAATACCCTGTTCCCAAACTGCATTTTTCTTTTAGTTTCAGTTGTTTTCCATACAGTTTAATAACCTCAGCAGCAGTGACCTGATGATGAATGAAAAGTGACATTTGTAGGGAAAAATCACTTGCAGGGAGTGTGAGAGCTCAGTCCTATAAAAGTTAATGGAACTGATGGAAACTCCTGCAATCAGTACAGGATTATCTGCACAATACTCGCTACTCTTGCACATGAAACCACACCTCTTAAACTCCCTCCACAGTTCTAGCAGTAATTGACAACCAATAAATCTAGTTAATGAGCTTGGGTGAATTTAAATGTCTCGCATAACATTTTTTATTTCTCCTGCTTAGATTGTTCGCGGTTGTGCTGTACACGGCTCTCCGATTTGTTTTCGGGTTGTACCGCGTGTTCTTCCGCACCGTATCCATGCGCTGGGAACTTCATCAATTCAGATCCTGAATTAGTTTGCAGCACGTCATAAATCGTGCTGTACAATGCACGGTGCAATCCGAAAACACAACTGAGTGCTAAACCTGAACTTTATCAAGATTTTTCTGGTATCAAAGTACCCACATGAAGAGACCAAAGAAGATCAGAGCCGATTGCAGTTAAAAGCCAAAAAAAACCCGCGTGAAATGCAAGGAGCAGCAGATTTTTTTTGCACGCCTATTTGAGTTGGCGGTTACCCACCTGAGATGGGGCCCGGCCGGGTTGAAACCAATCAGCCCATTGCGGATGAGATAGCACGGCATGGTTGGGGGCATTAGCGTGCAGAGCGGTAGTGGCCACCAATCCTGTCGGTGCCAAATATAATTACATGCAGCCCCAAGGTGACCAGGGGGCTCAGAGTTCAGGGCACTCAGCAGGCTCTGCTAAGGTCATGGAGTTTGAATCCAAGGCGGCTGCCAGGGATTGCATCAGTTTTTCAGGTGCAGTGATTTGATGGTTTCAGCTATCAGCAACAATAAAAAAAATCGATCGTGCTAATTTTTTCCGGCAATTAATTTGACTAAAAGACAGCACTGAGAGATTTAAAAAAAATGTGGTTTCACTGTTATGCGATCAAACATTACTCTCATATGGCAGATGGTGTAGGTGCTGCCTACTAATGTGTAAACCAGAGGTCACTTGAAGCGATCTCAGAGGCAGGTCTGTGATATCCTGCTTCTGCAGACCATTCAAAAACACAAACGGTGCACTGTTTTGTAATTGATGGATACATTCTTCATTTCATGACGCCCATAGAAAAAACGGGATAAAAATTGGAAAGGCAAAAAATTACAAAAATAATAGCCATGGGGGGTGCATGGGGGGGTGGGGCGCACGCTATCCCCTTAAACAACCCACACGCAGCACAAGGGAGCTTCCTTTCCATTGCACTAGAAACAAACAAGCAGCAGGCAGCTTTGATCGCTGAAGATTTTGCAAGGTGCTGCTGTTGTCAGTGCAGATGTCATGGGCCTAGCAAAGCACAATCTTTGTGTTTGCTCAAGATGCTTCACAGCAGAAGGCTATAAATAATCTCCCGGAGCCTTTGCCACCCGCTGCAAGGGAAGATTTGGAAAATGTAACAATACGCAAAGGGAAGTGCTGCTTTGTCTCGGCTTCCTGGAGCGATGCGACACGCGTGATATCTCTACGCTGTCCGCCAATGGTGCGTCACCAGGGTCAGAGTGCAGCGCTTCTTTCACAACCAGGCACCAATCAACTCGCACAAAGAGAATGTGTAAAACCCTTCGGTGACACTTGCGTTTTATATTGTGAATATTGTGATGGTTTGGGAGGCCTTCATCCAGCGGTGTATAGAAGTTGCAGGGTTGCTCGCACACTGGAAACACTGCAACTGCAGTCACGCATCACTTTACACAACCACCACCACCAAATCATGTTGCAACCACCACAAAGTCCCAAGAGCCCTTCTATACTCCCTTCCTACTTCGGAACTTGGGTTAAAAATTCCCGCGCGCGGCAGGCACAGGCCAGCCTCGACTGCAAGCAATGCAGCAACATGCCAGCAGCGAAACCCGAGACGCTTTCAAAACTGAGCAGCCAGTGTGTGGCGGCATCCGCTTGGCAGCACAAGCACTTTCTGGCGCCGGATTTAGCAGCACTCATTCAGCTCCCAGTTTCCCGGGCAGCAAGAGCAGAGGGGTCCCTTCTCTGCCCCCCCATGTGCTGCAGCGGCTATTCTAGGTTGCCCACGCACGTCCCCGCGCAAGCTGCTTCACGCCGACTAAACGGGCAAGCGAACAAAATAAATGCCGTAAAAACCAGCTTCATCCTGGAGTCTTAATCGTTGTGAAGCTGAATTAAAACAGAAGGGTTTGGAAAGCGAGAAATAGAGATGCTGTGCCACACTGAATGCCAATGGCTAAACCAATATCCGCTAAGCCATCTGGTTTCAACAGACTCTCTCGCTTGTGGAAACCAATCTCGATGTTGCCAGGTCACCGGACGGCCGACAATTGCCCCCCCTCGTACCGATATGCGGGGCTCGGCCAAGGTTAAAATAAATCCTTTAATGGAAAAAAATCGTGGTTAAAATGGTCTCATTGCTAACTGAACAATGCCGTATGTACCCGGCAACTATTTATGCAGTGTTTTTAAAACGCTGACAGTGAGGTTGTGGTGGCATTACAGGGGGGAGGCGGGGGGGTTTATATGTATCAGCACGTTTTTGTGTGGTGAAACAATAATATCACAGATGCGATCAAACGTAAATGCGTGCTGGCGGGTTATCCTGGGGGTAAACACCGCAGCAGTCAGGGAGGAGGAGGGGTGTGCGGCAAGCAGCCACTGACCTACATCCCGCACAGTCTGGCATTAATCGCGCGCGAGGTACATCTCGCCCGTAGAAGCGCGCGGATCGCAGTCATAATGTGGCCCCGATGCATTCTGCACCCCGCACTTTCCAGCAAGGAATTAACAGCAGTCAGCAGGCATTGATTCATGGAGTAGAATTGAATCTCGTGCTTTGCGATATGCACTTCAAATCTAGCGTTTAAAGAATTGTTTTTAATCATGGACATTTTATGCACGTGTTCATTTTGGTTAATTATCATAACAAAGTACATGGTACGAACAAAAACATTATCATTCATCAAGACGTGGTGGGGTGGGGGGCACAGTAGCTCTTAGAATACTGGAACCAGACCTAGGGTCAGTTACAATTGGAATTGTCTAATTCGCAATGAACTGCAATTACAATTTAACTTTGATTACAATGTATTTGTAATTTCAGCTAACGATGTTGGTGTAAATGTAGTTCTAATTGATCCCAGGTCTAACAGGGGCTGGTGTTTGAAACACGTGTCCAAACGAGCGCAGCATTGACTATCACAATACTTTAAATCCAGGATCTCTAAGTGACTAAAACACTGCACTCTGCAAGGCAGTGTGATTCTAGATCCGGCTATAAGCTTGGGAGAGAGGTCAACGCTGTACACGCTGAACATAGCCACATTCGTGAATTTAGATGCACTGGCAACACTTCGTGTGGTGCAACAAACACCGGTGATACACAAATATTTAAATGCATCCCGCCAGGATAGCACAGGCTACGAGGTGACCAGGAGATGGTGGTATGCCAAAGGATTCCTCAATCTATCTGTGTGGAGCTTTGAGTGTGGTACCACCACATATGCATGCCAGGTTCCGGTTCCTCTGGTTACCTCCATATACCAAAAACTGTTGAGCTGAACTGAAAATATTCGTAACCGAGTTGCTCAATTTGTAACGACGAGGAGAGATATTTGGAGGTTGGCTCTCATCGGTTAGAAATTATGAATATAAAAAAAAGCTCCTGGGATGTGGAGCGAAACGTCGGATATCATCATGCTGAACACCACATTGCAATGTAGCAGGACCCTCCTGACAGAGGGCTATGAGACTCAGAAAGGCATTTTAAATAAAGCGCATCAGTACGATTATTATGATCCCGGCTGTTCTCGCCGCGCGCCATCACGTGGGCCCGAGCAACGCACCCTGTGCTGCCATCGGAGCCCTCGACAATGAAGCCGAAGCGGTCGATCTGTGGCCCCTCCACCCCGTTCATGGCGCGCCCGGTCCCCGCCGCAGCTGGCCCGTCCCTGCTGCCGTTCCCACGCGCCGTCACTCCCTGCCCCGCGCTCGCCATATCGGTCCCAGGCTCGTCGATGTCGCCGTCAGCACTGCCGCCACCATCGTCAGTTCAGCGGCGTGGCCCCGGAAGAGACGCGGGCTCGTGGAAAAGTCAGGACGGTGGCGGCGGTGGCGCCATCCGTCCGGAGGGGCCGCTCGCAGTGATGTCACGAATAGCGCCGGCGAAACTCTAGAACGATGAGGAACGGCGTTTATAAGCGGCGGCATAACTTTTGGCTCTCACCGGTTATAAACAATACATTTAAGCATTCAATGTTCATTGTTGGTGGTGTGAGGTTAGTACATGACTCGTAGTCACAGCCTTAGCAAAAGGTATACTTGGATGTGGTGTGCCAGGTCTGGAATTATTCTCTGGGATGCTGACCCAAACAGATCCGGCTAAAATTTTGCCCAGGTTGTATATCAATACATGGCAATGAAGGCAAAGTGTTACTAAAAAATAAAATACTAAAGACGATGAGTTAAATGATGACGTCACCCTGCTGCTGCTCTATGTAAGACCGGGAGCAAGAGCAGAGCCTCACCATTCTGGCGAATTGCCCGATGATGCTGAAGGCAATCACCAGCGAAACGTCGTACTAAAAAATTGTAAATGTTGTGGTTTCACGCTTCAACACACCGGTGGGCTAAAGTAGTGAACTATTTGTCTTTTGTCAACGTGATACTTTTTTTTTGCCGAATGGTCGTGTCGGGTGGTGGAGGGTTACGACACATTTATAAATAACGCGATCTAACCCAAAAACGTTGATTATGAATAATATTGGTCGCGAAAGTCTACGTTTTAAACTGACGAATATCAGCTTAATATTTTAAATAAAGCCCGACACACATGACTTAAGCACCTTGCCCCTCTGCCCTGTAGCCTTCTGTTCCTCTTTCCAGCCACTCTCTGAAAAAAAATATTAAAACAATCCCTATTTTTTAATGATATCTCTCTCACCTCTTGGCTCTGACATTCCTCGAAGACACTGGCGTAACCATCAACCGCATAAGAACATCAAGAGGCCGATGCGCACATCTCCTTCATGAATGGAAAACTAAAGACAAGCCACAGTAGTGCGATTGTGGCCGTGCAAACCAGAGTATGCACCATACAGTACACTGCTGTAGTCTGCATTCCTTCAACGGCCAAATAGCAAAATTACACATAATTAATCGATAATATACAGTCCAGGTATGAGAAAATGCACACACTAAATGGCACTTACTTCATAACACGTGCGCTGTCGCGTGAACATTGCATTTACAATAAACACGTTGGGTCAACACGCCAATCCACAAACATAAACACCACACCTACTCCCCCAACACAACCGCCACCAGTCACGCCCTCAAACACCACCATCATCGCCGCCACAACCTTTGACCCACGAACACCATCACCGCGAGCGGTAACATCACCGCCCATCAACAACAACATCATCATCATCAACCATCACCGCCACACACCACCACTGAACCACGCATGCACAAACACCCACCCGCCATCACGGCAACCAACGCCGCTGGAATTCACCGTCAAACAACGACTTGCCATGCCATGCCCGCCCGCCCGTTCTCTTCACAAATCTAGGCCCCGTGGCCACCTCGCCGAGCTGGGTCCTGTGGGACTCGGCGAGGCCGAGGAGCGCTACGGGGTGGCCTCACAGAGTCGGAGTGGCCTTACAAACTCGGGGTGGCCTCACAGAGTCGGGGTGGCCTCACAGAGTCGGGGTGGCCTCACAAACTCGGGGTGGCCTCACAGAGTCGGGGTGGCCTCACAGAGTCGGTGGCCTCACAGAGTCGGGGTGGCCTCACAGAGTCGGGGTGGCCTCACAAACTCGGGGTGGCCTCACAGAGTCGGGGTGGCCTCACAGAGTCGGGGTGGCCTCACAAACTCGGGGTGGCCTCACAGAGTCGGGGTGGCCTCACAGAGTCGGTGGCCTCACAGAGTCGGTGGCCTCACAGAGTCGGGGTGGCCTCACAGAGTCGGGGTGGCCTCACAGAGTCGGGGGTGGCCTCACAGAGTCGGGGTGGCCTCACAGAGTCGGGGTGGCCTCACAGAGTCGGGGTGGCCTCACAGAGTCGGGGTGGCCTCACAGAGTCGGGGTGGCCTCACAGAGTCGGTGTGGCCTCACAGAGTCGGTGGCCTCACAGAGTCGGGGTGGCCTCACAGAGTCGGGGTGCCCTCACAGAGTCGGCGGCCTCACAGAGTCGGGGTGGCCTCACAGAGTCGGGGTGGCCTCACAGAGTCGGGGTGGCCTCACAGAGTCGGGGTGGCCTCACAGAGTCGGGGTGGCCTCACAGAGTCGGGGTGGCCTCACAGAGTCGGTGTGGCCTCACAGAGTCGGTGGCCTCACAGAGTCGGGGTGGCCTCACAGAGTCGGGGTGGCCTCACAGAGTCGGGGTGGCCTCACAAACTCGGGGTGGCCTCACAGAGTCGGGGTGGCCTCACAGAGTCGGGGTCACTCACCTGGCTCTGCCGTACGTGGTCGGTCAGGCATCTGCCCCCCCCACCCACCCCTGGTCAACCCTTGTTCGATCTCCATCTCCTATCACCCCTGGTCATGGTCTATCCACCCCAAGTCACCCCCACGCTATCATTGATGGGGTCTCTGTCTCCCTAAGTGGTTCTCAATCATCCCTGGCCAGGTGTCTTCATTGCAGAGCACCCCGAGCCAGACGTGCTCAGCTCACCCAGTCAACTATTTAATCATCACCGTGGACTCGCGGTGAGATTTCTCAACTCGGCATCCCCGGCCACAGACACACACACACCTCGTCACCCTTGATGAGGCACGTCCACCCTTACTCACCCCCTGCTGAATTACCTTCCTCACGTCCACCCCGTGTCAGTTCTCAATCCCCAATCAGCGCGGATAAACCCCTTAAGCTGTTCACTCCTCGTCACTCCTTGGTGAGGAGACTCCACTCCACCCCCTACCCCACGCTTACTCACCATTAATAATACAAACTTCTCTCGCCATGTCCACCCCGCCTCGTCACCCGGACAGCTTCCTCACGCCCTCACCTCCACCACCACTCACCTGTCTACACTGAACTCGCTTGTGGCGTCCCGACACTTCCGCTGGCACAGCAAGAAGCCTCGTGAGAGCGGCAGAGGTGTATTCCCTTGAGAGCGGGCGGGCGGGCGGGTGAAGTAGGCGAGAGAGAGGAAAAGTCCCAGGGAGCGAAGGAATCCCGACGAAAATCCGCGAGGCCCACGCCGCTCTAACGCCGATGTCCAAGTGGCGGCGTCAACCTCCTCCACCCTCCAACCCCCCCCCCCCCCACGAGGCCACCGCGCATGCGCACCAGGAAGTATGAACGACTCCGATTGGCTGCAACCGTTGGACCAATGGGGGCGCGTGCTCGCGATGAGGCTCCTCCCCCCTTCCTTCCCCCGGAGGCCATCTTGCTCAGGGGAAGGTTTGAGTGGCACGTTGGGATTTAAATGACCAGTTTGACACGTGGTGGTGATAGGGGGCTTTCGTAGGCAGTATTATTCATCATAATATAAGGTTTTTTTTTTGGGTTAGATCGGCCAAAACGTGCCAATTCGTTACGAGTACAGAGAGAAAATCCACAAACATTTACAATTGGCTGTATCGGGTGGTGGCGGGTTTAACGACACATCTATATTTACGAAATCTAACACAAAAAAACTCTTATTACGGATGATATTGGTCGCGAAAGCCTACTACTACTACGTGTTACACTAACACTCAAACAAGTTCATAGTATAGTTGTTTTGGGTTATATTGCGTATTAGTAAGGTTTGTCACTCAGAATGTAAATGTTGTGGATTTGCTCTCCAACACACCGGTGTTGTTGCTGTACTAGTAACGAATTGGGATGTTCTGTTTACGTGACAAACCTTACTAATTGTCTATGTCTATGTTCAAATACCAAATAATATTTTTGTCATCATTAAACAATGAGATCACATTTGGAGTACAGTAAAACAAAGTATGAATTATATAGTTTAAAGACCATAACATTACGTTTAAGAAAAAAGCCCCCCAAAGTGCTTTCTGCCAAATTCCCAAACGTGTTTATTCTTAAAAGTCCCAAAAACTTTTTTGGAATGTAACCTCAAGTTTTCTAATAGGTGTAACTGCCAAGGATTGGGTCATAACGTATGTTACGTTGAACCTGCTGTTGCATTCTGTAATACATTTTCTGCAATAAAATACTTGACACACAATAAGTATAACCCGTAAAAACAAAGTTTTTCACTATAAATCCTTTATATGCGTGGCGGCTAGAGTCCTCTCGTCCTCTGGCTTGAGATGGCTGCCACCTATGGGTCAGACTGATTGCATTGCACCATTAAGCAATTGGTAATTCAATATAATATTTTTGTCCTAAAAAGTGTAAAATTTTTGGAAAAAAATTTCACGAACATTAATTGTCACGCACAACGAGTCTGTGTGGAAAATGTCAGCTCGATTGGATCACGGGAAGTGGGTTAAAAAACGACCGAAAGATTTGCACGGTCCTAAGCAAGCAAGCGAACTTAATATAAAGGATTTAAAAATAGGCACTATTTAAAATAATACCAGGGTCCACAACATCTCCTTTACGCCACTTGGTGACCAGCCTAGAGCGAGACAAAGGTTGTGCAGTTGTAACACAGTACAGTATTTACATTACACAATTTATATTGTCCCTAGTTTATTTAAATTTCTATTATTTTTTAATCAGGAGGTAGTCATATTGAGTTAGGAATATAGATTAATCAATACAATAATGAATAGTAGCTGCACTTTTCAAAGCAATACCATTATTTATCTTGTGAGTGGGGGTTTACCCATATTTACTTCGATCTCGCACCTCTACGTACGGTTCGAAAGAAGTTCACCATACAGTAATGTGCATGCATACGATCTCCATAAGCAAACATTCACAGGGACGGAGGGCCGACAAAAGCCCTTGCCCAGGTGGGGTGTATATGCCAATGAACGCACAAATTGAGAGTCATAAAATCGATTTATGCAGTGTCTCTCTGTTAACGGTTACATATAAATCAGCTACATTGGACAACAAAAAAAGATTACAAATCGCAACAAAAACATATCATGGTTTATACAAGTGCAAACTCATTATTCTTGGAATAAACAAACAATAGAAATACTACTCGTCAATACAGCAACCACGGAATTGTGGGTTAGAGCAGCCACGCACAGTTTAAAGAATCCGAGTGTTAGTTGCGTAAGTCTTCTCTGCCTGGCACTTCAAATGCAGCAACTACCGGCCGTCAACCCAAGAAGTTGCTTCCAACAATACCTGTAATCACTGACTGGCTCCAGCCATCGCTTGCTCTTTTACAAAGCTGCCGGGTTGTCAAGTTATCAGATTGAAATATAAACAGAACTCCTCTCTGTCTCCACATACCGGATATATAAAAGCTGAGTACATCAGGTCAAAACCGGTCCTGTTTTCTTGCTTAAACAAATAATACTTCATAATATTGTCTGCAAAGCCAAGAGGCTGATGGACTAAAACTAGTATATATATGAAGACAGAACGGAATTCTGTTTGTGCTTTTACCCAGAGTGCAACATAGTTTGTGTACGAACATTGTTTGCCAGTTACATTGGAATAGAACCATGTTCAGAAGCATTAGTGCGAACATGAGATCGTATCTTGTTGACACATACAGCCTTCTGTTAATCCACAGCTGAAGGCCCTTCCCATGCCATGCAAATTGTTGGTTATTTTACCATTCTTTACCACGCTGGTCAAAGGGGGTTGGCGAGAGGCGGGGGGCAAAGACGTTGGAGCATCGACCATTTAGTTGTCTGCCCAACAGCGTAGCCCAGCAGCCCATAACACTTGCTATGTGTGGTGGTCAGATGGGCGAGGTTGCGCAATCACAGAATAAAAAAAAATTAAGTTTCTTTGGGTTGACGGAGGGAGTTCATGTTTCTGCAGAACAGTTCATCGGCGAAGGGAGGTGGTTGGGAGGGGAGTGGGGTAGGGTGGTCCCTCCTTGAGCCAAGGCTTATCTCACCATTTCAGCCATCTGCAAAATGTGCTACCGTCATCAATAACACAAAAACAAAGTTTATTTATAACGTCTTCCCACTTCACCCTGAAGATGACAATCACAACATATGTTTCAGAATTTTTAAGATGGAGTAGCATTTCTAGAGTGGGGGGGGGGGGGGATACATCACAGTGCAGCCCACCCTCGGCTATCGGTGCTGTGCCTCCCCAGCAGACTGATGATCCACCCTCAGGCGATGGTAGCCAGAGTAAGGGTAGTGTCATCGGGCGAGTCCTGGGTTCTGAGGATGGCCAAAGCAGTTATAGCAAGACACTGCATCCTAAGGAGCCACCCAAAGTTACTCACGAATAGATTTGCAATTTTTTATTCACAGTATTTTTTTTTTATTGTGCTGAGATTTATAGTATAAGATATAAAAAAAAACAGATGGGTTACCAATTATTGTATTGAAAATTCAATCTACGAGGTAGAGCACACAAAAGCCACGGGGTTTTATTGTGCCGTTTGTATGGGGGTTATCATGATGTGTGTTCAGTCCCTCCATTGAAAGTATTATCAAAGTGTCACTTTGCAAAACACTGGCTAGTGTGCCGTACACGACAAAAGCGAAGCACAAGATTGGCAACATTGTGATGAGCTAAAGGATGTACGAAAAAACGGAAATGATTCAATATCAATTTGATTCGTGGTTGAAACGGAGCCGATCCGAAATTTGACAACGGGACAGCGGAATCACCTTCCATCACTTGTGGTTTGTGTCTCATTGAGCCGTGGTGTCGGTCAGCCTGGACCTGCTTTTTAAATGTCGAACATGGTACAGCGCTAACAGTAAATTTCAGAAGACACACACACACACGACAGTCTGACACCGATTACATGAAAAGATCACAGCAGTGTGCAATGAGCAGATTCAAACAAATAGCTAGTCACCATTCCAGCCATTTCTGCCCAAAACTGCTTGCACATGTATGGATGTTGAACTGCTTTACATAGCCAACCGTGCTAATCGGAGGTTCAAAGTGAAGAGAGTCATCCTTGCATGAAAACGCAACTCTTTGTCATGATGAGGCTATCGGTGGCTCACAGGGGCACACCCACCCAGATGCAACACTGACTAAAAGTGGAAGCAGAGTACAGTACTGTTACGCTATTAGTGTTAATACGGTCGCCATCAGAACGTGATTCAAGGTTGCAAAACGTCACTACAAATTGGTTCAGCTTTACAGAGATCTCAAGCAAATCTGCTTACTGCAGCTTAGTTGCATTCTCATACATGATAGTGCTTATTCTTAGGTTTTTTCGGTAAAGTCACGTAGGTAAAACATTAAAATTTATAAAAGTAAAATAAAATAAAAATCACGACGTTTTATTTTATTTTACTTTTATTAATTTTAATGTTTTACCTACGTGACTTTACCGAAAAAACCTAAGAATATGAATCCTTGCAGTCACGAAAGCTTCAAATCTAGAAGAAATGATAGTGCTTACCGCTGTTACCATTGTTTACCAAAGCAACATTAGCACTTAAGTGACTGGTCAGGTTACTTCAGGCTACAATTGGTATAAGGGTTAGTTAGGTCATCTCAAGCCTGCAACAACAGCTCATTCTAAGTTAAGACAGTTCAAAGGAAGTATTTTGTGCGTAGGAAGTACATGTGGGTTGTAACACAGCAGATTCCCACACCTAAACTGTGCCTCCATCACACTACGTGATTTGATACCCATCATGCCACTGGACCTACAGGGCACTCAACTGGAATGCAAAAACATAATTACAAACACTGGTCTCTCTCTTTACAGAGACAATGAGGCTGAAGAGGGTGTTAGAGAGGAGGCCTGAGCGTGGGACGATTGCACAGGCTGTCAACATCCTGGCTGAAAAAAGTCTGCACTATACATCACTGTGTGCCCAGGCACATGCCGCAGCATACTAGCGACTAGCAGCTTTAAGCAGCGGGCAGTGTGGCGGGATGCTGGTGGCACACAGACATCCACTGGTATGGCTCTTACAATAGTAAGCAAGGTTAGGGGACGGCTGGAATGGAAGAAGTGTTGTTGGCAAGGGAGAGGGGTTGGGCAGGAGGCTTGGCGGAGTGGGGGTAATGTTGTGGGGGACAGTGGTTATTGGAAGAGGGGCTTTGCTAGGAGACGCCACCAAGCGTCAGCACATCAAAGCAGATGTCGCAAACGCGCACAGGCTTGTTGAGGTCGAATTTAATGATGGGAATTTCTTTGGCCGAGCAGCGGTTGCACAGAAGTCGGCCGCAATGCCGGCTGTGGTGGGAACACACGTAAAAAACAAGGTCACAGGTTAGTGCATTCACAAAATCTCCTGCCTCTCTCTCTCTCTCTGCTCCCACTCCATACTTCCTACCCTTAGCATCCACACTCTCTACCACAAGATAAAATATGACGGAATTAATATTGCATCCAGTGTCAGTCACCATTTAATGACTAAATTAAATCCACAGACTTAGGACTTGACAAAAACTCCACGGATTGTCTATCGACTAAATTAACACTGGTTACGAAAGACTCACCAGTGGTGCTTGCGCGTGGTCACTCCAAACTTGGCCGCACACTCGTAGCAGTTAGAACCATCGCACCATGGAGGCTCCTTGGACAGCATGTCTGCCCAGGGATGACACCAGAGTGGAACAGCCCACAAGTTCAGAAATAATTACTTACACAACCCCTGTGGAGGTTCTTCACTTGTACCTTCCCTTCTAGCCCCCCCCACCCTCCCAGTCCGACTACCACATTTAGATAATCTCCTCCCCCCTCCCCATAACCAGTATTTAAGATCTTGTCTCTTGGATTTCCCTTCACTTGATACAGTAAATTTAGCTGTGACGGTCCCACCTGAAGACGGAGACTTGTGTTGCCTCTGAAACGTCGTGATTTAATATAATTATTTTCATATATTATTATTTTATTATTATTATTTTTCCTACGTGACTTTACCGAAAAAAAACCTAAGAGTACAACAACAACCGTCATTCGCCACTAAGTGGCCGTGACATCACCATGGCACTTGTGCCAGGCTATGTGCACTTTAGGCCACGTGTAGTTGAACGCCCGCTGGCAGGAGGTTACGGGACAGACCCAGGTGCCATAGGTTGACCGACTGAGATGACCGGCAGATGCACCACCTGTGCCTCCTACTGTTCCAACAAAAAAATGACTTACACCTACAGCAAATCAGTCATTATGAATGCGAAGGTGAAGACGAGCAAGTCTGCTGCACAATGAGTTAGGTTTCTTCATACCGAGTAGACGGAAGAGAAGCTGCTTGGTGGCGACCTGGTAGTTGAAGATGTTGACTCCCTGCGAGTTCGTAAGGCCGAGACGCGCGCCCGCCCGCACCACGGCGCGGCAAAGGTTCCCGTTGCCCTTCATGTACGCCAACAGCAGAACTGCGCACCATGACCATGCAATCATTAAACCGCTCAGCTGTTCTCATGCTGGGATTGGTGAACAGCTGAATGATGGGAGTGCCACATCTTAAGAATTCTGAGCAGTGCTGAATCCCATCACTGTCACCGACGCCTTAGTGTTGTGGGGCAGCTGCCCTAGTTGCACAAACTGCGTGTGTCGTGTGTGCGTAAACTGTGGGAAATAGTGGCATAACGGTTCGCACACTGCACTCCGAATCTTAACAACCAAATTTAGATTCTCAGTCAGAGCTTTAATCAGTGCCAAATATTTCAAATAGTTAGGAGGCTCCTCGAAGTGGACGCAACATTAAATAGCTAGTGCACTGTGTAAACATCAGCAATACCAAAAGAAAGGCAGTCAGGTGTGGTGATGACCAAACCACTCCCTTGTGCACTTTGCGGACCTTAGTATGTGCTTGCAAACAGAGCATGCCCCAACTATCTATGTAGCTTTGTTTTTACTTGTAGATGACTGCAGGCTAAGGTTGTGGAAAGGTTCTTATCAATGCAATTAGTTCTCACCACATCCACTTTATGTACAACACTTGCAACTGTTGTGTCTGTGGCACGCAGGACAGCCACCCACAATGAACCCCACCACCCCCTTACCCACTACTAACGCACGACCGTAGTCTGCTAAGGAAGAGCTGAATGAGTAGCATTGAGGCATGAGGCATGCTCACCCGTGTGGCCCTCAATGTCCGACTTGTCCAGTGGGTACTCCGGCATGCACTCGAGAAAGAGCTCGAAAATGGCAGCCGCATTCTCCTTGCCGTACTGGCCCAGCACGTGCATGGGGCTCTGGCCTCTGCGCATAAACAGCCGCCACATGGCATGGAATCACGCAAAGTGGGAGCGTGGAGGCTCCAAAGCCAGCGTGGCCAGGTAAGTCCGATTTGGTGAGCGGGCTAGTGGTGGGGAGGAGAGCGTCCGTGTCTCTCACCGCAAGTTGAAGGCTTCAGCGTCGATGCTGGACTCGGTGAGAAGGACGCGGACCACGTTGAGGCGGCCGTGCATGACAGCGAGGTGCAGCGCTGGAAAACCGACGGCGAGGAGGAGAGTATGAATGCGCTAGTACAGCATGCACAGGACTCCTAAAAACCCTAACCCCTCTTCAGCGGTACCACGCAAAGTGCATGCGCTTTTCGGTTTTCATAGAAACTGAAAGGTTGCTTGCTGAACGCACAAGTGTAATTTCTCATCAGTTTCAATCTAAACCAATGTAAAACCAAATGAATATTAATGACACTGGCCGCATGTTCATATTACTTGTGAATATGCTCACCTGTTGGCTTGTAGTGGAAGTAAAGTATAATGCAGAATTCAAGCTTCGCGAACAAGCGAGCATTCATGTGAGCATTTTCACGGACAAGTAAATCACCCTGAATGCGACTGATCTCATCGGATCTCTGAGGCTAAGCATCATTGAGCCTGGTTAACACCTGGATGGGAAACGGCCTGGGAAAACCAAGTTTTGTAGGCTTGCGGCTGTCAAGTAGCCAGGTGATGGCAGTACAGCAATGGGGCAGCAACGCAAAGACAATCAACACGTGTCACCGTGCCCTCACCGTTGTTGCCGTTGTCGTCGCAGGCACTAAAGTCGGTGCTGTTCTCAATCAGCACAGAGCAGATGGACGGCAGGTCCAGCTGCGCTGCCAAGTGCAGCGCCGTCTGCCGGTTCTTGGTCAGCTCGCGTACGTTCGCTCCCGCCAGCAGCTGCAGCGACGGACGGCAACGCAACGACAAGGACCGGCACGCACGATGCCACAATCTTAAACACGCCAAACAAACACACCGGTTGTACCCCCCCACAATGTTCCTATCTTTAGTTTGGAAAAAAATACATAACGATCGCAAATCCAAGTATGTAATAATAAACACTGCGTTTATTCTATGTGTTTTTATTTTAAATTGAAATTAGATGGTACTGTATATATTTTAAATCTTGAATTGAATTGTGAACCAGAATCTTGACAATCCATTGAACTGCAGGAATTATTAAATGCCTAATTAATAGAATTCTTCTGCTCCACAAACACAACAGTCCTGCCCCCTCGTGTTTGCTGCTCTTAATTTAACCTGCGCTTGTCACGGCACTTACGAGGTCCACGAGCGCCAAGTGGGGGGTGTGCGCACCAAAGCACCGGCGGGCACATGGCCACCCACACGGTAGTAAGTGGGGGTGGGGTGGGGGGGGATTGTGTCACGACGCAGTGGGCGTACCAAGTTGCGCACGATGATCTCGGAGCCGCCCTGCGTTGCGAGGTGCAGCGGCGTGAGGCCCGTGGAATCCTGTACGCGCGAGTTCACATTGGCGCTCACGCTGATGAGGAACAGGACGCTCTCGATGTCCGAGTTTTGCACCGCCACGTGCAGGAAGTTGCGTCCCTTGTTGTCGACCTGAAACGAGACGCGTGTCAAGTTTCATCAAAATTTGACAATTCTATTTAGAAATTTACTTTCTTTCAAACGTCTTGTGGAGGAAGTAGGAAAAGCTACACTTTATCCCACCACATTGTTGTCTTAGGTCTGTCCCCGTGTCGCTAGTACATCGGCCAGCCCAACGCTGTGAACTAACCATGCAGCACCAGTTTGTATTAATGGGTGAAGAGAAGTGGGAGATGTAATAAATGTATGCATTGTTTCAACTGCCAAAGGGGCACATAAAATTGAACCAGCGACCTCTGGAATTAAATTCTAGTCTGTTCAGGCAGCATCCAGTTGAATAATCAATTCAATATTCTATATAGAAATCAATTCCTTGTATAATCAAAGAGCCCATCTCTAATCTCAAGATTCTATTAACCGGCGGGGGCTGCTGTGCTGGAGCACTCACCTGCTCAGCGGCGGTGGGCTCGCGCTTGAGGATGGCGTCTGCAGCACGATTGTTCTTGTACGTCATGGCGCAGGCAAATGGCGTCTGGCCTTGGCGGTCACGAGCACCCAGCCGCAGCTCAGGGTGGGACAGCAGCAATGCGATGATGACATCGTGCTGGTTGCTGATGGCGATGTGCAAGGGTGTGCGGCCCTCAGCATCCTGCAATACGTCACGGGCGGTAAAATCTTAACAATAATTTAAACTTGTGAAGATAATGAACGTAACGTACGGCCCTTTGCCAATCCACTGCTAGATGAAGGACTCCCCCCACCATGTCAACACACAAGGTAAATTGTGCCGTCACGTGTATTGATTGATGGAGTGCAACGTCATCTGGTATGGAGCACCGCAAAGCAATCTCACACTTTCATTCATTGAGTTGAGACACATTTAGACTTAAAACTTTCGTGACTGCAGTAATTCATATTCTTGGTTCTTTCGGTAAAGTCACGTAGATATAAAAAAAAATCTAAATTAAAAGCAAAAAACCCACGACGTTTTGCTTGTTTTGCGATCAAAACGTCGTGGGTTTTTTGCTTTTAATTTCGATTTTTGTTTTCTATCTACATGACTTTACCGAAAGGAAAAAAAAATTGAGACACATTGTGTCATTTTTTAAACTTCTGCCAATGTGCTGCAGGCACAATTTACACAGTAGCACTTTAATCCTTAACAGAGCCCCAGCGGAGAACATCTTCCAGCCCACATCACCGAATGACTTGGCACAGTATATTAATGGATCTCTTTACTTATCATGTGCATAGAATAATCAATATAAAATGTATACTTAAAAGGCGGTTTTAAGTTACATTATTCTTCACCGAGGAGTCAACAAAAAGACTCACTTGAAGGAGGTGAAGAAAGCATGCATTTGTCCCTTTCTCCGATTTAAATGTTGGCAGAGGGACACACGGCCCTGGTAGGACACTCATTGTCTTGGCGGAGCAAATGGAAAAACTCCTAGATGGAGCATGTCACAAGCCTTAAATAATCCTCCACCAACATGAGAATTGCACCCAATAACCTAGAGACCTAAAGGCTTAGCAGCTCAACTCAACAGCGCAAGTATCACGCACACCCGCAAACTACGCACTCGGCATGCCACGCAGATTAAAATAAATACTCTCACGATACGTGTATCGAATTTAGACGTGAAAAATAATCAATTATTGAATCAATCACAACGCTGAATGATGACAATTCATTATCTTGCTGTCCGCACATCTCATGGCAGATCAGCCCACTGCCTTCACTTGTGGAAGTTCAAACTAAGTCTGGCGTGATTGCAGACTGGAGTAATCGCCCACGGGAAAAAATAGCTCTTGGTTAATCGCCACAAGCTCACGACACACACCTGCATGTTGACATTGGCTCTGTACTCCAGTAGACACTGCACCACCTCCTCGAGGCCCCACGTGGCCGCCAGGTGCAGCGGAGTCTGCCCATCGCGTGCCTCCTCCTGACCTTCGCCCTTGAGGCCCGGCCGCCTTGGGCCGTCTCGATCACAATCACTTTATGCGTGAGCAGAGACGGGCAGAGACGGGCAGTATCTCAATTACACGTAATCTACGTATGCAATTGGCGTTTCAAAAACACAACGAAGGTCATTTGTGGCTAAATTACGTGAGCCATGGTAAATTGATTATTTGCTTCAACTAAACATTACTCCAGTATATTTCGATTTAAACCTTTCGTGACTGCAGGGATTAATCTTCTTGGTTATTTCGGTAAAGTCACGTAGAAGGAGAATAATAAAATAATTATTCTTTTATCTTATTTTATTATGTTTTCTTTTTATTATTTTATTATTTTCCTTCTACGTGACTTTACCGAAAGAACCAAGAAGATTACTCCAGTATATTTTGCCCATCTCTGCTTGGTATGGGCACAAACGCCAAGCACCAAATTCAACATCGCAGAGCAATCTTGTTTGACCATACTTCACCATGCTGGATTGTGCAGGATGGTGAAGACATGGAGGGACAGAAGTACAGTACAATAGAACAATTGATATTGCTGCACTGCTCTCTAGCAGCAATTGCAGCTCATTGTATCCATCCTGTTGAGCACCATAGTGAGCCAAGTCTCTTCAGCGAGGGAGAGCTGGGAGAAACGACGGGACACTTTTGACCTCAATGCCAGGCACTTAAACGAAACTAAAACAATTTTTATTTCACCAGGTAAAGCCCACTGAGCTGCTCTTTTTCAGAAGCGACCTGGCCACAAATGATAGCTCAACGAAGTGGCTTATCAAGTGGAAATTTATAGCAGCCAAATACGTACATGAATAAAGCACAAATGCTGCTATAATATTTTATTGAGATATAATTATCCTGCCTAATGTTGTGCAATGACGCGACATGGGCAAGGGAAGGCATGGGTACGCGAGCCCACACCTGCGGATCAGGAAGCAGGCGATCTTCTCGTTGTTTTCGTCAATGGCGCGGTGCAGCAGGGTCTGCTGGCAGCCTCCTGGTCCGGGGCCCCAGCAGGTGGCGTCACAGCCGTGTCGCACCTGGGCACACAGCGGAACACGGGCACACTGGGCACAGGTCACATGCAGGACTGCCTGCGTGCTCACCATGGGGCGGGAGACCACTGATTATCCTTCACTGGTGAAATAGCCATCTTATCAGCAGCAGCAATAATTGTCGTTGCCTTTATTAAAATGACCAGCATTGAAGTCACCCGTAATCTGCTCTATCTCATCATATCTTTAAATGAAGACCACTATTCTTGAACAGGTCGATGTAGAGCTGAGGGCTACATGGTGGCAGCAGAGGGCAGTGCAGCAACATATACTGGTGTACTACTGCAGTGGTTCTCAACCTTATTCATATGGGGGCCACCCAATAACGACCACTGGTCCCTGTGAATCCCCCCCAAGCCCCAAAACACAACTAAGTTTACCAAGGCTGCAACGCAGAGAGATCACATGTCAACGTAAGGTATTTGTTTAATTTTGTGTATTTGCGTGTTTTGTTTTCAAAATGTCTTTCTCCTAATTCTCCTTCGAAAGTTCTGCTATCCATGCCGCAGCCTGCACCCTCCCTGAAAGGTTTTATATGCGAGGTTTACGTGGGGCTGTCTTCCACGGGTTGAGAACCATTGTACTTTACGTTTCCACGTCTATGATCTCCGCCTTCACCAACCCGCACTGACCAACGTGGTAAAGTATGGTCAAATAACCCCCACGACTGCCACAGCGGGAGAGGAACCATCACACAGCGGCGGCAGATACCAGGGTGGAAGCGATGTCGTCGTTGCCCCCCTGCAGCGCCACCCAGAGCGGGGGGTCCCCGGCGGGGTCGCGCACGGTCATGTCGGCGCCGCGCGTGCACAGAGCGTCCACCACCAGGGGCAGCTGCTGGCGTATGGCGAGCTGCAGCGGCGTCTGCCCCTCCGCCGTGCTGTAGCATCGCAGGCGCCGCGACGGGGGAGAGACGCACACAAAGGCAAGACAGCGGAGTTGAATTCAGGATCGTTCCAAACCAAGCTCTCAGCAGGGCCGGATAATTGCTCTGACACGATACTGGCTCAATAAGCCACCAATGAATTACGAACAATATTACAGTGATCCCTCGTTTATCGCGGTTAATGGGGACCGGAACCCCTCGCGATAGGTGAAAATCCGCGAAGTAGGATTGGCCCCCTAGGAATTTACGTATATGTGTGTGTGGGTACCAGAATGTTTAAAATATGTATATTTATACTTTATATATCTATTTTACTTAAATCTATTTAATTATAAAACCTTAATATTATACATTCACTCTCTCTCTCTCTCTCTCATACGATACATATTATGGTGTTCTACACTCACCAATGACAGTAGTATCTTGAGACTTGACTCCAGTAATGACGACGACGACGATGACAATGACGATGACAATGACGATGACAATGACGACGATGACAGACCTGTGCAGTTTGATGAATGTGATGATGAATGATGACGATGATGGTGTTACTGCACAGGTATAATGAGGCCTTTAAATCAGTTCGAAAAATCCGCGATGCACTGAGGCCGCGAAACTTGAACCGCGAAGTGGCGAGGGGTTACTGTATTCTTAATGTATCGTTTGCCGCAAACACCGCTGTCGGCATGGTGCCACCTGGGCCCCCTCACCGAATGTTAATGTCGGCGTTGTGCTCCAGCAGAAAGAGAGCGCCGTCGCTGTTGCGCTTGAGGATGGCGGCGTGGAGCAGGGTCTGCCCGTCCGACGAGCGCTCGTTGATCGCCGCTCCCGAGCCAAGCAGCTGGGCCGCGATCTTGTGCATTCCTAAACCATGACACAAGGATAAGCACCGGAAAAAACTGGGCGCATGGAGCACAAGACTCGGACATGACAGTCCCAGCCGCAAGCCTCAGACCAACCCTAAGTTCCCAAAAGCAGAAATGGAAGAGGTGTATGACCACGGCGGGGCCTGTGTTTCACGAGACTCACCGGTCCACAGGGCTAATCCCAGCACAGTCTGCTCCTTCGAGTCCTTCAGGCTAAAGTCCGGGATGATCTGCAAGTTGTTTACACCATTCAGCGCATTTGCTGAACAATGAGAGAACAGCAACAAATGTTAGACGAAAATATTCATGAACACCCATCAGTAGAAAGTCTGCAAAATGTATCCGCATAATTTGGACAGGTGTGTGATACGGACATCATCAATGGCTTGCATCTATCATTCATGAAATAGAAAAATCGTGCAGGTGCTGCCACCCTAATGTTTTTGTATAAATTGACACTAAATGGCTGCACAACCACAGAGCCACTGCTCTAACGCGTCAAACAATCTCTGCCTGCACGGCACCGCGGCGCACCTTTTTGCTCCAGGAAGACTGCCACCACCTCTGGATGGTTGTGGTAAATAGCGAGGTGAAGCGGCGTCTGCGCGTGCATCTCGTCATCCGACCCCGGACCCTTAACCGCGGCAGCATCCCTCAAAGTCTCCCCTGCCGCCTGCCCGGACTCCCTGTCCATCACCGGCACCAGGCTTGGTGTCTGACTCTGACTCGGTGCAGATGCGGGCCCGGTTTGAGCGTTGGGGTTGGCGCCACGGTGCAGCAGTTCGGCCGTGAGCTGCGCCAGGCCGAAGTGGCATGCCGTGTGGAGCGGCGTTTCGCCCTGTGAGACGATGCAAAACACATTTTACATTTGTAATTTTCGATGATGTACAGGTGGAGGATTTGTTTACAAGCAGGTAATAGTTCTTACCCACTGTGATTCAATTAACTGTCACGATTAGAGGTCACCATTCCAATCAAGTATTTGTTTCTTAGGTTCTGTCTCGTTTGTAATGTTGGTCCTGTCCATCTCATTTGTTCTTTCTCATGAATACCACTAACAAAAAGGTGAAATTTGAAAATTTACAAATAATCTGACACTTATAAAGAGTGTAGTAATCTACTAATCGACCAATTAAAAAAGGTCTGTAGATTTACCCCTGATTGGTGTGAAAAACCACTGCAATGGAATCGTGCTGCCATAGCACTAACCACGTCGCTAACGCAAACTCTATCCCACACTGTTCACACGCATGGAAATGGCATGCCCATTAACAAGAAAACAACCCCAGTCCATAAAAACCTATTCCTATTCGCTGCAGTAGTTACACTGCATGAGAGCACGGCGCATGTCCTCACCCTGGAGTTGGTGTGGTTGATGGAGGCTCCATGAGCCACCAGGAAAAGCGTGGCGGACTCGCTGCCTGCTGCTGCTGCCCGCTGCAGCAGGCTATTACCTGCACCACAGGCAGGAAGTGCAGGCACACAAATCTGTGCTTTAGATCTTACGCAAAGATGCATTTTTGTAAGCCCTTTGAAGCATCCACAGTCATCACCGATTGGTGTATTCTCCAGACATTACTGCGTCGTCTTTGGGTCTTTCGGTAGAGTCACGTAGATAGAAAAATAATAAACAATCACGACGTTTCGATCGCAACACAAGCAATCGTCTTCAGGTGAAAAAAGTACAGCAGGCGAACTACTGAGGCAGAAGTATAGCGAGAGAACTACTGCTGCAAGAGGTTATATAGGTTAGAGATGGGTACAACCCAAGGGTAAGTGGGCGGGGCTAGAGATGTAAGTAATATAATATACCTCGGCCATTGTATTGCTAGAGATTAGCATGTCAATCGGTTAATGTAACCCCACGACTATGTTTATATATCTCGATGGCTTCATGAACAAATCTTTGTTGATAGCCAGTGGGTTTGTATAGTACCTTCGTCTTGGAGAAATTAATTTCATGTGTGCCCACAGCGTTAAAACAATGATCAGCCACGGTAGAGGTATTAGTCCTCCCGTTTTTCAGATCCGCCTTGTGTTCACGAACACGGTCTGAGGCATGTCGCGTGGTTTCTCCAATGTAACTACTACCGCAGGCACAACTTAGTTTGTAGACACCGGGGTATTGCATGTCAGGGATCACATCCTTCACAGATGGGATCAGATCACAAATTTTACGTGCGTAGGTTTTTGCGGTTGTGCTGCGTAGATCTCCTTAGCGTTTCTGAGTTGTGAAGCGTGTCAATCGGCAACCCGTACAATGTTTTGCTTCATGTTCAGGAACTTGCTATCATGCCGGACAACATGCGGCATAACTCAAAAACACATCGGAGAGATGTGCTTTGGATAACCACCATTACCAACCTAAGTGAAACTCCCAGTAATAAAACAAGTCTTTCTCTTTGATCCCTGTCGCGCACCGGTTTTGATGTCAGAAGCATCGGCGTTGCTGCCCATGGCAATGAGCCGGGCAGCCAAGCACTGGGAAGGGAAGGCATCGCCGTTGAGGGCGTGCTGCCCGGCCTGCCCCTCCGGCCAGCCTGGCTCCTCGGCCACGGGGCACCGCAGCGCCAGCCACAGTGCCGTGTCCCCGTCACGGTTACGCAGCTCCAGGTCGATCCTGGGCACAAATGACGGGTGGACAACTGGAGGCATCAATAACGACGGCAAGAGCTGCGACAAGCGCAAGGCGAAGTCAAGGCTTCCAATGGAAGGACGCACTGAGCTGCAATGTTTACAACTGTGATTTCAAAATCATTTGTTTCTCATTAATTAAACTTCAAACTTGTGTTGAACAGCCACGGATACACAGCTTGAATGTGTATGGACAACAGCTGTTTTATTGGGTTGCATCTCCTTTAAGTTCATTGGTACAGTTATGGGGAAGTATTGGTAATTAGGCTTAAACCATACACTTATTATACCAATAACCGATTTAATCAAAGGCAGCTACCTGGATTGGAACCCAGGTTTTCAACGGTCAGCTTAGCACTCTGGCGTCTTGAGATACCCGGCCACCTCGGTCTAAACCACTTTAAAAATAAATGTAAATTCAAACATACGGCTTACTGCTTGCACTGCAGCAGGAGGCTGAAGACAGCTTCATTCCCGGCCACGATCGCTCTGTGTAGAGGCGTCCTGTTACCCGGGGAGAGAGGAGACAAATCAAACAAGCTCTTTAATCCACACCTGCACAAGTACAAACTCTTGTGGCAGTCCAACATCGTAACTCGATATCGGTGTTTGGACAAGCTCAGGGGCACCATACTCTCCTAATGAAACTCCTAATCCAGGTCATGTTCTGGAGTTCACACACGCGACTGGAGCCGGCAGCACTATGCTTGTTCCACATTTACAATTACGACTTTGTTATGTTATTCCTGAATATAAAAAAATAACTCGGTGAATTTATAATATGAATGAGTGGAACAGCAGTTCAAGGTAGTGATTTGATTCAGGAACTAATTGTTTTTTGAAGAGTGGTGAAGTAAGTACCTCTAAAGGCTGAAGGGGTGACATTAACCAATAATACATTGGTTTCAGATTCAGTATGGATTGATGTGTGACTACACCCCTAATAGTAACAATGAGATGCTCTGGCTGGTGATGAGTTAATGTTTCGTGATACAGTGCATGCAGCCTTTCATGGTGTGTGTTTTTGTTAGGCTCTTCCCATCTCTCATCCTGGACAAAATCAATGACACATCGGCAAAATCGATACGAATGGTAGACTGGTCGAGTACCATCAACAGCCCCCATAGGGGCCCAGGCACAGCATTGAAGATTACACTCCTTCCACATCACCCGTGAGGCGCCACATCCGTTAGGGCAGGGAACCTATGGTGTGCGACTTCATTTCATATGCCCCGGGGCCACATGAGGCATACCACTTGAAAAAAACCCGCAAACGATATTTATCCATCTTAGCTGCACTGACTGGGTACTGGAGCGGAATGTTTTGGTCTGCCAGCAGTACAGTGCTAATTGCAGCGTGCTCAGTCACATGTCTTATACACAGTTCTGTGCAAAAAGCATATGCATACAACCGCCGCGTGATCAAAGTTTACCATCAACAAGATATGTGGCCCACAAAAAGTATCTGAACGTCCTATTCGGCTGCCCTCAGTAAGGAAATATTTCCCTCACCCTTGCATTACAGCTTCGCCACAAGCAATAGCTTGAATATCTCAGCGCTGCCACTTACCATTAATGCACGATAATGGCCACTGCGTTCATTCATATTTCAAGGCACTGTACGGGTGATTAAAACGATGCCGCCCTTAACAGGATGTGCCAAAGTTGCAACGCAACAGTGTCCGAATCACAAATGGTAGGTCACAAGTGTAATCTTGGTCGTAGATCAACTTCAACCTACATCCCTCAGGGACCATTAAGCCTAGGATGCAAACCTGAAATGCTATACATTGTTCCGGAGGTTTGGTCTGAAAAACCCATACAAGCAATCACGTGCGCCTGCTCACAACAGATCACTCATAGATTCCTTTAAGTAATTAGATTTTAAATGTGTTGCACAAGGTCAAGCAAGAGGCTAAGATATATAAACCCAAGGCATCATTGCAGGGTCTCTTGCAAACGGGATTGCATCCTAGGGTTAAACTATGCATTGCTTTGTGAGAAATCAAGTGATTGTGGTTGTAACACACTGGCCCGAAGCACAGGAATGTAGAATCTCCACCACTGGCTCAGGATTATCAATGTAGACAAGTCCTGCTCATCGCGTGTGTGAGCTCAGAGACACTTCGAACTCTTGGACAAGGCAATGTCCTCATCCAATCAAGGGCTGCTGATTAGGCATGTAACAACGCATCGATTTCAAGAATATAATTGGGAGTGTAAAATAAATAGTTTTACATTTACACAAAATATTAATGTTTATGCAAATGTCAAATTTAGGCCAATAGAACAAATCTAAAAATGAGACAAAAAGAGAGATATGAGGCCAATGAGACGATTGCAAAGAGACAAAAAAAAGAAAATTTTACATCGAATTGTGCCCCTGATTTGTGCCAATTCAATGAATCGCTCCGCAGGGTGAAGGACAAGAGGGCAGAAGGTGTTGCCGTTAAGGGAGTGCTGTCCAGTCTGCCCCTCTGGCCAGCCTGGCTCCTTGGCCTCAGGCCGCCGCAGTGCCAGCCATATCTCCATCACGGTTAAGCAGGTCCAGGTCGATCCTGAGCACGAAAAATGTGGGGACGATGGAAGGCTGCAATTATGATGGCAACAGAGGTGAGTACGGACCGGCCAGAGGAATCCTGGGTGTTGGGGTTGGCGCCGGCCTCTAGGAGAGCGTTAGCGATGAGCACCATGCCGGGGCCGCTAGCGTCGTGAGCAGAGGACACCAGGTGCAGCGGCGTCTCCTGGCCTTGCACCGTCGCCGCGTTGGCAAACGCCCCGTGCCGGATCAGGAACGCCGCCGAGAACTCGTCGCCTGCCATCGTGGCCGTTTTACGTCACAAAGAAAAACAAATAGCGCCGACAATAAGGCCTGTATGCAGGTCAGCAGTGACTGCACGTAAAAAAATTAAACGCAACACTATATTTAGTTCCGCAGTTCATTGAGGCTAAATTCCAGCTCTAAAAAGCTGAAAACATCGGGTTGATTTTCACGCAAGCAAACATTACTCTCATGTGGTCGGGAAGGTTGGAGAGTGATGGCCCCGACTGTGCGGAACTTGAAAGGATCTCAATGGTAGCCCTGTGGTATCTGTTTCTGTGGGCCATACTGCAACACGAAGCGTTGCACGGCTCTGAGAGATCCCAAGTTTTACTGTTGTTACATTGTTTTTATAGCTTTATTTTGGCGATTCGAAAACATATGGTTAATCTAAATTGTCTAATGGTTTTTATTGTTGACTTGCACCACATTGTGATTTTTGCACACAGCGTTTTAATACAGTTTTTTTGGAATATTTGCTGGTTTATTCCAGGATGCTTCTGTTACGCGTCGTCACTTTAAGATGTTCTGTGTTCATATTTTGTTTGTTGCGGTTGCACCCGACTTAAGAGCTGCATGGCTCACAGGGTTATACCAAATAAATGAAACTTGAAAAGTAGATTCTTCGTCTCACGACGTACCGCCGCCGATAGCACAACCAGCATAACATTTTAAACACGTAACCCCAATGGGACAAGATTAAGCACGTTGCATGGCACATGGTGGTGGCATGCCCACCAGCGCACCCGGTGCATACCGCGTGTGATGGCACGGTGCAGCAGTGTGCAGCCCTCGCTGTTGGGCCGCTCCACGTCGGCGCGGTGTGTCACGAGCGTCGTGGCAATGCTCTCCAGCCGCCGCTCCAGCGCCAACTCCAGCGGTAGCTTGCCCGCCAGGTCAGCCTCATCCAGCTTATCCGGGAGCTTCACGCAACACGCACGCACATGGGTGTGGAAGTGTGGGAATAAAACGCCTGTTTATAAGCGACCATAAAGATGAAGTATGTAGGAGTGAACAGATACAAAGATTCCCCGTGTAACCTACTTAGGTTCTTAAGGCAAGTACGGTTAGCCAGCACCTATGAAGGCTTGAACGGTGCACGAGGACGAGGGGGTGGCGAGTTCAGCACCACACCTGTCTACCTTTGTCTACACAGTGCTGATGTTTACACACCATACTGGTATTCAATTAAGGCATGTCAATTAAAATATGCAGCGCTGAAACTGATGTCGCCAGATTTATAGCACATCGTTAACCACTTTGCCATGTTCCCCTGCCCTTGTAAACACGCACACACAACACTCAGACTCTACGTATCCAGAAAGTGCTGATCTCATCGTGATGATAATGATGACGGTAACAAACAAACATGGGCAGCACCTGTGAGTCGTACTCGATGAGGTAGAGAAACACGACGTCCTCACGCTCGGCCTTGATGGCCTGGTGCAGCGGGAAGTCGGTCGTCGACTTGAACATCTTGTAGAGGAGTGGGGCCGTTATGCTGCTGAAATCCTCTGCTCGCAGGTCATCCTGTGCTCACACACACACCATGTGTCAGCCACGGCTCAATGCCGATCATTTATTTGACAACCAATTGGATCACCGTGTCATTTTATTGTTCCACAATTAAAATATAACGCAACCCAAATAAAACTGGTAGTGGACTCTCCCAACACCATACCCAGTGGCTGGCAATGATCTCCGCGCAGTAGTTAAGCAGGGAAGTGGCGCCCAGCTCCTCGGCGGTCTGGTAGTAGCGGATGCAGTTCCTCACCGTCACCGAGGACATGATGGCTTTCTCAGACCTGCCAGGCAGAGAGAGCAGCAAGCTTGTAGGTTACTACCCCAAACCCCCCCTGCCCGGCTTTTATATTCCTAAACTAGCTGATCCTTGTCGAAATAACACTTATTTCTTTATGGAGAAGTTATTTCTTTAAACAAAAGAAAAGAACAACAATGGGCTCTTCTTTATCTCCTGCTATAGCAAATCTGTACATGGAAAACTTTGAAGCAAGAGCACTTGCTTCAAGTACATTAAAACCATGTTTTTGGTTAAGATATATAGATGACACTTTGGTTGTCTGGCCACATGGTAAAGATACACTTAATGCATTTCTAAATCATCTCAATTCACAAAACCCGGCCATCCAGTTCACCATGGAAATGGAGGTGAATAACACACTCCCTATCCATCTTAATTTGAAGCTTTCGTGACTGTAGGAATCCATACTCTTTGGTTCTTTCGGTAAAGTCACGTAGATAGAAAATGAACAAATCACGACATTTCGATCGCAACACAAGCGACCGTCTTCAGGTGAGAGAGAGAGAAAGCGACTGAAACAAGGTCTTATATAGGCCTGAGATGCGTGCAGCCTCAGGGTAAGAGGGCGGGGTTAGAGATGGTCTGCCTGAGGCTGTGGAAGTGGGACGAGATTTGGCACGGTACACAAGATTTGGCAGGGTACACAAGATTGAATAACTAGTATCTTGTACTAAAGATGAATCACCTAAGTTATAAACAGAAGGTGTGTATCGGATTCATTGCTTATGTGGCAGATGCTATATTGAACAGACTGGACGTAACATTAGCGCAAGATAAAAAAAAACACCAAATAAATATACTCTAAACACAACTGTTGGCAGTTGCAGAACATGCTTGTCAAAAAGGACACTCAATTGATTTTGATAACGTTGAAGTGTTGTGTAAAACTAATTATGACTGGCCAAGAATATTTCAAGAATCCATTGAAATTGAGAGAAATAAAAATTATTTTAACCGCTCTGACAGCTACAGGCTTAATGCGGCCTGGAAGCGTATCATTAAGTAATACATCTTAACAATTACAATTCCTTATAGAGGAAACACATACCAATTCACCGATTACTAATCTATTAGATAATTACAATAAGCCCCCTCCTCCGCCTCTAATCTCTGCACCTGATTTGGTTCCATGGTGACGTCGTCCTGCTCTATTTAAGACCTGAAGCAGGTGGATTACTTCACTATTCTGGCAAATCGCCCGATCATGCTGGATGTAATTACCAGCGAAAAGTCGTACTCAAATTGTAAATGTTGTGGATTTACTCTCCTACACACCGATGGGCTGAAGTAGTAACTAATTGGCATTTGTTTATGTGACAAAGCCTTTACTAAAAGGCTGTGTCGGGTGGTGGAGGGTTACGACACATTTATACTTAAGCGATCTAACCCAAAAAACCTTTATTATGAATATTAGTCGCGAAAGCCTACGTGTTAAACTGAACAATAGGCCAATAACCAAATCACGCAGAATCTTGTCAGATCTCCGAAGCCAAGCAGGATTGAGTCTGTATCATGCTTAGATAGGAGACCACGAAGCATAAGACATATGTTATCGACTGGTGCGTTGCTACATCATGGGCAGCAGAAGACTGCAGTAAAGTCAATTGTGTTCCTCGCCTTCATTAACCAGCACTCAATAGGGTGAAGTACGTTTAAATTACCGACTTGCATCAGTGAATTTAAACAATGGTTTTTCGTTTCCAGGTACAACTAGAGTGGAAAATGCTATGGACTACAGCAAAAGCCCGCGAGAGCCTCGAGAGCCATCATGCAATCTGTAAACACCGTCAGCACCCGCTTAGCGGGAACGCGCATGGCGGTGCTCGTGCCGACTCACCGCTCCCGCAATGGCGTCAGCTTGTACTGACTGCCCAGCTTCATGAGCTCGGTGAGGAAGGCCTCTCCCTTGCCAGCTGTATCCACGTCTTCCGTGTACACCCACCGCAGCATTGCCACTGCAACCTCCTCGTCGATGCCTGCCATCGGAGTGTCCACAGCAGCAGCATCAGCAGCAGCAACATGCAGATAAAAAATCTGAAGCAGAATTCTTTTTTTGGGCTCCACATATAAATAATTTTAGTCCAGCAGCATGTTGGCTTTCCAGACCAATATTATCAAGCAGCATTTGTTTAAAAAAAAAAAAAACTCTAGACTGGTTGTAACCTTTTGGATCTCATCAACAGTCAGTTATTATCTTGGGACAGCATCCCCATCAAAACCTTGTTGCTTACAGCAGGGTAGGGAACACATGGCTTGTGACTTAATTTTAAGCGGCCCGTGGCCATATGAGGCCGACCAATTCGAAACAGTCTGAAAATAATATGTATCCCTCACTGCAAGCACCTTAGCTGCACTAATCTGGTACGAGAGGGGAATAATTTAAACCTGACAACAACGCTGTTTCCCATTTCATCAGGCCCAGTCACTTCTGCCACTGTAAGAGGTCTCTTGCAGTGACAGGAGTGACTGGGGTGTGTGTTACTGTATGGTCTGCCAAAGAAATTTGAAAGTCCACACCACGGCTGACAGATTTGTTAATGCGGGATTCGGAAGCACAAGGGTGAAACGCGATTGGGGATCGTGTCGTACCCGACAGGTCGAGCGTGTCGGAGGAGGCCATGCTGCTCATGCTCCACAGGTCGCTGCGCGCTGCGAAGACGAACTTGTGTCCTGGCATTGCCTGCTCTTTGAGCTTCACCTGCAGGTCACTGGAAACAGTGATGGTGAGATGTACACACTGACACCACGCACCCTAAGCTGCTACAAAGTAAATAGACAGGTAAGGCAGTTGTTTAAACACTAAAATAAGATATCATTGAATCCATCCACCAATGGCGCTTTCTGATAAAGTCAAAACCAGCCTTGCTTGAATCCTACCTGGATACAGTAAATTGTCCGTGAGTCAATGACTGCAACTTTATTGTCAAACAGGCTTGAGTAATTAAACAACCACGTACACGAGTCCTGGGTCTTACCCGTCAGGACACTGAAGTGTGTCCCGCAAGCATAGTTTAGCTTTTACATTCTTGTTGAGTATATTGTTTATAACAGGGGTTGGCAAACCAATTTGGTAAAAAAAAATAGATATTTCAAGAGCCGCAACGCATGTGCATATGAAACGGTGGGTCCTTAATAAACAACATCATGAAGCAGTCCTTAAAGAGCCGCGTGCAGCTCCGGACCCACAGGTTGCCGACCCCTGGTCTATAGTGTATTTCTGAACGTGGCATTTGGTCTGCAATTACTTCCTTCCCAAAGCATTATCCGAAACGCACATTCGTTCTGGCAGCTCGAGATCTACTGCATGGGAGGCAGGGTATAAATAACGGATGACGGTGGGCGCTCTGCAGGGAAAGGAGAGGGGGACTCTTGACCACGGCTGATTATTAAGAGTGCTGTGATTATTTTTTCGATGATGATGACGACGACGCACGCGCACCTGTAGAGCTCGCTGCGGTAGAGGTCTGCGACGAACGCGAGCAGCCGTGAGATGAAGTCGTCGGCGCGTTCGCCCTGGCCTGATGCGGCTGCCAGGTGAGCGCACCTGCGTTCCGTTTCCATCAGCTTCTGCTGGAGTTTCACGTACTCCTGCCGCAGAAGCGCCAGGTGCTTCTGCAGCTTGGCCACATCTTCCCCTGCCACCAACAGCGGCAACAGAGGCAGCAGCAGCATTAGCACTGGGGCTTGGCAACGTAGCAGATCCGAGACCAAGACCAATGAATGCCCAGCTATTTAAACTGACCATTATAAAGTTGTGTCCAGTGGGAAAGAATGCACAAGGGAAGCCAGAAATAAGAGCCTGTGGCAGACAACAGAGACTCTGCGTCAAGACTAACACAGGAGCTTTTGTAAAAAGAAAAGCCAGGAAGTAATGCAGCAAGAAAAGTTTTCTGCGCCACTCCTGTTTCCTTATCCCAAACCACAAACGTGTGGTTTCCACCCTGCACCTGCGAGGAGAATCATAACTTCCTTATTCAAAGAATATATACTGTTGAGGCCATTCTTCATACTTCTAAAAAATGTATGCGAGGGTAGAACATGGAAAAGTGCTTTATCAGTCAGAGTAGCCAAGAATGCAGAGTTCTCATATGAGAGCAGATCAAGACGGAGCGTTCAGATTCAGGATCAGGGAAAACGGTCACACAGCAATTAAGGAATACTCAATTATTTGAGTTGAAACTAAATGGCAGGCGAGAGTCTAGTCCTACGACTGAGGAACAAGTGACAACACTGTGTAACAAAAAACAAATTTGTCCCTGGGTAGTAAGTCTTTTTTCCTAATTGCTTATGCGTCAAAAGTACAGAAAATTGCTATTATTCCCACAAAGTTTGCTTTTGTAACCAGGACACAAAAGCCAAGTTAATAATCCACTCCATTAATAACAGTGTAACACATTTTTTTGGGTTCCTGGGTAGTAAGTATTATTTCCTAATTGCGTATGCGTCAAAAGTACTGAAAATTGCTATTATTCCCCACAAACTTTGCTTTTGTGACCAGGAAAGTGATATTTTGAAATTGACCTATTTTCAATGACAAAACGTGTGCATTTGTGTCATTCCTTCACATAAAGTCCCGGTCACAAAAGGAATAATAGCCATTTTCTACACTTTTTAGGCATAAGTAATACATAATAACATTTACTACCCAGGGACAAACATAGTGCAATCCACAGTTGTAATGAGCAAAAACTTGAGGAGTCTAGCACTGCAGTTGAGGAAAAGGGCAGTCGAGGCTGTGAATTTGAAGAGTCTGGGGCAGGTGATTTGTCGGTTGAGTCTCAAGTTGTGATTGAGGAACCGGGCAGTCGAAAACTGTGAATGATTAGAGTCTAGAGCTGCTATTACACAGCTGTACATCTGTTAAACGACTGGACATCTGTAAAAACAAGAGCTCACCGGATTCCTCCAGTACAAATACATATTCTGATAAAATATTCGCAATGAGAGTGGAGTTGTATGTAACGGGTGGGTGTGTAGGAAGGTCTATTGCAACGAGGACCGTACTTGTCAAATCCCTTATGAATGCCTACCTTAGTACAGACCAATTCAGACCTTATTGGTCTCTACGTTGATCCTACCAAGTCCCATCACAAGGGAGAAACACACACAAATATTGAAACGCCTGTACGCCGGATGGACTTGAAAACTCAATTTCCCTGTACAAGAATACGGCTTAAACCGTATGGGTTGACAAGTATGGAGGCCGCGAGTTTAAAATCGCTCAACTATAAAGGGAGGAATCAACAACAACAAGCGCCATTCGCCACTAAGTGCCGGTGACGTCACCACGGCGCTCGTGCCAGGCTAGGTGCACGTTAAGGCCACGTGAAGTGTCGAACGCCCGCTGGCAGGAGGAGGTTACGGGACAGACCCAGGTGCCATGGGTTCGACTGAGTGAAATGGCTGAGATGACTGCGTGAGATGAGTGAAATGACTGAGTGAGATGACTGAGATGACTGAGTGAGATGACTGACTTGAGTGAGATGACTGCGTGAGATGACTGAGTGAGATGAATGAGAAGACTGACTGAGATGACTGAGTAAGCTGACTCAGATGACTGTGTGAGCTGATTGACTGAGATGACTGAGTGAGATGACTGAGTGAGCTGATTGACTGAGTGAGCTGAGTGAGAAAGCTGAGATGACTGAGTGAGATGACTGACTTGAGTGAGATGACTGCGTGAGATGACTGAGTGAGATGAATGAGAAGACTGACTGAGATGACTGAGTAAGCTGACTCAGATGACTGTGTGAGCTGATTGACTGAGATGACTGAGTGAGATGACTGAGTGAGCTGATTGACTGAGTGAGCCGAGTGAGAAAGCTGAGATGACTGAGTGAGATGACTGACTTGAGTGAGATGACTGCGTGAGATGACTGAGTGAGATGAATGAGAAGACTGACTGAGATGACTGACTGAGCTGAGTGAGATGACCGATGCACTACCACCTGTGCCCCCCCCCCCCCCGACTGTGCCAACTATAACGGGATCACCCCCCCCCTCACTCCCGCATTGTAAACCCCAGCGCGGATAGGCGAGCACGCCCCTTGGGCCGCATCCCATTGGCCGCGCGACGCCTCAACCCCTCCCGCGCGCGCGCTCTCAGCCAATCGGAAGGCGCGCGGAGCAGTAGCCGCGCGCGTCCGCGCTACGGAATCTAAACGGCGCGTCCCCGGAAGACGGCGGCGCCGACTTATCGGCCTTTACCGAGTAATTCTCCCCCCCGTTGCCCCCGAGACGGCGCCCTGATTAACCCCGCTAAAGCAGCCTGCGGGTCCCGCCACGATGGACGAACTCGCGGAGTTGCACCAAAGGACAATCTCCGCTCCCCGCTCTTCCCCGCCGCGTTCGCTCCGCTCGCAATCGGCGACCCGCTCACCGTCCGCCGCCGCCGCCATGTTGGGCTGCCTCGCCAAGTCTCGCGAGTCACGTGGAGGTCTCGCGAGAGTCACGTGGAGGTCTCGCGAGACTTGGCCACGGTAAAAGATGGCCGCGGCGGAACCGGTGAGTCGATGGGGGAGTTTGCCGCCAAAAGTCAAGCGCGGCGCGGTCGAACCGCGGATTTGTTCGGCTTGGCGCGGTTGTTTTTCGTTCATAATTCGGATTGAGTACGCACACACGTCATAGTTTCCTCACGGATTGTCAGCGCACACTCGCTGCGTCGTCTTTGAAAATAGAGATTACAACGAAGACGAAAAAACACGTCGAGAACGCACGTGACTAAACTAACGCGTTCGCATCTCTTGTAATTGAGATTGATTATAACACGAGCGATAGTTACATCAGGTTATCAACGTCTGTTGGCGTTGGTGTCGAAATATGAAGCGACGACGGCGAACAAAACATGTAACTTCAGTTCGTATACAAACATGCGCAGTCACAAACATGTTTGCGTAATTGTCATTGACGTTTTCGTCTAAGTGTCGTACTGAAATCATATTTTGCGTAATTGGATGGTCTAATACATTGTTTCTTACAAATTATTTTATTGTCTATTAAGCTATGGGCATCCAGCCAGTAGTGAAAATTCCACGTGGGAGCAACTTTCTGCTCTAAATAACTAAATGTTATGAAGCCTCGTACTCTACTGACACGACTAATTTCACAACAATGATGGTTAATGTCTTTTTTTCCCCTTGGAAAGTATCACCAAGCCTCAATACGTTCGCGAGGCAATTAAATATATTTTATTTCTGGGACACATTTTGTTCCAGTGGTGTGTACTTAACCAATCAATCCGAAATCAGTGCTACTCCGTGATGTGATAATTTTTTATTGTTTTATATTTTTATTATTTCCCTTCTACGTGACTTTACTGAAAGAACCAAGAATAGGAATCCCCGCAGTCACAAAAGCTTTAAATAAACAAAAATTTAAAATCCATTATCGAAAAATTATAATTTTTATTGTGCATCGTGTACAGCTCGTCTATGGAACCCCGGGGGTTACTATGGAAACCCCGGGGTTACCCTGGAAACCCCGGGGGTTACCCTGGAAACCCCGGGGGTTACTATGGAACCCCGGGGGTTACCCTGGAAACCCCGGGGGTTACCCTGGAAACCCCGGGGGTTACCCTGGAACCCCAGGGGGTTACCATGGAACCCCAGGGGGTTACCATGGAACCCCAGGGGGTTACTATGGAACCCCCGGGGGTTACTATGGAACCCCAGGGGGTTACTATGGAACCCCCGGGGGTTCCATAGTATTCAGACTTGGTGATACTTTCCAAGAGAAAAAAAAGACAAACATGAACCATCATTGTTGTGAAATTAGTCGTATCTGTAGAGTACGAAGCATTTTTATAATTTTACGTTGTATATTATAGCTATTGTATATTTTAGATTTTATTTTATTAAATTTTTACATACTTTAGCTCCTTAGTATTAGTTAGACTTTGTACCTTTAGTATAGTTAGACTTGTACACCACTTATTTAAGATTCCTATATGTTGAATGTATGCACCTTCCTGCCAAAGTAAATTCCTTGTCTGTGCGAACTTTCATGGCGAATAAAACCCTTTCTGATTCTGATAGGGCCACTTTAAATTCTAAACGAGTATTTAAGCTTCATGCGGGCAGAAACCAGAACTCTTGGAGAAATAGCTCCGCAAAGTCTCTACTTGCCAATGTCCTGCTCATCTCGAAGCACCCCCCCCCCCCCCAAAGTGGGTGAATAATTCCCACAAATCTATCGGAGTATCGCTTCGCAGGAATGAGAGCCCATGCGTGTTACATGGCGGAGAGACCGAGTTTGTGGACTGATCCCTACCCCTCCGTGTGTTCTCTAACCCCCCCCCCCCAGAAGGACGAGGAGGCAGGTAGCCTGAGCCCCCCACTGGCACCTGGGCGGACGCTGAGAAGCCAGCGGCGGCCCGCGGTGGGTGAAGGTCAGGGGCCATCGGTGAGCATACACCCACGAGTGCCACGCAAAATCACATCTGCTTGCTTTAACGCGTAGGCTTTCGCCACCAATATCATCCATAATACAGGTTTTTTGTTGTTGGGTTAGATGGCGTAAATATATAAATGTGTCGTCAAACCCGCCACCAACCGTACACAGAAAATTAGTCAGGTTTGTCACGTAAACAGAACATGCCGATTCGTTACTAGTACAGCACACTGGTGTTTTGGAGAGCCAAGCCACAATATTTAAAATCTGAGTACAGTAAAACTTTGGATAGCGAGCATAATTCGTTCCGGAAACGTGTTTGTCATCCAAAGCACTCGTATATCAGTTGTGATCACGTGACGCTCGGCAGACAAAGCGTATACACGTACTACTCGTATTGCAAGACCTCGGTCGTTTAATATTTATTTTTAAAAAATTATTGTCTTGCAAAACACTCACAGACCAAGTTACTCGCAATCCAAGGTTTTACTGTACGACATTTCGCCAGTACTCAGATTTTAAATGTTGTGGCTTGGCTCTCTAACACACCGGTGTGCTGTACAAGTAAGTAATTACAACTAAGTTGAAACCATATAATGGATCACATCTACTTCTTTACTGCGCCTTTTCGCCATCCTGATTAGGTTCCCGTCATGCTTCCAGTTGCATGTCAGGCGATAAGAAAATTTGCGTTTCGATTTAAAGTTTTCGTGACTGCAGGGATTCATCTTCTTGGTTCTTTTGGTAAAGTCACGTAGAAGAGAAGAAAAAAATACATAATAAAATAAAATTCTCACGACGCAGCAGAGGACGGCTGCTTGTGTTGTGGCCGAAACATCGTGAGAATTGTATTAAATAATGTTGTATATTTTTATTTAATTATTTCCCTTCTACGTGACTTTACCGAAAGAACCAAGAAGATGAACATTTGCGTTCTCACAGAAAATTAATTCGCCCAACCCATGCTATAGAGCAGGGGTCCCCAACCCTCGGGCCATGGACCGGTACCGGTCCGTGGCCTGTTAGGAACCGGGCCGCACAGCAGGAGGTGAGCGGTGAGTCCGTGCGTGGCCCGCCCATTATTTTATTTACCACTTCTGTCCACGCCTCTTTCCCGCACTGTGCACTTGTCTCAGTCACAGTTTTGGTAAGCCCACAAGCTAACCCCTAGCCAAAATGAGTAAAAAACAAACGTCGCTGGTGAGCTTCTTTGAAAAGGGGGAAAGACTGAATGATGACCTACCCCCCCCGGTCCGTGAAAAAATTGTCTTCCATGAAACCGGTCCTAGGTGCCAAAAAGGTTGGGGACCGCTGCTATAGAGAATGCCCTCCAGAAGATGAAGTCACAGAGGCTCCTCCAAGTGCCTTCTGTCCACACGAGCGTCTCACATGCCCTGCTAATGGAGATGCTTGTCACATTGAAATCAAACGGAAATAGAATGTGATAAATGAAGTGAAAACCAAATTGCATATCATGGGTTGATTTTGCATTTATTGGTAATTAAGTTAAAACCATCGACCTGCTATAATTGAGAATCCTGTGAAATCACAAGTGGAATAAAACTGGATTCAGAATGAGGGTATTAATAATAGCAGTTGAGTGCTCTGATCTGATATTACCTGTCTGAGCCACCCAGCCACTTCTCATACTGTTAATAATACATGCCATGTACCAGGTGCACTGTACACCATGTAAAACCAAGGCAATGTACAGACTAAGATCATCTCATTCCCTTAGGAATGAACACTGCCTGAAGTTCTTACAGAAACATACACAACAGAATAATATTTCAGGGAGTTCTCTTTCGAACAAAGAGTATGCAATCTGCGCAGTCCACCGTGACCTTTACTTCTTAATACAAGTTATTGTATTATAATCCATCAGACTGACAAAAAATGCAGTAGCCAAGGAAGATTTCTACATGGGCCACTGACACTAAAGAAGTAGTGCATCGTTGAACATCAGTCAATGTTAAGCAAAGCATTGGGTTTGAGTGATCTCTTCCTCTGCTGCGCTGTCCGGTGTGCGTTTGTCCAAAGAGGATGTTAATCTGTGACACACCTTTGTTTTCTCAACGAAGGTAAAATGTGACCTTCATCTCTTTGGATCAGCGGTGGCCAATTGGAGTCTCCCGAGCTGCATACGGCTCTTTAATCCAACACATGCGGCTCTATCGAAAGGGCATAACGGAGAGCATACTATCACGGTAGCAAAGAATAAATGAATGTCTCCTGTGCTGTGCTGAAAACTGTCTATATATATATACTTATATATACACTTGGCTCTTTCCAGAACTCATAAGTACTTTTTGACTCTTGGAATGTTAACAGGTTGGCCACCCCTGCTTTGGAGACATTGACGATGAGAAGCAAAAAGATTATCTGGATTTGGAAATAATTGACACCGAGTCATGCCCACCAGTGAAGAAAACGAAGTGTGTACCCGAGTCAAAGACTAATTTCATCTGTATTTCTGATTCGGATGAGGACCTCAGTCAAGAAGAGTGAGTATAGGAGAATGTGTCCAACTTTAATGTTAAAACGTAACAATTTTTTTTTACATTTCTGTCAACTATTTGTGGTGCTGGAGAAGCCATCAGTGCCAACATTTTCAGGCATACATGTCAAGCTGGAGCACTAACAAGACAGTGAACAATGGAATAGTGAGAATTTACTTGAAGACAATTTTTTAAAACCTTTTTACCTCACATTTGTGTCGCTCTAATTTGTAAATTAACGCTTTTCTTTTGTTTTCTATTATTTGTGTCTCCTTGTTGGTAGAGACTCATGGAAGAATAATTCCCCAGCCCCACCATCTCCACCAGCACCTCGGACTCGCGGCCAACAGAGACCCAGGGGAAGCCTTGACTCCAAAATGTTGTGAGCATTCCTCTTTGCGTGGTCATACTGATCTGTCAATGCACTCGCATATTTGTGCCCTTCAGGTTTCGGTCTGCATTACTATGCAGATTATATTTCTGGTAATAATGGCATGTGGATGAAGGGAACGTGAACACCCTGCTGCATTGTCACTTGAGGCCAATGCGATTCTGCTACCACAGGGAAGTGGATCGTTTGCTGAATGCTTGCCGGAGTGAGGTGGACACAAGTGGCCTGGATGACTCATTCTCACTGGTTCCTCCACCTGACGCTCCTAAGGAGGAGGTCACTGCTAAGGTCCGCTGCCAAAGCAAAGTTCACCGGATCAAACTTTTACATGTATGTATTGACCTCTGATCCACCTCACGTTTCCAAAATGGTAAATTAATGCTTTGCCTTACCAGGAGTGAAGTATGTCTAGGAGTGTCTTTATTTTAACTGTGATTCCAGTTATGTGTTTTTGTCTGATGTTTCTGGGTTGTACTTCATATGCTGGGGAGTGAAACTTTGGATATCATGCCTATACAGCACAACTGTGAAACCTATACAGAAATATTTTTTTCTATTGAAGGCTGTTTATTTACAAGTTTTTACTAAATTGAATTGAGTTTGTATTTCTCTACTCTTTGGTTCTTTCGGTAAAGTCACGGTATAAAATAAAATAAATCACGACGTTTCGGGTGCAACACAAGCGTCCGTCATCAGGTGGGAAAGCATGATCTGGTGCTGAGGCAGACTGTTTAAAAGGTTTGAAATGGGTGTAGCCCAAGGGTCGTAAAGAAGTGGGCGAGGCTAGTGATGTTAATGTGAGAAATTAGCATGTAACTAAGATCGGAGAGCGGCCTCCTCAACGAGGGCACGGAAGTGGCTATGTTAATGTGAGAGATTAGCATATTAATCTAAAATCGGAGAGTGGTGCAATCCAAAGGCATGAGTGCAACCCAATGGGTGCAATCCAAAGGGCATGTGAGCAGGAGAGTGCAATCCAAAGGCATGAGAGTGCAATGCAAAGGACATGTGAGCATGAGAGATCTAAGAGAGAGGCATAGAGAGAGAGACAGAGAGTCGGAAATAACAGCTGACATAGCCAGGTAGGATGGAAACATCACAGTCAGTTAAGACTTTACCTGGTTAATAGCGTCCTTCCTCTCGGTTGAGGTTGTGTCTGTGTGTATATATCCGGATGGCTTCATGAACAAATCTCTGAAGGTAGCCGGTAGGTTTGCAGAGTACCTCTGTCTTGGAAAAATCAATTTCGTGTGAGCCCACAGCGTTAAAACAATGATCAGCAACGGCAGAGGTATTGGTCCTACTGTGTTTCAGATCTGCCTTGTGTTCACAAACGCGGTCCGAGACATGTCGTTTCGTTTCCCCAATAATAACTGCTGCCGCAACCACAACTCAGTTTGTAGACACCAAGGTATTGCATGTCAGGAATCACATCCTTTACAGATGGGATTAAATCACGGATTTTGTGTACTGTGTTGAAACGAACTTGGATCTTGTGTTTGTTTAAGATTTGGAAATATTTTTGGTAACCCCTGCTATGTAAGGTAAAGTGATGGTTTTGGTTGGATCCTCCGAAGGTTGTCTCCGCATGGTTGGGGAGACAGCTTTGCAGATTGTACGGTCCGAATATCCGTTCATCCTGAGGGCTTGGTGTACGTGCTCCAACTCACTGGCTAGGTGGTGCTGGTTGGAAATGCAACGGGCTCTATGGTGTAGTGTTTTGATGAGGGAATTCTTCTGGGCTGGATGGTGGTGGGAGTCAGGCTTTAGATAGGCATCCATGTGGGTGGCTTTCCTGTAGACGGAATATCCCAACGAGCCATCAGGTCTCTTCTCGATCAAAACATCCAGGAATGGTAGCTTGCCATCCTTTTCCACTTCCATGGTGAATTTCATAAACTGGTGTATAGAATTGATGTGGTTGAGAAATTGATTCAGTGCTGGCAGGCCATGTGGCCAGATGACGAATGTGTCATCCATGCATCTCTTCCACAAGGAAGGACGTAGGGTGGATGTCTGGATGGCATCTATCTCAAATTTCTCCATGAAAACATTTGCTACCACTGGCGATAAGGGAGAACCTATTGGGGTACCCTCATTTTGTTTGTAGAATGTACCATTCCAGGTGAAGTATGTGTTGGTAAGGCAGTGCCTTACCAAAGTTGGTACATCAGGATTCAGTCCTTTTTGGACCAAGTCTTCAATGATTGCAATGGTGTCAGGTACAGGTACATTGGTGAACAGAGAGACTACATTGAAACTGACAAGCAAATCATCTGGAGACAGTGAGATGTCCTTGATTAGAGAAACCAAGTGAGCTGAGTTAAGTACAGCTGAGGTGGACTTCCGCTTGAAAGGAAGCAGGGTCTCAGAAATAAATCGGGCCAGTTTGTAGGTGAGTGAGTTAATGGTAGAGACGATAAGATGGAGCGGGGGTACCTACTTTGTATTTCTCATTTCACAGAAGCAAACGATTCCCTTATACATCTAAATATATGTTTACTTATTCTTTGGGTCTTTCGGTAAAGTCACGTAGATGGTTCAAAGAAAATAACAAAAAACTACGACGTTTCGATCACAACACAAGCGATGGTGATCAGGAGGAAAGAGGGATGACTCGCTGACGATCGCTTGTGTTGTGATCGAAACGCTGTAGTTTTTTGTTATTTTCTTTGAACCATCTACTTGACTTTACCGAAAGACCCAAAGAATATCAATTCCTGCAGTCACGAAAGCTTTAAGTCAAGATGTATATGTTTACTTGTAACTTATCTGCCAGGCATGACTCGATAAAGCAGCTTTGATTAATTATCCTGTTTTGTGGTGCATTGCTGTGGCCTCAGGACGAGTGCTTCCATTCCGTCATAAGCCACATTGCTATCACCTTGGAGGTGGAGCCTGCGAGGGTGAGCCTCTTCCTACATGAAAAGGAGATCTCTCCCACTGACACGCCCTTGTCAGTCCAGCTGTCCATCACCGACATTATCGGTGAGTCACACTGGCACGTACTGCATGCATCTGTGGCTTTCCACTCGCCACACATTAGCGGACTGTGGTTTTCACTAAATCATGAATATTTTTGAATCACCGTGTCTTCGGGTTTCTTCTTTACATATGAGTGACACTTGAAACTTGGTAACATTATACATGAATTCGCATGAGCCACGGCAGAGAACATTGAAGCTCATTTGATCTTGACCCGCTGAGGCCTTATTTTGTACACTGAATAATATATGTTTCCACCTTTATTACAGAATGCATCATCACAAAATCAGCCCCAGCTCGAGACGGACCCACACATAAGCCTGCTAATGCCATTGCTCTGAAAGTGCAGAGCACAGAGAAAAACTCAACCCAGATTATAACCATCGGCAAGGTATGAAGTCCTTTGTTCGACACAAACTAGCACTAAATTGACTTTTGTCTCAAAGTTAAATGTTTATCATAGCATAGTCTGATTTTTTTTAAACATTCCATGAAGTTTATCAAAAAATAATATGTTATTGTGTCCCTCCAGCATGTTTTATTAAGTTTATAAAGCAAATGCTGTATAATTTACACCACAATGTTATTGTGCACTCAAGTTGTCTAAACTTTACATTTATATGTCTCATAGCACGATGCTGATAGCACAGTTGGGATACAATTTAAAATGACAGCTGCTTAGGACAGCTACTTAGGACTACTTGGGACATTTCTCCCACTCAACGCTTAGGATGCATTGCTCAAATTTGACAGGCTCATTATGAATACTGAAGATATGTAAACTACACATGATAATGTCAATACCAATTTACTTCAACAGTAACAGTTAAATGCAGAGGATGTCTACCGTGGTGGACATGGGGAGATAAGTAATACTGTACTTGGTGTTCGCTTTCTTAATGGAAGTCTTCAGCATGCTATGAAACTGAGTGCACGTGAGCTATTAAGGGGACCCTTAAAAGCACTGAGCGCAACTTTATTATCCAGATGCACACACGCACAACCGGATGTTGGTGCGTGTGTGCTCTTTATTTATTCATGGGCGCAACTACATATTTGCAGCTGTGGATATTTCTTTTGTAAATAATTTTTAGGTAAACTTGCACATTTTTTCAGCAAAAAAAAAATCACTTTTCTATAGCACAGTTTTATCTTTAATTTGACATCAAAATTGTTGTGGGGCTTGTGGTTGCGGTAGAGATAGGAATACAGAGAAATATAAATGTGGAACATAGTAGTCTCCCCCTATGGAAGAAGCTAAAAACAAAGAGATAGCAATTAGCCCCTAAACTACAGTTTATATTTAGAAAACAAATATAGTGTGCTTTTATTGATTTCAAACTTAGCTTGAAAGCATTATTGCATTAGCTCTGTCTGTAACATGTCACAATAATTATTGTAAAGATCATCCAATATGAATGCAATGTTACTATAAGGTTGTGTTGCTATTCGGGACTTACCTGAGAGGGAACCGGCAAAATTTATCTAAATCTTTTATATAAAAGTAATTTTTGTCTGTCTGTCTGTGTGTGTACACACCTTTGTGACGCTTTTAACTGACAAACTGTGGGGTTTATGTATCAAAAAAGTACCCAGATACCACACAATAAGCCCCAGGATGAAAAAGCGCTATTCGTTTTTACCATCCATCAAATTTAAAGTAGTTAAATTAACAATGTATTCCTTTTATACGCTGAGGGCAGCGCCAACGCACGCATCTGCACATGCGTGAGAACGCTGACTCGGTGGGGACAGGGAAAAATTCTCATTCACGTTAAAAACGCAAAAAACACAACACTGAGGTAAATTCTTCAAAGTGTTATATTCTCTTCTCCCCCCCTACCCCAATGTGCAGTTACTACTATAGAGCCGCTAGATACTACTGTAATACGAGAGCTCACCGACGAGCGCCGATCAGTGGGATAGGCTCCGCCGCTTGGGCCATCACCCAATCAGAGGGATGGGCCGAGGTTAGGGGCGGAGCTCAGAAGGCTCTGGGGAAGTAACCATCTAGAAGGTTCGTGAGGGGGCATGGCTGTAGGCGGGGATTGGTGACGTAGGCGAGGGGATATAAGGGGAAGCGGAAGAGAGCTCAGGGTCAGTGTGTGGAGTCAGAGAGCGGGACCACGTCGCTCGCCTCCGGGACACCAGCGGCTGCTACTGTAGAGTGGCTGGGGGGATGGTGAGGGGGGGGGGTAGCAGCCCAGCCCTAGGCGGCCAAGGTGCCACCTCGGCCGGCTGGACAATCTCGCCAAGGCCGGTGATACTCCGCGGGACTAGGCCTCGCCACGGCACTCTGAAGTTAGTAGATACTGCTATAAAGTCGATGAATATCATAGAGTCGGGATGGTACGACTATAGAGTCGGTAGATACTACTATAGAGTTAGTAGATACTACTGTAGTCAGTATATACTGCTATCAAGTCGGTAGATACTACTGCTGTCAGTAGAAACTACTGTAGAGTTACGAGATACTACTATAGAATCAGTAGTTACGACTATAGTTGGTACATACTATAGAGTTAGTAGCTACTACTATATTACTGTAAAGTTAGTAGATACTGCTATAGAGTCGATAGATACTATTCTCGAATCGATAGATCCTATTATAGTCGGTAGATACTGCAGAGTCACTACTGACTCTATAGTAGATACTACTATAGAGTCAGTAGTTACGACTACAGAGTCGGTACATACTATTGTAGAGTCGGGAGATACTACTGCAGTCGGCAGATGCTCCTATAGAGTCAGCAGATTCTGCTATATAGTCAGCAGATACTACTATAGAGTTAGTAGTTACTACTATCGTCAGTAGATACTACAATAGAGTAAATAGATACTACAATAGATTCAGTAGATACTACTGTAGAGTCAGTAGTTGCTACTACAGTCAGTAGATACCACTATAGTCACTATATACTGCTGCAGTCAGTAGATATGACTATAGAGTCACAAAGATACTGCTGTAGAGTCTACAGATACTACTGTAATGTTCTCGAAGGAGACGGAGACTTCTTAGAGGCCACACACTTTTATTCACTAACAGTTACGACATCTTGACACACTGGGGAATGGCCCCTTTACCACAACCTAGGGAGGTACAGCCTCCGGGCTATTCTAACCACACTCCCTACTCAAGCCCTACGGCTCTTTAGCCTAGGGGAGGCTAACCCACACTGGCACCCCGCTCAGCCCGGTCCTGTCAGAGGACATCGGCGGCTTGGGGTCCAGGGTCTTCGGGCGGCTTCTTGCTTCAGCTTGAGACGGACTAACTCCCGCTCTCCGGGAGCCGTCTTATATACTCCCTGTCTCTGAGGGGCGGGGGTTCTGGGGGCCCCCAGCTCTCGCCAGCCCCCTCCCCTCAGAGCGGTTCCAACCGCCTCTTCCCGACCGGTTCGGACCGGTTCAGACCGGTACCTACCCCTCCCCTAGGTTGTGGGGCGTGTGTCTATCTTGACCACCACACTACTATAGTCAGCAGATACTACTACGATCAATCAATCAATTGGCCTGTGTCTCGAGAAACAATTCTTTTGCGCTTTATGAGGTCAGCTGTAGGTTTTGCAGCGCCTTGAATTATTTAGAAGGCCAATCCTTGCCACAACAATTGCAAGTGAATGCGGTGGCAGCTATAGAGTCTGCAGATACTACTATAGAGTCAGTATTTAATACTATGGAGTTGATTGATACTCCTATAGGGTCGGCAGATACTATTATAGAGTCAGTAGATACTGCTACAGTCAGTAGATACTATACAGTCAGATACTACTACGGTCAGTAGATACTGCTATAGTCAGCAGATACTCCTGCAGAGTCAGTAGTTACTACTATAGTCGGTAGATACTACCGTAGAGTCGGTAGATACTAGTATAGTCAGTCAATAATACTACAGTCAGTAGATACCACTACAGTTAGTAGCTACAACTACAGAGTCTGCAGATACTACTATAGAGTCAGTAGATACTACTCAATCTATTGTATATAGGGTGTGTAGGTATATATGCCTACGGGGGGGTAAAAATATTTTTTTGGGGGGGGGGGTCAACAATTTTCGGAAACCTTTTAGATCAACCATTTACCCCCCACTTTCTAATTATTTTTTATTCAGGACTTCTACAAGCCGCTTATAATGTTGTTGACGGACAAATGGACAAACGGAACGCCGGGCTTTCACAATAGCTTCGTATTTGTATATGTTATGTTTTTAAGAGAAGACAAGTTTTGTAATATATTTTTTCCCCGGGCAATGCCGGGTACTTGCTGCTAGTAGTTTATAAAATTGTGGCTATAAATACCAGTGCAAATAGGATTATCCTTGGTAACTAAGGCGATGATGTAATTTCGTGCGACATTTCTTGACATCACATTGCAGATGATGCTTGACAATTCCATCTTGTGCGGCTTATATCTAACTTCATTTTTGGTAATTAAACACCAGATTAAGTTGGGAAGCAGTACATAATGTGCGAGTATGCATTATTTTCTCCCCTTGTATAAAAGCTGAAGATAAATTCCATGGTGGTGACATCCCTTCCCCTTAAATCCAGACGGAGCCCCTGAGCGTGTTGATGGAGAAGTACACAGCGTCGGTGGGGTCGGGCAAGCAACGCTTGATGTTTCTGCTTGACGGAGAGGACCTTGATGGCACCAGCACGCCCCACGAGCTCGACCTGGAGGATGGTGACCTCATCGATGTGCGGGTCATGTGATGGCAAATAATTGGTAATATACGCCATTACGTAGACTTCACACTGTCGCTGCTGAATTGTGTGCCCAGCCAAGGCAAGGCTGGATTATAATTCTGAAGTTTTGCCATCGACCCCACGAGTACCAGTGTTGTGTTGGAGAACGAATGTTTACCAGTCCTAATCAGCCTCTTTCGTTACTGTTTGTCAATGCAATGTTATTAAATGTAACCACATTAATCACAACCACATACCATAAACAAAATATAAGCAAAACTACAATTTAAGCTCAACCACAAGTCAAAATATAATTGCAACACATTGTTACTACTGTATAACCATAATCACAACAACCTGATAACCACAAGCTTCACCACAACCATCACAATCCAATCACAACCACTATATAACCACAACCATAACTACATTACAACTATTACCACACTATAACCACAACCATGACAACAAAACCACAACTTCAACCATAAGAATATCATAATCACAGCCATAACTGCATTCTAACCACAACCATAAGCACAACCACGGCACGTGCCTGCCCCCACTCCTTCCGTGAAAATGTTCTGCATAGTATTTGGAAGATTCAGAGCATGAAAAAAGAACACATGGGAGCCTTATAAAGTATATATGTATAGATCGATTTTTTTTTATTTTACCATCGAACCTTTTGGGTTTTGTTTGGACCTCAAATAGCTGCTTTCTACCAGCACTTTCCCCTACTGTGTACAAGGCTAACGAACACTTTCACATTTATCACCCTGTGTTCTTGCGTCAGATGCTGTCGAGAATGGCAGCTCCTGATTGAGCCATCTGGGAATGTCTGATGTGAATGTTGTAACAGTGACCAAAATGGCACTGAATAAAATGTATGTTACAGCTATGAGTGGTTTACTCCCAACATAAGTCTGTTGTTTTCCTAGACGAGTTCAAAGTCTCAAGTATGCAATTATGTAACGGTTTTATGACCTCTTGTACTTTAAATAAATAAACATTGACAAGCCTGTCACTGTATTTTATACATGATCCTTATGGCGGTACCCTGGGGTACCAAATAATACAAAATGGCCAAGGCAATTAAATGTTTTATTTCTCGGACACTATTTTTCCAGGGGTGTATGTACTTAACTCCGCGACTGGAGTACCAACCAATCCGAAATCGGTGCTACCCCGTGATGTCGAAACGCAGCGAGGACGATTGTGCAGAAACCCTGAACGCTCGTGTGCACCGTAGTGCAGCGTGTACAGCTCGTCGAGATGAGTCGATTGCCGCATCGTCGACCATCATCAGACTAAAAATGACTGCATCACGGACATTATGCGAGAGCCTGGATACTATGGTACCCCGAGCTACCGCCATAAGGTTCACTTGTATAATACAGTAATATCTGGTTCAACAAACCCTGAAACCTGAGTCCGTACTCGTATTGAATTCTGAACACAATCGTTACAGTTATCGAATTTCACAAGCTTTACCTCGTTTATGGCAATGACTTTTCTCCCAAGCACCGGGTTTTGTGTTGTTTTTTCTCCCCTTCGCACTTACATTACAATTTTGGTAACAGCGTCATCGTCCTTCATGTGAAGAGACACATTTCCACTTGCAAAATGTTTTCGTCGAAAGTGGTGAAGCATATGTAATGGAATTTGGAAGTTGACATCACAACTATTTCTGGGGTCTCAACAATTGCTTCTTCACTACACAAGATGCTGCACTTTCTCACATGTCCTGTAAGAGCTGGTTGTCGAATGATAAAAAAAAGTTTGTTTTACTTAACAGAGCTTGAATATAAGTGAAACACTTAAATTGTGGGGGGTTTTGTGCAGTCATTGGTTATGGGGCTTAGGCAAGATGTTAATTCCCTTGCCTGGTATGCAGGATGTCGGGAGTTCGATCCCAACTTTTGACACTTTGTGTATTTGGAGTTTGCATGCTCTCCCTATGGTCGTGTTGATTTTTCTCCGTATTCTCCGGGTTTTCCCTCCACATTTGGAAACATGCATTTAGATTATTTGGCTGCTATACATTTCCACATAAGTCACTTCGTTGAGCTATCATTTTGTGACCTGGTTGCATTTGAAAAATAGCTATAGAGCTCAGTGGGCCTGACCTAGCAAAATAAAAAAGATAGCAATCTATCCAGAAACAACAACAAACTACATTTGTCAATAACATTACCTTAAAAGGTTACAATCGGCAATTTTTGGGCCATTGCCCTTCATAGCACAACGCTTTCAAAACTAAAGTGTTGGTCATCTTGGTCACTTCCCTTTGGAATAAATGTTTAGACATTTATATAATAATTTTTTCAGTAAAAGTGGTTTCCTGCTCAAGTGAGCGTGAGGTAGCGTTCATCTGTTGAGTGGAAATTCAACATTCTTTTCGATAACGTTACACAGTAGTACAGTACTTAACATTATTGATCCAGGAAAGATGGTAGACTTGAGTCGACCCGCTGCTCAGATTTATGTACAAAACCAATGATACCTGCATGTATGCGCATGCAACCCAAACGTAGTATGTATATAGGGTTAGGGCATGTCCCTGCCTACCCGTTCATCTCACTATTCCGCGCACTCTCATCTCACTCCACTCCTATCCTCCAGCCTCCCATCTCGCTCTACTCTCCTCCACACACTCTCCGACCTCTTCCTCTCTCATCTACCAACCTCCACGTGCTTTCTCAAAGTCCTAGGGTCGTTCTTCTCTGTTGCTCTCATAGCCTGGAACTACCTTTACCCCCCTCCCCAAGCCATCCGTGCTGCTGACCTCCGACTCCTATTCAAGTCATTACCTGGGACGGAGTTACCTGGATCTTTGTGAAGTAAACGTGCTCAACTGTATCTGTGCGGCGTCGAGAGATGCGGGCGCGTTTCGGCAGCGCTGTGTAAATCAACATGGCATTGTATATTGAGACAGGTTTTACGACTTTTCCACCCAACCCTCTTCCAAGTCCTTGCGGCAATGCAATTCAATCCGCACGCAGCGTCGCTTGACACTCATCGCCCGTCCACCTCTCCTCACTCACCGTGAGCCCCTCTCTCTCGTGTAACCTCAGCCAAGGCCCGGCAGATGCTGTGCGGAAAAATTAAAAATAAACTTACAGTGTGGGTCAACACGTTACAAACCACTGACCAAATAGCAGCGTCATTGCCCCGCTACCATCATTCGCCGGCAGCATTGCAACCGTTAACCAGGCTACTTACTACCAAGAAGCTGTGTCCCGGGCTCACTGGACAACCTCGGGATAAGATTTGTTGATCATCTCCCAGCCGTACAAAGGAAGAAGTCTTCTTCAAGTCAACGGATCTCGATGTGAGTCTATGGGTGTCTCTCGTTCTGTGAGGCTGTGTGTTTATGTAACCGGTCACTGAGAGTCGATGGGCCCTCTGTGATCAAATTGGTGCTTATGTCTGCGGATCTCCGTGTATGAACCTCTTAAGTTCCATACCTGTCAACCCATGCAGTTTTACACGTGTTCTTGTACAGGGAAATTTTGTTTAAAAAATCGTCTATTTGTCTCTCTCCCTTGTGATGGGGCTTTGTAGGATGAACGTTGAGATTTAAAGGGGCACGGGGTGACCAATAAAGTCTGTAAATTTGTCCGTAATAAGGTGGGGGCCACTGATAAGGGACTGACATGATGTATTAAGTTCATGCGTATATACTTGTGCTGCACGTGTATTGTATCTCAATCCACGGACCACACAGTCACGACCGCTTCATGGATTCTCCCGCAACGATTCAGATACCCACCAGGCGTACTCCTCAAGTGAAAAACACTTTCTCGGGCACGGCCCATGGTGACTAAAACCACGGCCCATGGTGACTAAAACCACGGCCCATGGTGACAAAAACCACGGCCCATGGTGACAAAAACCACGGCCCATCGTGACAAAAACCACGGCCCATCGTGACAAAAACCACGGTCCATGGTGACAAAAACCACGGCCCATCGTGACAAAAACCACGGCCCATCGTGACAAAAACCACGGCCCATGGTGACTAAAACCACGGCCCATCGTGACAAAAACCACGGCCCATGGTGACAAAAACCACGGCCCATGGTGACTAAAACCACGGCCCATGGTGACTAAAACCACGGCCCATCGTGACTAAAACCACGGCCCATCGTGACTAAAACCACGGCCCATCGTGACAAAAACCACGGCCCATCGTGACAAAAACCACGGCCCATCGTGACAAAAACCACGGCCCATCGTGACAAAAACCACGGCCCATGGTGACAAAAACCACGGCCCATCGTGACAAAAACCACGGCCCATGGTGACAAAAACCACGGCCCATGGTGACTAAAACCACGGCCCATCGTGACAAAAACCACGGCCCATCGTGACAAAAACCACGGCCCATGGTGACAAAAACCACGGCCCATGGTGACAAAAACCTCGGCCCATGATGACAAAAACCACGGCCCATGGTGACAAAAACCACGGCGAACATTCAAACACGGCCACCGTGGGTGGGTGACACCGAGGCTCACGCGACCACACCACGAGCTGTAACTGAAAGGCAGTTGGAGGAACAGAGAATAAGAAGGGGGGGGAGTCCATCTGTGTGTCTCTCATCCTCCGCTGGTACAAGAGGCGGGGTCTACGCAGAGAAGGAACTTTACCGCCCTGCGGCTATTAAAGCCCCACACAGCTGACTCCATTCTCGCGCACGTGCGTGCGTGCGTGCAACCGGCGAAACGAGGACACGAATCTCGTCGCAACTTCCTCCGGCATTCCCAGGTGAGATCCGCGTCGTTTGCAAGTTAGCCCAGCTAAAGCTAAACTAGCTGCAGGGACTATTTATGTCCCAGACTTATTGGCCGCGTTCTATTAATACGGATGACTTCATCCAATGGCTGTCAATCGGCGGTTCAGCGTGGTGAAGAAACTATTGTTGTGTATAATTTTGGGGATGACGAGGACTTCTCCCCCCCCCCCCCCCCCCCATGTTTGACATCTAGCACAGGCAAGGGACCTTGACATTTTGCAATTCCACAGTGTTGGTTCAACCCTGGCTGTTGATGAAATGTGGAATGTCGAAACCGGCCCAGAGTCTTGCTTGCGTTGGACCGCCGTGGCTTTAATAGAAAGCGTGCGTGTGTATGTATGTGCGATGAAGACACGGTCGTTATATGTGTGTACATTATCGTTTTTTGTACCTTTCAAGGCCAGTATTTACCCTTTAAGGCCAATCGCCAATACCGTGATTACTGGCGATTGTGTTGAGTGGGGTTTTTTTGTCTGAATCGTGCACCACGGCCATCGCAACGGCATCACCAAACAACGCATCAGCAGCGCCCCTCTGTCCTTCCAGAGGCCCGAGACTAAATCCAAAAGGAAATGAAATCGGCGTACAGAAAATCTAGATCAGCGTACAGAGAACTGTTGCCGAATGACGATGTGCGCGATTGAAACCGTATGGCGCACATGCCTCGCTGCGGCTCCCTGCCAGGCTCGCTGGTGTGGCGTTTTGTTTGTGTCGCACACGATCAAGAAGGCCGGAGCGAAACAACTTTGCGCGGAGAGGCCAAAACAAATAAAACCGCAACAACTGCAAACAGCCGTGACCCGAGACGAACCACCGCGTGACCCGAGACGAACCACCGCGTGACCCGAGACGAACCACCGCGTGACCCGCGAGACGAACCACCGCGTGACCCGAGACGAACCACCGCGTGACCCGCGAGACGAACCACCGCGTGACCCGAGACGAACCACCGCGTGACCCGCGAGACGAACCACCGCGTAACCCGAGACGAACCACCGCGTGACCCGCGAGACGAACCACCGCGTGACCCGAGACGAACCACCGCGTGACCCGCGAGACGAACCACCGCGTGACCCGCGAGACGAACCACCGCGTGACCCGCGAGACGAACCACCGCGTGACCCGCGAGACGAACCACCGCGTGACCCGAGACGAACCACCGCGTGACCCGCGAGACGAACCACCGCGTGACCCGCGAGACGAACCACCGCGTGACCCGAGACGAACCACCGCGTGACCCGAGACGAACCACCGCGTGACCCGCGAGACGAACCACCGCGTGACCCGCGAGACGAACCACCGCGTGACCCGCGAGACGAACCACCGCGTGACCCGCGAGACGAACCACCGCGTGACCCGCGAGACGAACCACCGCGTGACCCGAGACGAACCACCGCGTGACCCGAGACGAACCACCGCGTGACCCGCGAGACGAACCACCGCGTGACCCGAGACGAACCACCGCGTGACCCGAGACGAACCACCGCGTGACCCGAGACGAACCACCGCGTGACCCGCGAGACGCGCTTCCATGCGACTGCGCTGGACAACAACAACAATAACACCCTCTTAGGTTTTTTCGGTAAAGTTACGTAAGTAAAAAATAAATAAAAATAATAGAAATAATAATATAAATAACATAATAATTTTCTTTCTATTATTATTTCAATTATTTGTATTCTTTATTTTTACCTACGTGACTTTGCCGAAAGAACCTAAGAGTATGAATCCTTGCAGTCATAAAAGCTTCAAATCTAGAAACAATAACACCATTGGAACCTCCTTTGCCAGCAGCAAAATATGATAATTGTTTTTTTTACCCTTTTATCTGGCAACAAAATTGACACCTTTTTTTGGACATAGCCCAAGTGTTTTTTTTAAATACACACACGAGACACTATGCAACACGCACGGTTCGTGAACTACAAGTGACGCAACACATCACAAAACACAATGCAATACTGTACACAAGACACTCAACAATACCCACAGCACACAGTTACATACAACGCATGACACGCGTTCATACACGAGATTGAAAACAACACCAATGACCACACAGAAGACAGCAGCGAACACATAACAGCATCATCAGCAGCCCCAATACGGCACACAACTGACGCCTGTCAAAACAATACAAGCCCCCAATTGTGGTTCTCACGCACACACACACGGGCATGCGAGGTCCACGTGCCTTGACGTGCCCCCACGAATTGGGTAGCGTCTTTTAGACATGACGCGGGGGTGATGACTTTTCACGTGGAATCCCCGACAGCCCTCACCTGCACAGGTGGGCCAGCCTTCACGTCTCACCTATACAGGTGAGACACCCCCTGCTTGCACAACTACAGCTAACTTTCATCTCGACTCGCCCAGGCTTCATTCAGAATCCAGACCCCAAGAGCCCACATTTTGCACAGGTGAGCCACACCTCAGTTGTTTTAAGCGAGTCCCCACTCGGCCGTATCGGTGATCCATCCCCTCCGTCTGTCTCTTGTGTTCTCTCCAGAATCCCCCACCGAGCCACGATGGAGGCGCGGGACACGGGGGCGGCCTTGACAAACGCGTACCGGGGTCTGGCCGCGGGGGGCTGCTCCCTGCAACCCGTGCAGGAGCACTTCCCGGGGAGCGAGGCGAGAAGCTTCCTGCTGCAGCACAAGTCCAAGACCTGGGATGAGCCAGACACGATCAACCCCGAGGCCTCCTCCGCATCCCTGTGTCTACCCTCCTCGTCACTGTCCACCACGTCTTTCCACCGGGTTGTCATCACGGGAGACAGCGCTGCGGATGTTACCTGGGTTGGTGCAGCAGACTCCCCACTCCCCCCCCCCCCCCATCGCGTTTCTGTTAATGAACCAATCAATGAAATCATTTTAGATTTGAGATTTAGGCAGCCTTGATTAAAATTCATATTTCAAATTGACTCGAGTATGAGAAGCAGTCGCACCTGAATACAGTTCAAAGGTGGATTTATCCAGTTCCGTACAACAAAAATACTGGTATTTAATTTATTATTTTTATCTTTATACGTGACTTTATCGAAAGAACCAAAGAGTAATTCCTGCGGTCACGAAAGCTCCAAATTAAGATACAATAATAAAACCCCACTACTTCGCAAATAAAAAAAAGTTACTATATAAATAACGAGAAAACATGCACATAACAGGGAAAAATAATCGCTGAGAAAATACATTAAAATAAATCCGTTCCGTCCTCATACCCCAGACCACAATCTCAAAAAATTTCTGATAAAGCACATTATTATTGATTTAATCCCTGCAAGGCAGAGGAGACGTACATATTTGACTCAGTCCCTTCGGTCTCACCTCGGGGAGACGGAGAGGTGAGGTTCTTTGTGTCTGGATACAGGGGCGCCACGGTGACAAGGAGATGTTAACTTCCTCGCCTGGTATAGAGGAGGTCGTGGGTTCGATCTCGACCCCGACGGCTGTATATTTTAATTTTGCATGTCTCCCCTCTCCCTGTGGTCGCATAGATTTTTCTCCGGGTCCTCTGGTTTTTCCCTCCACATTTCGAATCATAGCTGCTGCTATAAATCTTCATATGATATACCACTTTGTTGGGCTATCATTTGTGGCCAGATCGCTTCTGAAAAAACTACATAGCTCAGTGGGCCTTACCTGGTAAAATAAATAAAAGTTTCGTTTTAATAGTTATACTGACTCCAATCATCCTGCCACCCCCACCACCCTCAGCATTTGTTCCGTTTCATCAATCTCCATGTCTCTGATGTGGCATAGCAGGGAATATACACAGATTGAACATGGTACAGTGGATGGTAAATATAAACGAATAATATATTCACCACTTAGGATTTACTGTTGACCGTAATTACAGCGATGGGAACGATAACTCCAGTTAATAATCGTTGAACATAACGGAGAGGGCAGACAGTTGGGTAAGAGGGAGTTGTGAGCAAAAGAGTCATGCAAAAGTTTGCCAAACAAAGGCAAATACTGTAATTGTTTGAGGGACAGCAGTGGAAAACACAACTGTGAATGAATACCGAGGGAAATTATTGATTACAGACCATCTGCTCGCAAAGACAGTCACCAGCCATGATCAATGCACTGCTAGATGAAGGCCTCTTTTAAGTTGTCTGCTCACACAGAAGTTCTCTGCGCCCACCACCTGCCCTCTCCTGTCCCAGGTGAGGCCAGCCGAGCTGCAGGACATTGCGGCCAAGCTGATGGCAGCCATGCGAGCGCGGCAGGAGCGCATGGCGGCCTCACTGCAGCGTTTCCCACGCACCGCCACGCGCTTCCTGCGGCCGCCGGGAGACAAAGTGGACGGCTGTGGCACGGAAGACGGCCTGCCCAACGGTTACCCAGGTGCGCACGGCGAGGCCTGCGGTCCCCATCGCACGAGCTCCCCCGTCAGGGTTGAGCGCCGGGCATGAAGCTTGAAATTTCCCAAGATGGCAGTGGAGTGGGGGGGGGGGGGGAGCGGACCTGAAATGTTAGGGTTGAAAAAAACGATAGGGCTCGACACTCATAAAAAACAATCAAGGCATCTTTTTTCTGGGGGGAAGGAAATTTTCCTCACCCCGCCCTTGGATTTGCCACCGTGTCTCCTTGCCACTGCCCGATACACAAGCGGTATGGGGACTGGCACTGCAGGCAGATGCTTGTTACAAGCCGATGCTCAAATCACCCAGAATGCACCCAATCTCGTTAGTTCAAGGTAGCTGACCGAGCAGGGCCCAGACTGTGCTTGGATGGGCATCGGCCTCGCATCGGGGATTGCTTATATACATGCACTCCGCACATGTCGGTACAACCTACTTGATGCTTCATTTTAATTTAAAAGGAATGGTCCCATGGACGCAGAAAGCGCAGTCCCTCATCTCCCTCCTCACCTTGTCCCTGCACACGACATTGTGCACTCAATCTCTTGACTGGCAGATGGCAGTGAGGTGGTCGTTGCAGAGTTATTTTTTCACTGGTTTAAAACATTTGTGCTTGCTCTCCAGGTCAAAGTTAGCTCATTTCCTCTCAAAAAGCCACGTTGCATTTTGGAGGGATTTTTTGCTTGCAAATGTTTGGTGGCTCATTCATCCTTCTACTACTTTTTGTTCTCGAGTTATAAGCAGTATAAAGTTAGAGTGGACATCTTTCAGTACTGTGATAGCGATTAAGATGATGATGATGATGATGATTTCAACAACTGTGCAGCTTTCGCGACGGTGGACGTGACGGCGGTTGAGGCCGCCGATGCGGCCACGCCGTCCCCAGTGACCCCGGCCGCGCTGACCCTACCGAGCCGCGTGGCCATGGTGCGCGGCGTGGCCGTCCTCTACGCCGATGAGAAGGCCCAGGAGGACGGCCAAGCCTGGGCCCTGCCCTGCGACGCGACCATCGGCCTGTCCTCCCACCTCAGCGACCTGGGGGTGCTGCTCGGTCTTGTGCAGGATGGGCCCCTGTGAGTCACCCGTGACCCTCTCTCTGTGTAACAATCCTATTTGTTAGTAATCTTTTATGTTACCAGCACACACCCTTGAGATGCACGTAGCAATTCCCACAGGGTTCTGTCAAGATGGCAGCAGTATATCTGTTCCGATTACATTTTTTGAAAGAGAATTAAATTATTCCAGGAACAAAAACTATGTAAGAATAAAAACCTTGTAAAAAATGCAAATAAAATACTGTATAAAATGATACACCTTTAAAAATATGTAATGATATACTGTTTCATCGATGATTAAAGATGTTACACAATGGCGTCCCATACTGGTATTGAACCGGTTCCTGTCGGAGGAAACGGTTGTTTAATCGGGCTTAAAAGTGTGACAAGATTCACAAGAGTAGGTTATTATTTTTTGGGTGTCAGGTCTAAAATGTCCATTTGTAAGAAATAGTTATTCAGCGATAAGAATGTCCCTCCTCGGCCAAAGCAACACAAGGGTATAGAAAAACACTCCTCAATGAAGGATTTCCATGGCAGCGCACTCGGTTTTAAATTAATTGGTCCAACCATTGCCTCACCAGAACTGCTTGCAATAGTCATCGTTATATGTTTTGGGGGCATGTGGGTGGCAGGGAAGGGAATGGCAAAACATCCGGCCTCAGCAGTGACTCGATGCTTTCGAGGCGTCCAGGGCACATGCTGCATGGCTGCTCTAGGGTCGGCTTCCGCTCCGATACCACCGTGGGTCACGCTACAGCAAGTTGAGCAACCAGTTCACTTCCCTAAGCCCGTTGTGAAATCTCTCAGGCTTCAAGCTGCATCGTGACTCGCTCGAGTGCCAGTGCACCTACAGGATATGCAGACTGTGCAGAATGGGAACGGCACCCCGTGCTGAAACGCCTGCAGCCCCGACGCCACTTGTATGTATGCATGTTGAACTTCTTTTGCACCGTATGCAGCCACCCGTGCCAATCGGAGGTGCGGGGTGAAGGACAACAAACTCAACACAGAAAGTGGTGCTAAAGAAATTAGTTTTCACTCTAAATTATTTAAAAGTACATAGCTCCAGTGGCTTCCTAATATCGGAAGGAGGAGCGTTCCAGACGGCCGCAGAAATGCATCTGAAAGCGCGCGATGCGGCGGCCGTCTTTGTCCGATGGCCAGCAGCCCAGAGCCAATGCTGCGAAGATGACCGGAGTTCCGCGCGATGGTGGTTTGTGCCCCTTGATGAGATCAGTGAGGTACGACGAGATCAATTGACGTGTGCTGCACTGCCACGGGGCTTGATGTTCGGAGATGATTCTCTCCTTCCCGTTGTGTCTGCGTGTTTGTGTCACAGCAAGACATTCTGCCAGCGACGCCTCAAGCTCCTGGCCGCCAAGTTTCAGGTTCATCAGATGACGAACGAGTTGGCCGAGATGATCCAGCTCAAGGTGGACGGCTGCCGCGACTTTGAGAACGTGGTGAAGGTACGGTGGCCACCCTCTCGTGGTCTTGTACTTTGGTGCAGCCCGCACAACTGCACCATAGCCCAAGGGCCGGGGAGGCTCAGGCACCGGACTACCAAGAGGGGAGCGGATATGAACAGGGAGAGGGGGAGTTGAACCCCTTGCACCAGGGCCAATGCTGAGCACACACCATCACTGATGTAGAGGCCGTCCATATCCACCTGCCACTCATCTTGAGCAGTCGTATTTTTGTGTGCGGGCTAGGTGGGAGCGGTGCTGCGGTGGTGAGTGCTTTCAACCCAACGGTCCGAGTTTGATTCCCGCTCACGGCCAACACCGGTGGCAAATATCTGCACCGATCGCGAGCCTCCCCGAGGTTGACGCCTCAGCCTTAAGTGAATACAGCACCTCGTTTATGGCTGGCTGCACCCCACGCTCTCGTGCGCCATGCCAGCCTTCATTAGGTGTTTGCAAATGCGCTTGCCCCAACGGCCTGTGCAGGCTACACGGGCGATCATTCTTCGCCTTTGTCTCTGTGGGGCAGGTGGACACGCACATCCACGCGGCGGCGTGCATGACAGCGCGGGAGCTGCTGCAGATGATGCGGAGCGCGCGCGAGGAGGGCGTCCCCGTGTCACGCGGTCCCGACGGCCGCGAGCTCACGCTGGCCGAGCTCTTTGCGCAGCTGCACCTGCGCAGCGACTCCATCGACCTGGACAACCTGGACGTGCACGTGGTGCGGTACACATGCGCACGGACGGTAGCCTCTCTTGACAAGTTGTTGTTTAATGAATGAACCATCAACAAACTGTTTAAGCAGGGGTGTCGACGTGGCCGAGCGGGAGAGCGTTTGCCGCTTTGTTGCAGACGTTTCAGCGTTCTCGGCCCGCAGTCGCCCTGGTTAATATTGGTTCGTGTGAATAAATGTTATTGAATTGTTGAATTTAACCATCTTTTATTTGGTGGGGGAGTTGATGAGCAATGCTGTGTGCTCGAGGGGAATCACGGAACCGCGGCGACGGCTGGCGTGTCTCGCGCAGGACCGCGACACGTTCCAGCGATTCGACCGCTTCAACGACAAGTACAACCCACTGGGCTCCAGCGAGCTGCGCAACGTCTTCCTCAAGACCAACAACCACATGAGCGGAAAATACTTTGCGATGCTCGTGAAGGCACGGAGACACTCGCGCACACAGCACACGCGACACCACAGGCGGCGCACAAGGAGACGCGTCGTCTTGACAATGAGCCTGTGACAAAATCACCTGTAGTGTACCCGTGGGCTGATAAACGGCTGTAAAATATTTGTATTATTATTGATTTTAAAAAGAAGTGGGCTTGGGCAGGGCACAATCCGAGAAGGGAATATGTACATGGAGAACCAGGCTGTGGATGTACAAGCAGCAAGTACACGATCGCACACACACCAACACATGCGCACACACACCCACTCTCTCTTACTCATCCGTCCATGCTGTCGTATCAACTAAGTAACCCAGCGATAGAGTGAGCGGCTCGCAATCAGTAGGTTGCGAGTTCAAATCCTGGGAGGGGGGAGGGGGGGTTGACTCAGCCCATCATCTTTCCTCTGCGGTTAATTGAACGAGTAACACTCTGTGAGGAATTCAACTATGCTTGTCCTGTGGATAGACTCGCCCCCGCCATGAGAATTAGGAATGTCCACCAACAGCTCGGGGCTCTAGGATGAGCACCAATGCCTCGGTGTTCGCTGGAGCAGGAAATCGCTTTGACTTACTTTTTGTTTTACCGTCTCTCTTGGTGCGGGGCCACGCCGCAGAATGTGGGCCGGCGTCTGGAGGCGAGCCGCTACCAGTACGCGGAGCCACGCATGTCGGTGTACGGCCGCTCGCGGGGGGACTGGGAGAAGCTGGCCGGCTGGTTCGAGCAGCACCAGGTGTACTCGCCCCACCTGCGCTGGGTCATCCAGGTTCCGCGCATCTAGTACGTCCGCTCGCTCGCTCGCTCGGTGCCTCGCTCGTTCGTTGACTCTCACAGCGAACATGAAGTAACTTTATAATGATAAGAAAAACGCAATTAACACGCGCATAATTCGCGAATCAGACGCAATGTTCGATCGAGCACTCGGGAGGTGCAGAGTCAAGAGGTCAACAACGTCCCTTGTATGCAGCCTCAACAGGTGAGAGCCTGAACGGGTGAGCCAAAAATAAGTGACTGCCTGAACAGGTGAGATCCTGAACAGGTGAGAGTCTTGAGCTGCCGCTTGAAAGTAAAAATTGTGCTTGGATGCTGTGCGTGTGCAGTGGCATAGCGTTCCAGAGTGGCTGGTGCCATTTTAATGAGCGCCACCTAAAGAGGAGAAGAACACAGCCTCGATGCTCATTTGAGTACGAAATAACGTTTCATTTCAAGATACAACACTTTCTTTGCGTTGATGAGAAAACCCATCACAGCAGGAGAATGTGTGCAGGTTGGAAATTTTTTTATTTAACTTGGCGCAAAGGCGTGCTGCTCACAAACAGCAGGAAGGCACGACTGCCATCCACAAGCCTTGCATGCATGCTACGTGGCCACCGCATTACATGTACGATGCTCTCAGCAATGTCTCAGATCCCACTGTAATGTGCAGAATTGGACTCCAGTAAAAAGAAATGGGTGCAGCCCAAACATTTTTTACTCATGCCACTGCCAGAGGTCGCAACCGGGTATCCGATACCCGTACCCTACCCGATACCCGGCTACCCATACCCAGCCGGGTACGGGTAGCCGTTTGCGACCCTGGTGCGGCCGGGTACGGGTACGGGTAGGCCTGTGAGTCACTGGTGAGTCGCCGTTTGTCACTCATTTCGGGTAGGGTACGGGTAGGGAACGGGTACCCATTTGCGACCCTGGTGCGGCCGGGTACGGGTAAGGAATCAAAACGCGTTTGCGACCACTGGCCACTGCTCAGTCCCTCTCGTGAGTGGCCTCGTTTCTTTGGTGGCTCGACAACGTAGAAGAGGCGAGAGTACCCACACTTTTGCCCACCACATGTGACCTACGGATCGACTTCCTCTGGTGTACCCATTTTAATTGCTGCGTGGACAGTCGTCGGTGGGGAATTAAGAAACTTGCACCATCCTTTCAACTCCGGCGACCTCTGGACTACAGGAAAGGAACCCTATTTCTGTTGTCTGTGAATATCGCACCTGTTTTTTTTAAAATGGAGCCGACAGGCCACTTATTGCTTTGCGAGGAAATTGTGTGTCCGTCCGTCCATCTGTACGTGGGCACTGCACGTGTTTCTACAAAAATACAAAACCCCTCAACAAATCACTAATAAACTCACCACGGCTCACCAGTACCAATGCTCAGATCTCTGTATATTTTGTCCAACATTGGCAATAAAATACTTTTCAAGAGTATATCAATATAACAATAAATATATATATAACATGCTGCATTTAGTACAATCGGCATTTTAGTACAGGCATGACACGTCCGTCCGTTGGTACTTGTGCGTGCGTGTTTCCACGCAAACGTTTATTTTTGTATTTGAATCCCTGGTAAAACGGCAGGCTCCTCGAATGCACCGGCTTGCCGGGCTGTTTGAATCATTCACCTCTCGCTGTGCTCGCTCGCAGTCATATTTTCCGCACGAGGAACATCATCCCGAGTTTCGGGGCGATGCTGGAGAACATCTTTCTGCCGTTGTTCGAGGTGACCCTCAACCCGGACTCCAACCCGACCCTGCATAACTTCCTCCAGCACGTACGTGCCTCTTCCTCCTCCTCCTCCGCAGCAGCAGCGGTAGCAGCGGCAGCGGTGGCGCTGCATAGCGACCGGCGCAGTGAAGAGAAAATCCACTTGGCTCCAGGCCGATGCAATGAGACCCCCGTAACCAAACCCTATTTACTGCCGTAGAGTTCTGTTACCGCCATCAATCATTTCTTCCTCAAGACCAAAAGTAACTGCCATTACATTCCAAAAACAGCTGTTGTTAGTTACTGCTCGGGATGAGTTTCGAATAAAAAAAGGATAACTTAAGGGTTGTTGAATTTTCATATCATGTACAAATACATAAAAGTATATATTTCAAGGTCGTACAAATATTCATATATCGGCCTTATTTTTAGATTCTTCAAATGAATATGAATTGTATTCGTTTATTATATATTTATTGTTCTATTAAATGGGGGCCCTGCCAAGTTCTCGCAGTAGGGGGGCGATGTTGCTGTGTGTCATCTCAATTGAGATGTTTGCACGACATTTCTCAGGATTGGGATATCTTTGTCACTGCTAGTGGCATTGTGTGTTCTTTTACCTATGGGAACGAAATCCATGCAGAGCAGGGGGAAAGTTTCCCGGTCGGGAATCGAACCCGGGCCCTTCTCGGCGCGAGGAACAATCGTCCCCACTGCGCCCACCATCCCGCCACGCACCACTTTGATCCGCGCTTGCGCCTCCACCGCCTAAGAAGTCTCCCGTTTTGCTCGTGAACCGCAGGTGACGGGGTTCGACTCGGTGAGCGACGAGTCGTTGGCCGAGGGGCTGTTCCTGCCGGACAGCCCGGCCCCCGAGGAGTGGACGAGTGCCGAGAACCCCCCGTACTCCTACTACGTCTACTACATGTTCGCCAACGTGGCCATGCTCAACCAGCTGCGCAGGTGAGCGGCGCCGTTCGGGCGACAGGGTCACGTGCCGCAGGTGCAGGCGGGGGCGGGGGGGGGGGGGCGTGGGAGGTGAAACGGGGATGCGAGCGTGCACGGTTGCTGCACAAAAGCACAAAAGGCACAGGGCCCCCAGGTAGCCATTACAGACTGGTGGGGCAGGTGCTGTAAGTGAGATCTTACTCTTTGGTTTTTTACTGTATCAGTAATTTTGCTGTGACGGTTCCACCTGAAGACGGAAGCTTGTGTTGCCTCCGAAACGTCGTGATTTAATTTATTTACATTTTTTACCTACGTGGCTTTACTGAAAAAACCAAAGAGTAAGAAAACTTTAAATCTAGAGTTAAGTGAGATCTTGTTCAGCTTTTCAGATTTCAGCAGGAAGGGTCCAAGAAGCGTCCTGCGACGGTAAATGTCGTACAGTTCTGGATCTTAGTTACAATCGTGGTTACATAGGTCACGATACAAACAGCAAGTAGCGGTACATGTGCTTTACAGCTTACAGGAATAGGGAACTGGTTGATAATGTAAAACAAACATTCTAAATCATGACTACATTCATTCATGAACAACAACAAAAAGGAAAATAAAAGGTGGTCACGAAGCATGACTGGGCGGGTTAGGGCAGCTTCACACCCAGCAGCCTTTATGCTGATGTTTAAACACCGCACCTGGGATTCATTTTTAAGGGTCAAACAACCCTAGGGGAGGCCCAGGATGATTCAGATAATGACCACTGATATTGGCCATTAGCAGGAATCTAACTCGGGTTCTAAATACGACACCACCATACAGGTCACCATACATCAATAGGGATTATGTGTACGCAGACATTAACAGATACTGCTATTTTATTGCACGTTAACGACAGGAGGTACAAGAACATTAATAATGTACGCTGATTACCATATGAATAATACCAACCGGCAATGGATACCCATTGAAATTTTTATGAAGGGCTCGCAAGTGACGTCATCACATCTACCCCTCTATTTAAGGAAGGAAACAGGAGGATTTCTCGACATAATCTGGCTGTCGCCTGATGAGGCTAATTGTAATTACTGGCGAAACGTCGTACTCAGATCGTAAATGTTGTAGATTTGCTCTACAATACACCGGTGTGCTGTACGAGTAACGAATCGGCACGTTCTGTTTACGTGACAAACCTTACGAATTGGCTGTGTCGGGTGGTGGCGGGTTTAACGACACATTTATATTTACGCGATCAAAAAAACCTATATTATGGACACCACCTCCCACTCACATATCTACTTACGTCAACACACTCGCACGCATAATAAGCACACACACACACACGTGTATAGATGATGTCTGCTCATACATGACCCCTACTGCTGCTGTGCGAACAGACTGTGCAACATGAACACGTTTGTGTTCCGGCCGCACTGTGGAGAGGCTGGCTCTGTCGCACATTTGGCCGACTCCTTCCTCACCTCCGACAACATCTCGCACGGCATCAACCTCAGCAAGGTCAGGACCACCCCATATTCCACCTCCGAGGAACAACCAGGTCACTCTGGCAAACGAGACTCGTGCCTGGTTAAACAATATCAACTCGACTCGAAGTCTTCATTTCTCTTGGAAACGAGTTTAAAATCGATACTGATGCCACTTCAAAGTGATCGATGTACTCTCTGAACATTTCTGCCCAGTCTTTTGGCTAACCAGGTGCTGAAGAAAAGCACCCTGCGCACATCATATTTATCTGCACACTTGTCCACACGGATCTGTGTGGGTGGACAGCTGTCAAGAACGACGTGACGGGGCTTCAGGACATTGACGTGCAATTCGGACAACAATGCACCGGGACGAATCTACCCCTGCTCACGAAGCTCTCGCTGCTCACCACTGAGATCATACAGCCCTCACGCTCAGCAGTGAGGTCATATCAGGCAGACATAATTCACCGATTATGAGACCTCCTTTGCCAGTAGCAAGATATAGTTATAGGTTTTTACCCTTTTATCTGGCAACAAAACTGACACCTTTTTACAAGGGATCATGTTTGCATTAACCACAATACTTGCGGTCAAAATGCAAACAAAAAGACAACTCTGATCATGTATGCACTGTCCTTGAAATTGATTGGTCCACACCCGAGACAGCTTTTCTTAGAGCCCAGTCTCACATGGTGTTGGATCAGATGACGCCAAAAAGCGCACAACTCAAAGACAATGCACCATCAGAGTATTGAGAGCTCGGGGTAAGCATTTATCAGTTTTGTTGCCAGATAAAAGGGTAAAAACCTATTACTGTGTGCTTCACCGACTTGGTCGAGACCTCGCCTCTGCTGGATACATCAGTTGCTCCATGCCCGCTGCTGCCAATGAGACTTGGGACGAGGTCACAAGCAGAGGTCGTTGCGGACCCCAGCTGTCCGAGCGAACTGACGGATGGATTGTCCATCCGCTGTCCCCCGCCCCTCTCCCCCCCCCCCCCGTCGCAGAGTCCCGTGCTGCAGTACCTGTACTACCTGTGCCAGATTCCCATCGCCATGTCGCCCATCAGCAACAACAGCCTCTTCCTCGAGTACTCACGTAACCCTTTCCTCGACTTCTACCACAAGGGCCTCACGGTCTCCCTGTCCTCGGATGACCCCCTACAGTTCCACTTCACGCAGGTAACGCAGGCGGCCGCCCCTACAGATGTTACAGCTCTTTCCAGAGAAACCAGAGGCAATTACGGCCTCGTCACTCAAGAATCGTTAACAAACCAACATTCGGTGACATTTGCACAATTGTAATGGTTGCCAGCTGATGGAGAATGTTCGTGTTCTTCATTAATTTTCAGAGGGGGGGCAAATTCAGTGTGAGGGCTGCCACACTGCCTGCATGGCATGTGTTCACCATTAGTGTATTGTCGGGGGCCGCACGTTAGGGGCCGCACTAAAGGCCACCAGGGGCCACCAGTGGCCTTGCGAACACTGGCCGATGTGATTGATGAAAATAAATACACGCGTAACTCTATTCTGTGCCGCCACACGTAAATACACGTTTAGTCCATCGGCCTATTGGCTTTCCAAACCAATTTTATCCATGGCAGCAATGGACAGCAGGGAGCGTCCCAAATGGTAATGAGCTTTACGGAGTGGCCCAGGCGGTGATGAGCGGCATAACGATAAATTAACGCAACAAGTGGCCTGGATGGTAACGACGAGCCGCACGAGGATAAGGGAGCAGGGGGCGGTTACAAGCTCGAGCGAGATCAGCCCAAGCGGCAATGACGAGGGTGTGGGGTGTGGGGTGTGGGGTGTGGTGGCGCGAGCAGGAGGCGCTGGTGGAGGAGTACGCGACGGCGGCGCACTTCTGGAAGCTGAGCACGTGCGACCTGTGCGAGATCGCCAGCAACAGCGTGCGGCAGAGCGGCCTCTTCCCACATGGTAACCGCAGCGGCGCACGGCACGGCAGCCCCGCACACAGCGGCGCACGGCAGCCCAGCGCACTGCAGCACGTGGCACGGCAGCCTAGCGCACTGCAGCACGTGGCACGGCAGCCCCGCACATAGCAACACGTGGCACGGCAGCCCCGCACACAGCAACACGTGGCACGGCAGCCCCGCACACAGCAACACGTGGCACAGCAGCTCAGCGCACAACAACACGTGGCACGGCAGCCCCGCACACAGCAACACGCGGCACGGCAGCCCCGCACACAGCAACACGTGGCACGGCAGCCCCGCACACAGCAGCACGTGGCACGGCAGCTCAGCAAATGGCAGCACGTGGCACAGCAGTCCTCCACACACAACAGCACATTCAGCACAATCCAAGAAAAATGTGTTTGGAATGGATCCGAAAATTTGATGTCGCAGGAAGGGCTTTTGGGCCTTTGGGGCCTCTGCTCAGCGACCGTGATATACTGTACTGTACACGTAAAGACATCTGCTGTTGACTCCGTGCAGGAAAAGCGCGAGTTCCTGGGCGACAAGTACCTGGAGGAGGGGCCCGAAGGGAACGACGCCACCAAGAGCAACGTGGCACCCATCCGCGTGGCGTTCCGCCACGAGACGCTGTGCCAGGAGCTGGAGCTGCTGACCAAGGCCCGACCTTCCTCACCCCCGTGAGGCCCGCTTGGGGGGGTGGGCCGTGATCACATTTAGCGGTGTAAGACTGCCAGCAGGGCCTCTCATTCGCTTCCTTACATTTCCTAAACGAGCGCCCAGACATGTCTACGATTGCCACAAGGTATTTGTGGAGGTAAATGAGATATGGGAAGGACTGTAGTGATTCTGCCTTATTATCAATGAAACAAGATGTGCAACTTTAATAATTCAATTTAATTTAGCTTAATTCGTGCAAATTACTTCTCTAAACACTGAACATTGCGAACCACATTGAACATCAAAACTGGTACGACACACCGCAGAGATGCAACACGGAGGTGAACACAACATTAACGAGAGAGAGGACACCAGAGACACAACACGGACACGATACAGGGTACGGAGGTGAACACAACACGAACCACATGGGGTGACAGGAAACAGTCAAGCTCCCGACATCAGAAAAAGTCCATAGAATAATAAGGACGATAATAATTTAATTTTATACAGCGTAATGCTTATTACAGGAATTGTATGTACTTACATAACTAATGTAACATTGTTTTAACGCTTTGTGATTTGAATAACAATACTTTCTAACGATAAATACATTGCATTGAACTCGTACACTTAAGTCTAACAACCTATCGTAACAAAGATGTCTCCATCTATGGGGACAAGGTAGCGTGGGCCAGGATTAAATACCTAGCACTTGGCAAAATAAATCCAAGCTAAAGTCAGAAATATACACGCGGTGTCTACTTCATGTGGGTACCCTTGTCTCCGAAGCACTGAACTATGGGTATTTGCCATCCACTCTTGATAATACCTGGCACCAAGATGTTCATGCAGCTAAGGAAAGCGTCAGCAAAAATATTGTTGCACTGAACTATGACGCAATTGATCACAGTCATATCAATGCGTATGTTGGGCATCATCATAGCTGAAATTTGTGCCCGATTTGGGCCTTACCTATGTTGTTTGCCAGTGTCACTGCTCTTCAAATGTGACAAATTTAGCAAAAAATACCCACAAATCGGCATTGTCCCCTATTGCGAACCGCCTGTGGAACGTAGCACCTTCTTTCGTGATAGCCTGGCGCGATAAAATGGCGCAAATACAAACTCATTTTTGTTTACCGAGCCTTTAGGCTCACATGGTGGAGTGTGTGAGCATCAGCATTGCTGGTTCTGGCGCCGACACCACACGTGCCTTGCCCACCTAAATAATTAGTCCTAAGTGAGTTCACTCACTCTCCCAAACCTTCACTTCACATGAACAGCAACTCCCTCTCATAAATGGCACTTAGGTCTACCCAGATTATCTCTGCATTGCGTATCCTGGACAAGGTTTAGAATAATACGTCTTCCAGTTTAATAATTCGTTTACCGTACATATGTGTTAGGCTAACAACGCTCAGCGCTTGCAAAACATATATTGAGACTGTTGAATAATACACAAATAAAGTGTAGCTTGTGCAGCGGCGTGTGGGCTCGAATCATGTCCTGTGTGTACTGGCGAAGTGCATCTCCATTCTCTTCTAGATCTGAGTGCACACCTCTCCTCCATTACGAGCACAGTACTGTGACCAGGATACGCCGGGGCTCTGGGGTGGTTGTGGAGATGGCCAGGGAGGGGATTTAGTGGACAACTTGGGACCAGGAGAGCAGACTCCACGTGTGGTAAGGAAAGTACCAAGATGAAGAACGTTACTCATAAGATCAACAGTTGTCCTGCGAATAGACTCGTCACCGTCCCGTGAATGTAGAATTTCTTGCTGTGGTTGTCCCACTTGATGACGATTGCTTGTGTTTTGATCGAAACGTCTTGATCTATAATTTTTCTACCTACGTGACTTTACCGAAAGAACCAAGGAGTATGGATTCCTGCAGTCACGAAAGCTTCAAATCAAGATAGAACTGAATCAGAATACTGGAGGAATCCGATGAGCAATAAAGCTCTTTTTTCACAAATGTCCAGGTGGGGCAGGTCAGAATGTTACAACACATGCAAAAACACGATAGGAGTACAAAGTATAGGAAATGTAAACAAATCATTAAAAAATATACAAACAAAACTAAACTATTTTTTTGATCTCACCGGATAAAGCCCACCGAGCTCTTAGCTTCTCTATGGGAACCTCATTTGCCAGTAAAAATATGATAATTGTTTTTTTACCCTTCTATCTGGCAACAAAACTGACACATTTTTACAAGGAGTCATGTTTGCATAGACCGCAATACCTGCAGTCATAATACAAACAAAAGACATAACTCTGATGATGTGCACTGTCCTTGAAGTTGATTGGTCCACAACCGAGACAGCTTTTCTTAGAGCCTAGTCTCACATTGGTTGGACCAGATGACGCCAAAAGGCGCCTTCTCTTTCAAAAGCGATCTGGCCATCACAAACGATAGCTCAACGAAGTGGCGGCTTATCACGTGGAGATCTATAGCAGCCAAACAATCTAAATAACCCAAACGCGTGATGTCCATTCTAAACGTGGGGGCACAACTCGGAAAACTTCTCCCCGATCCCGCCAGGCCCATTGTAAACTCTACGCCAGTGGCGCTTTAACCTCGGGTTCATCCACGCATCCCCGGGGGGGGGTGCGAGGCACGGCCAGACTTTTTTTAAAGGTAAATCATCGAAAGACAAATTGAGCAGGGGCACGTAAGTTACACCGACTTTTAGTCGTTGCTTGCCTAGGCAAGTTGGTTCGTGTTGGTAACTCGGTAAGCGTGGAGCGTTGGTGGGGGGACGTGGGGGGGATTCCAAACACGTGCCCTTGGTCCGACGTTTCATGTTGCGTCCGAGTGTTTTGTGGGGAGCGGCGGTGCAGCGGTTAGCGCGGTGCGCTACTGAACCCGGCGACCCGGGTTCGATTCCCGCTCACGGCCAACACCGGTGACGATTATCTGAACCGGTCCCGGCCCCCCCCCCCTAGGTCGACTCGGCCTCAAACGAGTATCTGGTGCGGTGTGTAAACATCGCCACTGGGGAGACAAAGGGGGCCGGGCGTGGTGTTGGCCACCCACCGCCCTCGTGTGCCGTGGTGGCATTCATAGGTGCTCGCTAACAGCACTTTCCCCAAGAGTTTGTGAAGGCTACACGGGGGATATTTGTCTTTGTGCCAGTCAGGCATTGGTTTCACGTAGCGTCTTAAGTGTTTTACTCGTTGGCCACACATTTCACGTTGCAGAGCAGTCGCGTTTTTTTCTGTCACTGCGACACGATGCTGTCCGTTCCCATAGCCCATTTGAAATTTCTCCTGCACGGTGTCCACGTTGCCGCCACCCTCCCGCTCTCCCATGCCTCTCGGGGCGAGAAGCGCTGTTGCCTAATCCTTCAAAACAAGGAACATTGTTATACAACACGTAACGGTCACGACCTCTTTTTGTTCAACTCTCACCATCGTTGCCTCACCAGTGTCGCGTGCCAAGCGGCCGCCGCATCTGCGCAGTGTCCCAATGGTTGTTATTCGAAAGCATGCGGGTGGCAGGGAAGGAAATGGCAAAACATCCGCCTGTCAGCAGTAGTGACTCGATGCTTTCGTGGTGTCCAGGGCCACGTGCTGCATGGCTGCTCTGGGGTCAGCTTCCGCTGCGCTATCACCGTGGGTCACGCGACAGCGAGTTGAGCAAACACTTCACTTTCCCAAGCCAGTTGTGAAATCTCACTGGCTTCAAGCCGCACCACGACTCGCTCGAGTGCCCACGCATCTGCAGGATACGCAGGCCGTGCGGGATGGGAACGGCGCCCCGTTCCGAAACAACGCCTTGCGGCCACGACCACCACTTTGTGTGCGCGCGCCTGGCATGGAACGTAATGTTCAGAGACGTCTCTCTCGTTCCCCTGGCACCAGTGTGGGTGATTTTGGGTGTTAGAAGTTAAACATCTGCTCCAGATTAAAATCTGGCATTGTGACACGAGATGAAGTGTCCGTTGGGGACTTCGCAGAATACCAACACACCATGTTAAGAGTTTGGCCCTTGGAGGTATTGTCACATACAGTGCACACTTCAGAGACCACTTCGAGTGACCTCTTTTACCCAAAGTGGTGCTGTGCATTCCAACAATTCTCGTCGCGCGATGAACCGCCATGCAACAAGATGTGAGACCACGATAAGTGATCAACGCGCATCACGAAGCGGACTGTATTCGATGCCAACGAGGACCTGAGCAGAATCGGATTCCATAAATGTTTTATTGATAGAAAACCAATGGTAGGGTAAAAGGTTCCCAAAATCAAGCGTTGGTGAACGTGGCGTTTAGTTGAATGTTGATTTTGGATAAAATGTGCAGATGCCTTCATTAGCAACAAGAGGAGATTAAACAATCATTTCCATCATCGGCGTGAACCTGTGACATGAGTTGCACATACTCATCACTGCCAGTTTTCGGCACTGCGATGACCCAACATGCATTGTGTGGTATATGTTTATTTTTCTTGCGAGGACTACAGGACACTTACAGATACCATTTTTACATATTTCAGTACCAATTCAGCAAAACATGGGTTATCTGAATGTAACTTGTCAGATTTCTCCCTGGGGGGCACGGGAGCATGTGCAGTGGGGGAGGGCATCCATGGGTTACACAATCGCCTGTCGAAAGGGTCAAGACCTGACCCCCTACACACGGCTTCCCCTACTCCCCCCTCTTAACAGCACGGGACCCACGAAGGGCGGTCAAGGCGGTTAGAAAACGGCAAACTGACAATATTATTAATCGCCTTCTTGCATTTGTGCTAAGCTCGTGCGTGTGAATCACATTACAGAACAAGCGACGAGGCTTGGGGCTACTTTATTAAATCATGAGTAGTCGGTGAATGCGTCCAGTGCCCTGCATTTAAAACCTTTGTACAACCCCTTGTGTGATATTGTGTGCACTTATTACTACATATTTCCCTGTAGACGCTCCTCTTCATGGTCATGCAGAACTGTGCGATTGTTACATGAATACGGAGCTTTAAATTTAGCTGAACGTTAGAATCGGTGAAGCTCACTTTCTCATCTTCCAAACGTTTCGACCGCCACCATGCCCATGTGTTAAGTGCCTGTGGCCTTTAGCCCAATAGGGTGAAGTGACTCTTAACAGTGCTGTCAATGCCATTCCATCAAAAACCCCACAAATGCAACAATCAGTATCTACACCAGGGAACACGGATGTACTGGGGCACCGCATAGTCGAGGAAAACCGTCCGAATTGCACAAGAACGGCAGCATCGTTAGGATGAGCTTCACATTCACCGAAAACGCTGCTCAGTGGAACAAACGTTGCCGCACACGTGCGCACCGGGGCGATGTCACGACGCTGACTTCGTGGCCGGATTAAGACGAGACGGAGCCGGAGTGCGTTGGCTTCGGCGATGGAGCGGAAGAGCAATCAGTTTTACGCGTCAACACATCATTAGAGTTAAATAAATTACATTGCAGTTTTACCATCCTTCCCACGCACTACTCCCAATAATGTCACGAGGTAAGGAAAATGTATTTAAGAGGGGCCAAGGCAGGTGGGCCGAAGAGGGGAAACCACACGCAGAGAATGGGTGCAGCGCTCTCGGGCCTGTGCTCCCAACGTCACCGCCACAAACTGCCAAGGCGAGAATTTTGTCGTCGGGTTTCTTTGACCCCTCCGACCTTAATGGGGACGACTTGAGTGGCAGAACCGGCACGGTCAGTCTAGTGTAAGTGCGTGCAGGGGTCGGTGACTCGGGCTCCTCCATATTGCCCGCCCGCCCGCCCGCCCACTCGCGCAACAACAAGGTCCCATTGCAGTCCAGGTCATCGGCGAGTGGGGAACCACCCAAGTCCGGTTGCTTCGCCGAGATTCATCTTTTCGGAGACTCACGCCGCCACCACGGGAGGGCCGGGTTCACGAGCCGGAGCGGAGGCGCTGGACGGGAGGGGTGCGAGCACAGCGTCACGTGTCGGGGAGCTGGCTAACGTCCGACAGATCAGTGCTGTTTAGGATCTCGCGAACCTGCTCCATTGACTCCATCTGACGGATCCGTTCGAGTTGCACCTGCGTGGAAACACGGCAGAAACAATTAATATGGTGCGGCGGCAGCAGCACCTTTCACGATTATCTTTTTGCTCGAGACATTTGCCATGTTCATTGAATTTTCTAAAATACATAAAAATGAACCACGTCTTTTGCTGAACATCCTTTCCATGACCTTACTTTTTTTCCTCTACCGATGACTGTCTCCGACACAACTCTAACCCACTGTATCGTAGAGCATCTATAAATTGCACCGTATTATTTGTTTTGGGGGAAAGGACAATTCGAAATAAATACATTCACCGCACGCCCCTTCAGACACTGGCCACTTGCTCGTGTCCCAGCGTCGTGTGTGATAAGAACTGTCGCTTGTTTCTACCGAATTCACCGACCTGGACTCCTACAAAATCCACTTGGCCCAAGGGTCAACACGGTAGAGACTGGAGCTCACTCACGACGGGCCCATCCTGGACTCGCCTAGCCAGCAACGTGTGGCGGCGTGGTCAGTCTCACCTGTAGTGTTTGGGAGAGCTTCACAAAGTCCCTCTGCACCTGCTCGCTCGTGTCCAGCTCATTCTGCAATCGCTGGGTCTTGCTCTTCTCCTCTCGGACCACTTCCTCCAGCTTGAGCTGTGGACAGAGGCCCGCGCGCAAGTGCATTCTGGGTAAAGCAGTAGGATGGCTGCGCGTTCACGGTTTCCACTGTTACGAGTTTATTCGTTTCCCCCCTCCCTCTCGTCCCTATCTTTTCCAGTTTGAGAAAAGTTCTATATTGTTTTGCCAAGTTGGGATATAGTCATGATGTTTCGTCAATTAATGAAGTGGCCTGTCATTGTTATTTTAATGTACATTTTATTTCAAAGTTTCGATAAAAAGTACAAAAATAAATGTTATTGCACTTTAAATTAACAACTGAAAGATATCTATTTGGGGGAGAAACCCCAATGTGTTTTTTAGACCATTATTATTTGTTTTTTAAAAGTCACCTCCAATCAGCACGGTTGGCTACGTACGGTGTGAAAGAAGTTCAACATAAATACGTACATTGCCCCCTAGCTGCCTCATCTACTGGTACCACTGACCCCTGCATCACATTCCCAGGGAGTGTGGAGCTCCCAGTGGTGCGTATGTGTCACCCACCGGAGCTGGAGCTCCCCGCGATGTGTGTATCTGCGAGTGCGTCGCTCACCCTCTGCGCGTGCTCCTCGCGATGCTGCCCCTCCAGCTGTCGCCGCGCCTGCTCAAGCCGCTCCAGCTGCTGGCTCTTCTCCTGCACGGACTTCTCTAGCTGTGTGGCACACACGGCACCGCCACGACAACTTATATAACAACTTCGACGACTGCAGTAACGCCACTGAACAGACAGACATGCCGGACCACGTGGTAATAACAGCGTGTCCTCAAACTGACGCGCGTGGATGCGCAGCGTCCCGTTTATAACAGGTGTATTTTTTTATGGCACACTTTGCCTGGCCAGGGCGAGGCAATGTCACCGTGCATGGCGCCTGTGTGAACGCACCTCCTCCTTCAAGCTCTTTAGTCGTTCCACCTCGGTACGGATGCTTGTGATGGAGGCTGCGAAAAAGCACACGGACGGGTACGGTCAGGCACGCCTGGCTAGACGAGCACTGCCGCTTGCAAAAGCAAAGGTAAAGAAACTCTGTGGTTACCTTCTAAGACATCTGGGCCAATCCATACAGATCAGAGAGCAAGGGACGCAAGAACAGGCGAGAAGAAAGGACAGTACGATCAGAACGGCCGGGTGACAAAGACACAAACAGTATTTGTGGTTCTTTGGAATGTGTAGTTTTAATTAATTCCAGGCAACGTGATGGATTTCAACAAATTAAGCCCCATTTTTGTCATCTCAATATTTCAGTATTTATTAAAACGGATAAAATATGAATTTTAAGGGCTGTCAAGTCATGAATTCAGAAGGAGAGGAAAAGGATCACTTGTATGGGACTCTCCGTGAGAGACGCTGAACAGCGCCAAGATGGAAAGGATCTGTCATGGGCATCAACCCTCAGTTACGTGGATGACACAAGATGGACAGAAGTGGACGGTACCGATCTCCTCCTTGTAGGTGTCGATCTCGAGCTGTAGTGTCGACTCCAGGTTGTCCTTGGTGCCCTGCTCGGCCGTCAGCTGCTCGCGCAGAAAGAGGATCTCTGCGTGGAGCCGCTCCTCCGCATGCTCGCACGCCGTGCGCACCGCCACCACGTCCCGCCGGTACTGCGACACCAGCGCCTGCAGCTCCTACACCCACGGGGCAGAACCACCGTTTTGCTTAATGGAGGATGTAACTTATCTATGTACGTATGTTCAACTTCTTTCGCGCCGTACGTAGTCAACCATGCTAATCGGAGGTGCGGGGGGGGGGGAAGGACAACTAACTAAACACAAAGTAGTTCTTAAGAAATTAGTTTTCAATTTATATTTAAAAGCGCATAACCATTCAGTCTTCTACAGACCACCAGCTCAAAAGATGTGTGGCCATTTCATCAGACTACCAATGTGTAGCTATGCACGGACGTGTTTTTAGGGGCTGTCCGGCATATCACGATCGCACTACGGCATGTTGCCATCATCTAGGCTGATGGGCGACGATGCGCTCCCGCCCCCTTTCGTCCGCATTCTCGACGCTGCTCACCTGCACCACGGACGGCATGACGAAGCCCTCGGCCTGCAGCAGGGACTGGTGCACCGAGTGCTTGCCTTGCAGGCTGTCGTTGTCCGCCTGCAGCCGCCGCAGCTCCTCGGCCACCTGCTCGCGCGACCTCGCCAGCACCGCCTGCCGGGCACACAGAGCACGAGGAGGGGCGATGGCGCCCTCTTGAGCGACGGCACGGTGGCATTCTCGCTCGACAGGGACGAATTGTTTAACTGCCATTCTGTGGGTCAGACGGTCGGTAAAGGCTCGGCGAGCCGGTGTTTTGACTAAGGGTGGAATGATGCGATTCTTTAATCGAATCGCCACCATAAATCGCGACAATTATTTGCATTTCGTTATTCGTTACGCCTCCAGTTGACGCAGTGCATCGTCACTCTTAAGCGCGTTGAGTAAAGTGCGTTTGCTCGGCATGTCCCATAAGCGCGTACCAGCTGCTCCAAGGCCTTCTGCTGAGTTTCCACAAACTTCTGCTGCAGCTCCTGTAGCAGAGCCTCCGCCGTGCGGCACTGCTCCGTGAGCGCAACGATCTGAAAAGAGGGGCCCCAGTCAGTGGCTCCAGTAGCACCATCAGCAACAGCGCCATATCCTTGTCTGTTTACATGTTAGTACAATGGTCACCTTATGTTCGTTTAATATTTCGGTAACTTTATTTGTAACTGTACTCAGATCAGTCAAGGGATAATCTGCCCCAGCTGACTTTCGCTGCAGGGAGTTTATTACGTGGCATTGATTTGTGTTCGTGCAGTGTTTTCGCTTCCTCAAGTGATGAAGTTGTTTTTGTTTTCATTTCTGTTTGCTCCATTGCTGTACTTAGTTTTTTTTCCTTTTGTCATGGTGGTGGTGACCCAGGTCACGATGCGAATGAGTCTCCTCTTTCCTGGCCTCTTGACTCCTCACCAAGGTTAAACAAAATAAAATTGACACTTGAACCTGCAGCAATAACAGCACCAGGACGGGCTAAGCTGACGACCAACAAATGACAGCACTCGACCTGTTAATTATCTGTCCCGGGAAATCTGAACCTCTCATAGGACTGCTCCTGGAAATCAAATGGTTGCTGTATATTTCATAAATTGCCCATTTCAATATGAACATTTTTTTACAATGTGTTTCAGCTTTCAATAAAGTACACAACTTAATATTTCAACGAAAGTGCAGAGATTAGGCACCTTAAAAAAAGCCTTAACACACTCATGCAATACGATTCCAGTCGTTATCAGCAACGGTCATCAACAGGGGCATTTACCATGATAATTTACTCTGGAAACTTGACACAGGAATGCTGAAGAGTGTATTCCATGAGCAATTATTGGTCTACACAGCACAAAAACCTCGGGTGGTCATGTGACCTCTTCTCATCTTGGGGAAGCATCAATCAGATCTGTACAGAAACGGGCAACTACATTTTTGCTACAACCAAAAACGTGGCAGCAACGGTCGCTGGCGCTGGCGATGTGGCAAGTGGCGACGACAACTGCCTTAACCGACTTTGGTCTCTTTCGTGTGGCTGATGTAGATGCAGAGCAACAACTACAATTTCACATTCAGGTGCTCAAGCCAGACAACCGCGTCAGGAGCAGCAGATCGTATCGCTGTGAGGTCTCCTTTGTATTTGTGGATCGGGCATTGTGTTGTTATATGCTGTACGGTCCGTTCTGGATGACCACCGTCGCACACTGGAGACTTTTTACTTTTCAATTTGTGCATCAGGTATCTGCATCTGCCATGGTTGTGCAGTGGATGCGATTAAGAGTGAACGATAAGCTTCCTGGAAGATCAAACCCAGGAATATTCTGCATTGGGTCTACCACAAGGTTCTGGTTCATCACAGCCAGGCATCATTCATGGGCTCCGGTGCATTACAACCTCAGAAGAGGTGCGCGAGGTGGCATACCTGCTGCGCACAATCCTCTGCGGAGCGGCGAGACGCGTCCTCCAGCTCGTCGCGCTCTTTGCCCACCTTCTCCAGTTGCTCGTTGGCCTGGCGCAGCATGGTGTGCAGTCTCTTCAACTGCAACGTGTAAACCGGCCCACCGCCAAACCACCACCGCCATCGGTTACACGCGAATGTCGACGAGGCCTCCCGAGGGGCGACGTCGCGACGAGCCGCGAGCGGCACGGTCGTCCTCGGGAGAGTGACACTACACGGGGCGAGAGCTGCCCGAGTGACGGCAAAGCTCACCGAGGCTGGGCGATCTTTAAAATGTTGCTGGCCAATTTCTAGTTGAATGGATTGGGGACCAGTGGAGGGATCCGAGGATGGGCTATGTGATCGAATTTTACGGTGGTGTCGTGGAGCATCATATTGAGTTGAGGTGAGATATAGGTGAGACCTTAAAAGGAGATCGTTGCGGTAGTTTAGGCAAAACGAGATGAAGGCACGGATAACGGTCTCGCAGCAAATGGGACAAGTAACGTGTATTTGGAAATAGGAAATAGGCACAAATACAACAGCACGAGCACTACAGGGAAAACTACTGTGTTTAGAGCCACCAATCAAGAGGGCATCACACCTGGTCCCTGGTGTCGGCCTCCTGCGCCTGTATGGTCTGGAGCTGCTGCTCATAGTTGGAGCACATGTCACACGGGCGCCCAAAATTGCTCGCCGCTTTCTGCACCTGCAAGCCGGAGCGAAGGGACGCACGGTGGCACCACCACACCGTCAGGACCCACACACAGCTCCGGTGCTCGGCTTGCCAGGCTCGTGAGAGGTAGTGGCGACGGCTTGGGGAGGACAACGATGTCAACCGCAACTACTATACACGAGCGTTATGAGCGGTGATCAACCCACTGTTGGGTGAAGACCTCGCCAAATCAGTTGCCATCTCTCACAATCCTGCTGCCACCCAGCACCTGCACCAGAGATGCTTTCATCGTAAAATCTCCACCGGGTTATCCCATCTAGCGACATGTCCTGCGAAAGCCGAATCACTGAAAGCAGTGGCAGCCAAAGAAATAAACATGCCCGAGAGGGCAGTCATCATGAAGGTGTTGCGATTAAATCAAATTGGGCGATTAACCACGAACACAGAGGCGCAATCGTCTCACCTCCTCTTGCAAAAGGTCCCATTCCCGCTCGCTGACCAACCGGTACCCATCAGGCAGAGCGCACAGTGTCTCCGTGGAGACCATGGTGACGGTGGAGAGCAGCGAGGCGGTCTCCTCCTGTTCGGGCGTGCGGGCCTTGATGGACAGCTCCTGCGCCCTCGTCAGCATGAACCCTGCGGGCCCCTGCACCACGGCAGCGCCCCCGTCAACCGAACTGGCACCCAGGGCTTCCGCGTGCGGCGCCATCGACATCATCGAGTGAGCGCCGTCCGGGATGAAGTTGGACAGCTCGGACGTGACGGACGAAGTGTCGAAGCCTTCGAGGTCCAGGTCGGCGCTCACCATGGGGCCAAAGTCCATCTCGTCGAGGTTGCTGTCGGAGCCCGATTTCTCCGCCGCCGTCAGATGCTCGTGGGGAAGGGCGGCCTGGGCGCCGTTTGGGTCCGGGGGTGGCAACGCGTGTTCCCTGGCCTCTGACCCTTCCACGACCACCCTCGCCCCCAGACTGTCGGACGACTGCACGCGCCGCAAGCCGTCGCTGCCCGGGCTCGTGGACTGCGGCAGCGGCGTTCGCACCTGTCAAATCAACCGTGAAGATTTTGTAACACGTGAAATATTACCGTATTTCTCTAAATGACAAGACACAATTCCCCCCCCCCCCCCCCTATATTTTAAAACAAAAGTTGAAAGTGCGTCTTGTAATCTGGTAAGTGTGTGTGTGCGAGACCACATTTATATCACTTTGTTGACACTGGGTACAAGTTTGGAGCATGTCTTGCTCTCCCACAGCATCTTATAATTGGGAGAATATGGCACACGTTTTTAACATTTTAAAAACATTCAGGACTTCAATAAGTGGTGCCTAAATACAGTACTTCCTACATCAGACTCCTATACAAGTGAAAAGGTTGGATGTGTGAAGATCTATAGAAAATTTGTTACATCAAGCACAAATACCGCATTGGGTGCGGGCGGTTAATTGGTCAGGTCGGTTGGATGTGTGAATTTGTAGCAGAGCGGCAGGGTGGCGCAGTGCTAACACTTGTGCCTCACAGCAAGAACGACCTGAGTTCGACTCCGGACTTTTCGCTTCGCAGTTTGTACGTTGTCTCCCCGTTCTGCCTGGGCTTCCTCTGGGCTCTTCAGTTTCCGCCCATAACTCAAAACATACAATGTCATTGGCGTTGGCCAAACATCACAATAAAGGACCCTCCCCCCTGAGAGAGAGTCTTCGGACTCATTTTCAGTCATTATATGAAACATGTGGATTTCCGTGTGAAGCGCCCCGGCAGCTTACGTCATCCACAGAAGCAGAGAGGCTGGACTTTGGGTGGGATTCATTGGTGACGCTCGCCGCAGCAGCTTTAACTTTCTGCCTCTTCTCCTGCTCCCTCTTCTCCTCCACCTGACATTGCACACGTGCACGGCCGCACACGCACGCACGCACGCTTATAGCACCACGTGTCCACGCGAAAAAGCGAATAACACGTTTGACTTTTGAATCTTTATGAAAAGGCAGTCAATCGTGACCACGCAAATACTCAATAATAACTGCTCCTCACAAGCAGAGGGGGCATCATTTAAATAAAGTTCACTTGGTAAGGCCCAATAATCTCTCAGAAGTTTACTTAACCTGTACAGGTAAGGTCTGTTTGTGTGTCGGTCAAAGTGTTTACATAATTTCACAAAAGAACCTACGGTATTTAATCTACCTGGGAAACTGTGGTCTACATTAAATGACATCTGCACGTCTCACGGCAGACCCGCCCACTACGACCTTCAAGAGTGGAAAACTCAAAGAAGGCCGCAGTTTAGTGAACTCAGAAAGTTTAACAGTGGCACTGAAGCAATCCACCACACATCAACTCAACCATTTCCTGGTAAACTAATCTGAATATAGACCTACATGTAACTTGTTAATCATTCCCTCCGGGTGGTGGGGGTAATTTGACCATACTTCATCAGATTTGTCAGTGTGGGTTGGTGAAGATGAGGAGCATGAGTGCATGAAATTACAGCACAACTGATTCCGCTATACTGCCCTCTGCTGCCCAGAATGTAGCCCCACACACATACAGTAATCTAAGCCAAACAGCTAACCAGACCCGCCTGCCAGAAAACCTCCCAGATGGGAAGTCAGGAAGTGCCACTGTGGTGATGATGGTAGTGGTGGTGATTGTGGTAATGGTGGTAACCACAGCATTAGTGATGGTGACAGTGGTAGAGGTGGTATTGGCGGTGGTGATTTTGGCGTTGATGGTGGTGGCGATGATAGTGGTGGCGATGATAGTGGGTATGGTGGAGACAATGGTGGGTATGATGGTGAAGGTGGTGGTGGTAGTAGTGATAATGGTGCTAATGGTGGTGGTGTGGAGGTGGCGTTGGCAGCACTGTTGGCAGTGGCAAAAAGATATTGGTAACAACGGTGGTGTTGGTGGTGGTGGCAGCACCTGCTCCTTGCGCCGGCGCACCTCCACCTGCCGCAGCTGCTCTGCGGTGAGCACCGCCTGCAGACGCCGTGCGTCACGCACCAGCGCACGCTGGCTCTCCAGGAACTGGTCGTTGGCACGGTGCCACGTCTGCTTGAGCTGCGCATGCTGCTGCTTCTCCAGCTCCAGGAGACGGCACACTGCGCGGCACGCACACACGCACCTCTCCATAAGCCGAGTTACCCCTCAAACCCAACGTGTGCCGATTCCAGCATTGGCAATCACGTGCTAAACAACATACTTAGAACACGGTGACGCGATTACGCGACTGTTCAACTACGACACCACTGTCAGACTGGCCGTCTGCCACACGAAATGGCGTGTCGGGATGCGCACCCTCGTGCAGCTCGCGACGCAGCCTCTCGGCGTCCTCCTGCAGAACGGTCTTCTGCGTGTTGAGTACGGCCACGTACATCTCCAGGTCGGTGCGGCACGCCTTCTCCGTCTCCAAGTAATGGTTCAGCTCCTTCACCTGGCCACGGCGCACGAGGAGGAGACAAAGAGCGGGGGCAGCCCCAGCGGAAGGAGTTACGGGCGGCGTCAGACGCACACACACAGAGTCGGTGAGTAAAATGCGCAGATTCTTGCGCAGGCCAAGTAGAGAGAGCAGCAAGAGGAGCACGCACCTTATCGCCCAGTTCCTCGCGAGATTCGGCCTCCTCCGCCTGCGACGCTGTCTGCGATACCTGGGGATGGATGGGCAGTGGTTGGAGCGCAGCGACGCACGAAGCTCAAATTGTCTCGGCAGCGGGGACTACACAGTGCCTATGTGCAGGCTCTGCCATCGATCCCATGGCACGACAGGGGGCTTGGGTTCTCGGCACGAGGACAGGGGCTCACCCGCGAGTCTTCGAGCTGACGCGCGTGCTCCTGGGCGGCTGTCAGTCGCGACTTAAGGCTCGAGATCTCCTGCTCCATCGGCATGACGACCGAGCGCAGCTTCTCCGCATCCTCCTGCGCCTGCGGTTGCCACGGTGACAGCTCTCGTCATCCGCCTCCCACGAGCACGTCCCAGACGTGGACCCCCTCCATTAACGCCGCTCGCCAACGTCGTTACCGTTCCTTCATTTGCCCTTCGTAAAGCCGACCATCATCCTCGGCGCTAAAACGCTTTTCGCGCTCCTGTGTCTCCACCAATAAGCTCAAGAGATCATCGTGCCCAATGCTGGTCATGTCATCACACATCATCGCTTATTTCTTTCTGTTGAATAGTGCATTTATGGTTTATTCACATCCACCCTTCCCCACATTTGTAGAAATGATCACCAGCAGCATTATCATCATTTATTTCAGTCCACGTTCTGTTGTTCATTGGCTGTGTCATTTAAATGATAAGAGTGGTTAGCATAATGTGCAAACCCCCCCCCCCCACCCCCCCCGCGACACGGCAAGGGGAGACCTTCATCGAGCAGTAAATTTAACTTTGAAACAATTTTTTATTTGATCAGGTTAGGACCACTGAGCTGTACAGATAGCTCTTTTGCAGAAGTGCCCTGGCCACAAATGATAGCTGAACAGTGTCATATTACATGGAAATATATAGCAGCCAAATACTCTCTACGGATTGACAATGGGTTGCAAGCGATAGCATTTCTAACAATTAATATAACACTTCCTTGCTCTCCCGTACCCCACTCCCTCTGGATCTGCACGCCGGCAGCCCACCCTGCCCCATTGTACCTTCTTCATTTCCGTCTCCAGGTTCTCCTCCTGGGTGCTCTCAGCCAGCTGCCGACGGAGGTCCGCCAGCTCGCGCTCCCAGCTCTCTCGGTGCTGCGCCCACGACGCTCGCTCCGAATCCAGCTTCGCGTGCCACTGCATCTCGTAGTCTCCCAGTGTCTCTGTGGCGCGCACAGCACGGCACCCGCACCACGTCATCGACCGGTTCCACACAAATAAAGACGAAGATCTCCCCCACAGCTATGTAAGATGTTGGTGCAAGTGCTGTAAGCGAGCATCTATCAAGGCTGGCTTGACAAACGAAAGTGGTGTGGCCAGAACCCATATAACAGGAAAAATAACAGCTACCATTCGCCACAAAGGGTGAACTTACAAAAACACTAAAACATGTTATCCTACAATTTTATCTCCCAGGGCATTGCAACTCTTTGTTAGAGAACGGCCTGCAGAAACGGATATCAGAGATACCTCCGAAAAACATTCAAGTGACATCTGGTCCAGCAGCACCAGCTCTACCATACGAGAGACATACTAATATTTGGTTTAGTCAAATTAGGTGCAGAACAAAAAAATCTAGTAACGTGTGTTTTGTAACTAGGCTGAAACCATGGACTCTCCACACTGCCTGGAATTTAACCCAGGATCTCGGCGGTGCCAGCTCGACGCTCCGACCGGAACGCGTCACACTCACCCTTCATGGCGGCTTGCAGCGAGGCCACCTCCTCCTGCCACTGTCCGCGGACGTGGTCCAGCGCCTCCTGTTTGGTGCTCTCCGTCACCGTGGCGACCGCTTTGATGTTCTCCACCTCCTCCTGCGCGGTCGTCAGCTGTGCTTGGCTGTGCTTCAGTTCATCTGTGTGCAGGCCGCGGCGGACACACCGACACGTGCTTGGTCACCATCGGCCAGCGGTTACACACTCTTGGCGGTTGCTTAGAGGCCTTCTGCCTCCTGCCCCCAAATTAGGTTATATCAATATTAAGACATCATCTCGGACATGGTTGGTGATTTTACGATGCCTCGCCGTCATTTATTTTCTTCTGCTGGATCCAAAAGTTGTTGTAAAGTTGATAAGCAGACTTCCACTGTCTGCTCATCCACTACAACCATCCGGCTCCAGGAGCATGCATTACATCATATTCAACCTCATTAATCTTTGGAAAATTAGCACTTCGAGCACTGAGCAGTGTGTGCGCACATATACAGCCATTTTGTCAACCCACTGCTGGATGACGGCCTCCACAAACCACGCGGGTTGTGGGGGGTATATAGCCCTACAGAGAAGTAGAATACAACAATGAAATGTGCCACTCTGCCTTTCACTACCCAAAGCATAGGCCCCAGCGGCACACAATGCCCGTTCAGCACTGTGATCGCCCCTCCAAGCGCTTATCCAGGCTCAACCCTACTTAGCTTCCAGCATCAGATGATACCGGGCGCATTACGGGTGATTAGGTCATGCGTTTTCCATTGTGTGCAGTACCCAGGTGAAACATGCGGCCCCACTTAACGGCCAGAAAAGCAGACTATGCCACCACTGTCCGTGCCATCTCTGTCTAATGCCGTCTGCTCACCTTCCTTGGCGAGGTACAGCTCCTTGAACTTGGCTCTCTTCTGGCTGAAGTCGGTCTCCAGCTGCTGCTTCTCCTTAAGAAGCGCCGCCTGGCTCTCCTCCAGCTCGCGGACGCGCCGCTGGAGCTCTGTGAACGCAGCGGAGGGCTCCTTGTAACTCGCAGCCACCGAAAGGACAACTTCAGTCACAGAGCAGCCTCAAGAGTGGCGGCTCTCATGGGCATATAAATATTCACCCATTGTTCATGTTTCAAGTTTATTTTTGTATAACCAGGTGAGAGCACAAGGGCTCAGAATAGTCTTCAATTGCCAGAGACCTGCGTTCCTTGACTGGCGATTCCACGCCTTGTAACTTGGGACGTAACAATTCACCCACCAACGCAATCTTTTGAATGATCAATTCTATTACTTTTAATATCGTGTTTTTACACCATCATTTCTAATTGTCATCTGTGTATTCTTGTACCTTGTAAAGTCTTATATTGCTCCATAAGCGTAAACATCTTATGAGTAAAACACATGTCAATTATTTGCATATGATCTTCATAAATCTTAAAGAATACATTCTTACATGCACAATTCCACTCGTGTATCTTGAGCAAAACAATTAGTTCAAATGAATAATGATGCAACTTTACATTTCAAATTGTCACAATTTTGAGGGCACAATTGAACTCAACTGCTTCTGGTATTGCTTGCACTATCGCATTTGTATATTCTGTCTCTGGTTATCTTCTTTTACAGTTTTAATTTTCATAAAATAATATTCTCACAAACACGGCTCGGTGCGTGCATCTTCAAATTCCTTTTTTAAATGACAAATCCATAAGCAGTCACATTCCTAGCAACTTGCAGTGCATAAGCCTGGGCGTGTCAAAGTGCCTGCGGCCTGTGTTGGGTCTAACGTGGTGACGTTCTCAAAGTGGCCGCTTCGTGAAGTTAAAGAGAAGCCACGGTCTCATTTTGTCCTCACATGGTGGAGAAGACCGACAGAGTAGGGGAGGTAGGAGGCCGTGTGTTTTACACATAAACACACGCACGGGCGGCTTGTTCGAGCCGTTTTGCTCCGGGTTCCGTTATCTCGACCGTGATCATGGGGACTGAGAGACCCAGGTCCCCGATCATGATAAAAACTCAATCACATGTCGTAAGTCACAGTGAAGACACGGACTAAGTTTTCACATTTTGGCATGTTGAGGCATGTGACAACTTACCTTCCAGCACCCAACCTCAGTGCTATTGTGATTCTGGGTCATAAATCAATTCAAGAACAGGTTAAGTCTTGTTTTTATACTCGTTTGTACCATATTTCCTTCTGAAATGTTTGGTACGTAAAGTTTGGATAAAATTTTAATGTTACTTGCATGCCTCTTCAATAATAGATTCCCATACAATTATAGTGACCGAACTCGGAGACAGTAAGACTTGGAGGCACTTCTTTTATTTAACGATCACCATCGGGATAATACACCACCCCCTTGACGACCTCGCGGCTGCGAGGGGCCGGCGTCCTGCTCCCGCTGCTCCGCAGGTGCCGCAGCCTCGGGACAGATGACCGGGGTCACGTATGCCGGGGCTGTTGGTGGGGTGACGTCCCCGTCGTCTTCCGAGGACACTACCGGTGGGCTCTTCCTTTTCGCTGCTTTTAACATGACGAATTTTCTTTTATATTCTTGGTTCTTTCGGTAAAGTCACGTAGAAGAGAAATAATAAATAAAACATAATAAGATAAAGTTGTCACGACGTTTTGGCCACAACGCAAGCAGCCGTCCTCAGGTGAAGAACAGGGCTGTCGGAAAGACAGCATCCTAATGAACACTGCTAAGCTTGGCAGCGTATTTTTAAGCTGGTCGGAGGAGGAGAGAGCCTTGACAAAGGAGTTTGCATATCAACAGAGGAATGTCTTTCTAACAGCCCTGTTCTTCACCTGAAGACGTCTGCTTGTGTTGTGGCCGAAACGTCGTGAGAATTTTATCTTATTATGTTTCATTATTATTTTATTATTTCCCTTCTACGTGACTTTACCGAAAGAATCAAGAATATGAATCCATGCAGTCACGAAAGCTTTAAATCAGAATTTTCTTTTTCTTAGCACTTCTGACGCCCAATGTAGTGACTCAACTCGGAGACAGGAAGACTTGGAGGCACTTCTTTTATTTAATGATCACCATCAGGATAATACACCCTAGGTGGGTACACACTCTACAGTCGCTAGCTTATACACAACTCTACGTGGGTACACACTATTACTGTTGCTAGCCTACACACAACACTAACCGTCTAACACTGACGGCGCTGAACGGATACAGCCAACAACTATCAAGCAGCACAATATCGAGTGAAGGCGGCAGCAACGATGGCGACCAGACGACAGCGACGAGATCGTAACGACGACCACTTCCAGCAACAGCCCTGAGGTCCCTCACAGGGGCCCTTCTTTTACTCTCAGCGTGGCCTCGCTCCGCCCCGGCCACGCCCCTTCTCTGGAACCTACTCGTGGGTTCCAGAGGTTTCTGATGGGCCCCCCTCTATGACCTTTCCCCTAGATGTCCCCCTATAGTGTATATCGTGGCCTGCTGACTTCAGTTATGCCGTACACCGCAGTTCCCCTTTTTCGCCAACAGTTAGCACTATGTCACTACACAATGATCCGATAGATGTATCATGAGCATAACGAATCATTACATGCCTACTATCCACACCTTAACATGTGGCATAGGCATTTCCACTTTCCATAATAATAGGCATGCATTAAAACCAGCCCATCAAGATAGGACTAGGGCGTGCAACTCTATTCTGCAGGAAATCTCATCTCTAGGGGCATTATAGGGACAGCACATCTCTCCGTCCATGGCAATATTTTACTTCATAACCAACAATCTGACGGTCAATGTCCCGTGAACTAACGACGTAAATAATAACCCCGCAGTGGGTCGCACTGCATCATCCGAAAACTTTGCTACGCTCGGGAAGAGTCTACAATCACGCGGTGTTCCTGAACCCAAGGAAAAGCTCAACTCTGGTCGCAGCCATCAACAGAGAGCTCTACGGTCCCGACTGCACTCTCCTCTGGAATTCTGCTCCGCGCATTCATGAGCAGCTTAGCGGTTCTGAACGAGCACAAGAGGAAGCAGTGTTGAAGAAAAAGACCTCGTTGGCGTGGATGTTATTTAATGTATTCACGGTGGACTGGCTCTGAGGTTTGCTGAAACAGACCGACCGCCAGAATTTTATTATGACCGAGGGGCTGACTATGAGAAACTCAAGAGAATGAATGGCAACATTGCTATGTTGTCATTCTCACTGCTGTAATCTAGCACCGAGAGCTCCGTTGTCCAGTTTTCTGGAATAAATGAACTTGATAAGTGTACCCAACAGTGCCCACTGATCACCGGCCACCCCCGCTCAACTGTGGCATTGCGTGGAAAAGTGGTGGTGTCGTGCACAATCTGAGAAGCTCTCTACCCACTCTACCCGCATGAGAACGTACACTTGCCTCTACTTGACAAGGCACTACACCCACTCATCATTCCCAAACATCCAGCCATACCAGATTGTCGAGGCACACACCCTTGACATTAGCTATGCGGCCTGTCAAACACTTATAGTGGATTTCACGATTATGATATTGACATGACGAGTGTGCTGCACTGTACATAACTCTTTGGAAATTACCAAATGCTTCGCATACCTTTAGTGCCCAGATGTGTAGGTGCGAGAATTGAGCGCTTGATGCAATTGAATAGAAGCTCTGCTGGCTGCATTAAATCATCACTCAGCAGGCTGATTAGATTACCAAGAGTATAGCTTGGTTGGCCCACTCATGAATGTTTCATTACGAGGAGGCTCAACGTTCAGCAAAGTGCAGGCTCCATCAATGCCAATCAGTCTCTTTGCCCTCTGCTTTAAAAAAGGGACCACCATCTGAAATGTCAACCTATTGTATATACAGTTCTGTTATTGCAGTGTTAATGAACATGCCGAGTGTGTTTGATTTCACCATCATTATCATCATCCGTGGTTAATCCACTGCTGGATAAAGGCCTCCTTAAACCATCGCCATCTCTGTACTGTAATAATCCACCGAGCACTTATGTACACAAGCAGACTTCATCACTCCATATCCTCGGTTGGACGTCCTCTCTGATGCGTCGCATTCCTTGACTGCCACTGCCCTGTTATTCTTGACCATCGGCCATCATTCCAACTAACCAGATGTTCTGTACAAGCCCAGCTTTACGAACAGCTGAATTGTATTTGTTGCTAGTAAACTGTGGCAGCCTCACTAGACTGAACACCCTCTTATGCAGCAGCCATGACTGCTCTCGAGCACCGGTGTTGCAATTATGAGTTATCAACAGAAAAAAATATATGAGACTAAGACATCGGAGGACTTTCTCATCATCATCATCAGCAGCAATGGTGAATTCACCGCTGGATGAAGGCCTCCAATACCCACAATCTCACGATCCTGAGATAATAATAATCCACTTTACAACTGGACATGGGCCGATTTCTTAACTACGTCTCATTGGCTGACGTCCTTATGTCCTCTTGGCTTCGACTCACACTTTCTCTTCCAGATAATCAAATATTCAGAACAATTTTCAATAACAGACCGTGGCCAGAAGTTCAAAAATTGTCACACGAATTAATGAAATTCCTTACAGGGGCAGGGCCATAAAAGCAGTAACCAAAAGTATTTTCATCATCTTCAATGATGGTTTAAGAGCCAATATCAATTGCACATTACACGTTACCAGAGGCCCACCATTACATTAAGTCTAATGCTCATGCCTTGGGGCAGGCACTTTACATCAGCATCGTAACGCCGCGTGTATTATTTAATGGTTTGTCAAGCCGTGGCCATGAGCGCAATTTACCGATTGTGAGGGGCACATCCACGCACAGCCAGCAAACGCAGCAATCCACTGCGTCGACTACCACACACCCTACTCGCCAGCCTACACCACTGCACGTTTCTAGAATCGTCAATTAATGAGACAGCCCTTGTCACAATCGTCTGGGTTTATTTCCCATCGTGAGCTGCACAGTTCCAAAAGAGGGCTCACCGAGCGGCTCTCCTCGGATTACACCCCACCTAGGGGTCGTGACCTACGCCGGGCAAGCGGGTTCAGGGTAGAACGCCAAAAGGAGTTGGGGGATGGAAATACGAGTTAATAATTTACCATAGAATAAAAATGTTAAATTCAAAGTTATTATTGAGTAAAATGGAAAATGGAACTGCTGTTGTGCCAGTGTGTGTTAATCTTATTTGTATTCTGTTTATTATGCATGTAATGATTTATCGATTCTTACATACAATACATCCAAATCATAAGTAAATGTTACCTTTGGACTCCCTGCCCCTGTTCCAGTCCAAGATCAAAATCTTACCGTTTTCCCCTCTGCCTACGACGCGACTCTTGATCTCTATAAAATAAATATGCCAAACATTCTGTACAGTGTCCTGGGAAGTGGTAAAATTCATATGATATACAAATCAACATTGTAATGTGTATTCATGTCAGGTTTCACTGTAGGAATGAAAAGCTGTGCTCAAACACAAAGTACTGTGGACAGGGTTGCCCTACAAGCCTCTCAAGCCAACAACACACACTGCACTGCAAATTACCCACACGATCCTTGCCAGTAAAGCGATATATACAGCTCTTATGCTGCTATTAATGGTAACATGTGGTTATACATAGTAGAACCATAACCCTTTAATAGTGTTCATCCCATAAAACTGAACAACCACGTGCATATAGTCATACGCACTCAGAAGTGAACAAGACAACATGTCCCCAGTTGCTTACACTCTTCACAAGTAAATGTTTTTCCCAAGCTAATTTTGTGTCCTACTTTTAAATAATCTGCAGCATTGCCCTCAAACATTGGCTACAGCTGAAGAGAAAGTGAAAAAGCTCTACCCTGTTGACATTACAGTATCTTGTCCTGACGTGACGCGAGATAATGATTGCATCACAAGCGTTCTAAATCATCTACGTTATAACACAAAGAGCCTTTGGGCCATTAATTCTCTCCTCTTACAATTCTAGTGAAAACCTGGCTTTGCTCCGGTTGCTCACTTTTGACCGTTTCGCATGAATTATCATAGTTAGCAGACGTACGGCTGTGACAAGAATTGAACACTATGGTCTAAATGGGGTCTAGCCAAGGACTTCATGGTCAGTGCCTCTTTGGATTTACTTACTACTGTGAATGGTAACTACATTTTAAAAAACGATATCATTTCACAATATAGATAAGTTGCATGGATTGCAGTGAGATGCGTGGCCGTGTGGAAGATTGCTCGACTCACAGTTGAAAGGTCGTGGGTCAAAGTTCTGGTCATGTGTCAACTGAGCCCATCATCCCTTCATTCAATAAAATCAGTACCACTTTGTGGGAAGTCTACCGGGTCAAACAGAATGGGTGGGGAACCTCCAGCCCATGATAACATTAGGTCTACCATTTCAAAACGGCCTGTAAATGATATCCATCAATACTACAAGTACCTGAGTTGCAATAATTGGGTAGGTGGGGGAATGTGAGGAGACAACACTGTATTTATAATTTTAGCATGCTCAGTCACCTCTAAACGTTAACCATATACATTGTTAGTTATTGTTTTATAATGATAAGGTTCATGTTTGAGTGTGGCTGCCTGCCTGACGTCCTATACGGAAGTGCTATTCAGCTCCCAGTTAGGAAATGCCTCCCCAACTCAACCAGTCCTATAGAAAGATTAGCCCCTGCCAAGGAAAATGATTTACCTACCACCACTGGCTCAGGGCTGCCAATGGTGATGAGCGCTTGTCCCACGCTCGCCAAAGCAGTGAGAGAATTGATACTTTCTCATAATGACTCATCACATAACACAACCATTATGAGTGTTTAGGTAGTGGCGCAGTGGTTAACGCACCGTGCTATGTACCCGGGGAGCCAAGTTCAATTCCCAGCTATGGCTAATATCAGTGGAAAGTGATATTAGCACCAGCCCTGGGCCCAACCCCTTAACCAACTTGCACTGACTGGGATCGTGAAATACGGTCAAACAAGGATTCTGACCGACACAGCGTCGAATGTCTCTCATACAATGATTAATTAATGAAGAGCTAAAAATATAAACTTCCATTGTGTATTGTATAGTGTCATTGTTGGTTTCAGCAATTACCCCAAGAAGAGGCTCTGTGATTTTCGGAACATTTCATATTGAATCGTTATTCAAAACTTGAGGCATTATTCGAGAGGCTTGAGACAATAATTGGTTTTTTACCCTTCTATCTGGCAACAAAACTGACACCTTTTTACAAGGAGTCATGTTTGCATAGACCGCAATACCTGCAGTCATAATACAAACAAAAGAACATAACTCTGATAGTGTGCACTGTCCTTGAAGTTGATTGGTCCACACCCGAGATAGCTTTCCCAGCTATGTGGACCAATCAACTTCAAGGACAGTGCACATTATCAGAGTTATGTTCTTTTGTTTGTATTATGACTGCAGGTATTGCGGTCTATGCAAACATGACTCCTTGTAAAAAGGTGTCAGTTTTGTTGCCAGATAGAAGGGTAAAAAACCAATTATCATATTTTTACTGGCAAATGAGGTTCCCATAGTGTAGGCTTGAGACAAGTTTAGTCCTACCTTGCTTATCTGTGAACTCCCCCCCCAATGTGGCTGGAACCCTGTGCTGTATTACAGACATGAATAATATACTCTGCCTGGCCGTTGTAATTCGGCACCCTCGCTCCAATGATCCTGTATCCAAGGCACACCTCGAAAGTTGCTTAATAATACAGCAAAACTTCCCCGCCCTACAATAGTGGCAACCACACTGCATGTAGATTCCCTGCAGTTAAAGAAACGTATCTTATCACCAGACTACCAAAATGTTCACAAATTTCCAAGTTCAAGTTTACAAAGGTCCTACAAGAAACATATAAAAAAACATCATAAAGTCATACCACACATCATGATCGTTTTGAGTTGATATTTCGATGACACGTGGGTAAGCAGTTAATGGTGGATTGCCGATGTCTCCCTGTAGCTCCCAGAATATCCCTCGTCCGCGCACGAGGAGTATTCATATCGGCATTAAATTGCCACGTGAGGCTACGAGGCTTGACCTGATCACCACTTGGACCACGAACCTCGCGGTCTCAGTTTTCGGGGTAAAAAAAACCTACAGCATCACCTACTTGCCTGGGCAATACATTTGTCATGAATTGAGTACTGTACAATATAAATGTCTTGCATCTTGCTGGGTTATAATCGGCGTATTGTTTCCATTGCCTTAAATTAGCTTAGTTCGAGCCTTGATCTAATAATTCCCAAGACCCTGAATCTTGAATTTACAATGCAGGATTATGTGGTGTATTTGTACAGGAGACGGCTTAGGGATGCCTTAATCCAGCAGCGGATTGACCATGGCTGATGCCGAATCATGAATCGCTTCCAAGCAACAGCAATCGCTTGCCGCCTGAGCAATCCATTTCAGAACTTTGGCGGGATGAGTTGATGGACCAGGTAGGGAATCGTGAGACTCTCAAATCTCGCTGGAATGAGAGGTGTGAGGTTTTTCTCTCTCTCTCCAGGTAACCCGGTTTCCTCAACCACGAAGCGAAAGTCGTAACGGATAATGAAACCGGCCAAACATCGCAATGCAGAAGGAACCTCCAGAAATGCCTTTGGACTGGGTGAAGATTTCTCGATTAGTAATAACGTTATGGTCAAATAACATAGAAAATGTAATACATTATGCATATATGTCCAGTATCGGCTTTTATCCACCATGTCCTGTATAACACTAGACGCAGAAAGCCTCGTCTCGGCAACGTTTCAAAGGTCGATGCTTAAAGAACACAATTGAATGACAACAAACCGGAAATAAAATAGCACGCGGAGCACTACGCTCGGGTCACGGGTCTACCCACACGATCCCGACCGCCGGGGTGAATCACCGACCTCGACTAGTGAGGGCGGCCGGGTCTTGGGGCACCTCGGCCGGCCGAGACGCGGTAGGCCGCATGGTGGTCGGGTCGGGAGGGGCGCTGGGGCGAATGACAGGGGGTTACACGTCACGCCGCGGCCCCCGCTACTCACCGTCCACATTTGTCCCGCAGTTCCCTCCGCCGGTCGCCTGATCTGCCATGCCGCCGGGTTCAAGGCTCCCCTATCGCCGCCGCCGCCTCCTCGCTGATACCGCCGCCGCTGCTGCCACCCCAACTACCGCCACCTCCTCGTCCTCCGCCTCGAAGCGCGTCCAGGATCTCACCCCACACCCCCCCCCCCCTGGCGCGAGCTCTAGTTGACGGCGCCGGCGCACGTGACCCGCGAGCCCGCTCACGATTGGACGCGATCCGCCGATGTGTACGTCAATCAGCCAATGGCACGAGCGCACTACTTGGGCGATGCCCAAGTGTGCGACTTCGTAGGGGTGCTCGCACAGTGTTTGTGTGTCGACGGGACCGGTGGGGGGGGGGGCGATGGGGGGGGGCGCACAGTGCGCATGCGCCGCTTGGGTCGCGCCACGTGACGAGCTCACGCGAGGCGTCAGCTGTGCGTCACGTGGTGATGACATTCATCACCACAGATGTGCCATGAAGAAGGATGCTTGCCTGAAACGTCGCCTATTTTATATATTTTTTTCTCTCGTTGTTGCCTGAAACGTCGCCTATTTTATATTTTTCTCTCTTGTTGTTGACGAAGGTGTTGATGTATTTTTTTGTGTTTTTTTGTACTTGTGCACTACTGCTAACGCAGCAGCAGTGTCACCAAATAATGTGTTCAAATAACAGGCTGGAACGATTCTATAGTTTTGTTTAATCTCGCCTCCTGATTGAAGCACTTTTACGGTCATCGCCCATGGTCAATTCACTGCTAGACGAAGCCCTCCCCCCCCTCCTCCCAAACCAGGGAAACTGATTAGTAAATGTTGTGGGTTTACTCTGCATCACACCGGTGTGCTGGACTAGTAACTAATTGGCATGTTTTGTTTACGTAACAAACCTTACTAATTGGCTGTGTCGGGCGGTGGCGGGTTTCACGACACATTTATATTTTCGTGATTTAACCCAAAAAAAAACCTCTTATGGATCTCCTCTCAAATTAATATCTACATGTGCATGGGATTGCGTTGTGACATTCTCGATACGTGTTGTGGATTTTGTACGGTCACGTATTTCACCTCGGTGACAACAGCTGTACAGTACAATGACAGCACAGCAAAGTCAAAATGTTGGCGGCCCTGAGGCAGGCTGGAATTTCCATATTGCCGCGAATGGGGGCATTCATTGGATTACCACGGCAGAGTAAAGTAGTTTGACTCAACTCTTTGGTTCTTTCGGTAAAGTCACGTAGAAAGAAAATAAATGTAATAGAATACGACGTTTCGATTGCAACACAAGCAGTCATCACGTAGAACTAAATTTGAGAGAGACACAGACACGGACAAGCGTCTGTCTGTGTGTCTCCGTGTCTGTGTTTTGTCTCTCAAATTTAGTTCTACTTGATGACGACTGCTTGTGTTGCAATCGAAACGTCGTATTCAAATTTAATTTATTGTCTTTCTACGTGATTTTACCGAAAGAACCAAAGAGTAATTCCTGTAGTCACGAAAGCTTCAAATCAAGTTAGTTTGACTCAATAATAAATATATTTTTCTTCCTGGAATTTTCCCCAGTATGGTTGGGTATATTTCCCTGGTCCTCTCCACACATTCTTGTCCTATGACCTCGTTCATCTCTATACGTTCATGCCACAGGCCTGTTAATTAACCTGCTTATGCAACATAGGTGCCAGTGAAATACAATTGAGTACCACTTTGTGGAGATGTTGACAGTGGTGAAATGGATAAATTCGCCCCCGCCATATGAATAAGGAAATTTCACCATTGGCTCAGAAAGACCCTCACATCTCCGTCATCTGAGCCCCCTCGCCATGTAATCAGGAGACGAGAACCACAGTAATGCTCATTTAGAGCAGGAAATCCCCTTTACGACAATAGTTTGGATGTGTAGCACATATAAACCCAACTGTAATACAAATATTTATCTAGATACACTATAACTACAAACGACGGGCTGATATTAAACATAACCTTGTCTGCTGCAATGAATAGCAAGCCTTTTAAAAACATGTATGACTACGTAGGTTTTCATGGTTGTGCTGTACATGTGTGTTTAGGGTAGGCCATAAAACCTGATGACTTAAGAGAGCTGTAACGACTTTTACACCCGTGTGTGTCGGTGCCATTCCAAGGGTTGCTTTGGACGTTGTAAATCCCATGTCCCCCTTGCAAAAGACGGGATTTGTCATGCGTCCCAATGGGTTTATTTTAGATGCATCATATTGACTGATTGTAAACCCACAACTGGTGCAATCCCATGACCCACATGAGCCAGACATCATCTCACCCCTCCCCAACCAGCACTGAGTCACATTTCAGTTATTTAATAAAATCACCCGGATTAACGACACCATGACTCTGATCGCAGTCTTCTCACCAATTCCATTATGACCATCAAAATCACCTCTACCACAACCACCGTCACCATCACAATCCCATCACGATCTCCATAACCAGCCCCATTACTGTCCCATCACCACCCTCACCATTCGAGTCCCACCACCATGAGCCCCATCATCACATCCCTATCATCACCACCACCACCAAACCACCACCATCATAAATCCACTCCTACCATTCTATTTCCACCACTACACTATCACCCCACCAGCACAGCGTCATTACACCCCCATCATCGTCATCATAACGTCACCATATTGACAGTCTCCACGCCCTACGATCATTACCCCACAAATCATCCCTACAACCATCACAGACCCATCACCACCACGAGCAGTACAGCCTATCACTACAATCCACCCCTACCATTCTACCCCCATCACCATCCCCAACACACCGTTTTACCGCAAATAGTATAGCCCCCACCAGTCCCCGCACCATCACTCCTTGTCACCAGCAACATAGGTCTTCACAGCCACCATCAACCATACCATCCTCACTCCCACCACCATTACAATCACAGCCCCATCACCAACATCACACCCTACTAGTGCCGCCACCAAAGACAAAGATCCCCCGTATAGCCTTATCAGACTGTTGGGGCAAGTGCTGTTAGCGAGCAGCACCTATGAAGGCCGGCACCGCACACGATGGGGATGGGTGGCCAGCACCACGCCCGACCGCCTTTGTCTCCCTAGTGGCGATGTTTACTATACACTGCACCGGGTACCCATTTGAGGCCGAGTAAACCTAGGGGATGTCCAGACCGTGTTCAGATAATCGTCACCAGTGTTGGCCGTGAGCGGGAATCGAACTCGGATGGCCGGGGGTCTGTGAGTGCAGCACGCTAACCGCTACCCTACTGCTCCACCACCACCACCCCACCATTACCCCGACTTGAACTCATCCCATTGTCTCCACCACCCCTCACCCGAACTCATCCCATTGTTTCCACCACCCATCACCCGAACTCATCCCATTGTCTCCACCACCCATCACCCGAACTCATCCCATTGTCACCACCACCCCTCACCCGAACTCATCCCATTGTCTCCACCACCCCTCACCCGAACTCATCCTATTGTCTCCACCACCCCTCACCCGAACTCATCCCATTGTTTCCACCACCCATCACCCGAACTCATCCCATTGTCTCCACCACCCATCACCCGAACTCATCCCATTGTCACCACCACCCCTCACCCGAACTCATCCCATTGTCTCCACCACCCCTCACCCGAACTCATCCCATTGTCTCCACCACCCATCACCCGAACTCATCCCATTGTCTCCACCACCCCTCACCCGGACTCATCCCATTGTCACCACCACCCCTCACCCGAACTCATCCCATTGTCTCCATCACCCCTCACCCGGACTCATCCCATTGTCTCCATCACCCATCACCCGAACTCATCCCATTGTCTCCACCACCCCTCACCCGAACTCATCCCATTGTCCTCCACCACCCCTCACCCGAACTCATCCCATTGTCGCCACCACCCTCACCCGAACTCATCCCATTGTCTCCATCCACCCCTCACCCGAACTCATCCCATTTCTCCACCACCCATCACCCGACTCATCCCATTGTCTCCACCACCCCTCACCCGAACTCATCCCATTGTCTCCACCACCCATCACCCGAACTCATCCCATTGTCACCACCACCCCTCACCCGAACTCATCCCATTGTCTCCACCACCCCTCACCCGGAACTCATCCCATTGTCCCATCACCCCTCACCCGAACTCATCCCATTGTCTCCACCACCCATCACCCGGAACTCACTCCCAATTGTCTCCACCACCACTTCACCCGGACTCATCCCATTGTCTCCACCACCCATCACCCGAACTCATCCCATTGTCACCACCACCCCTCACCCGAACTCATCCCATTGTCTCCACCACCCATCACCCGAACTCATCCCATTGTCACCACCACCCCTCACCCGAACTCATCCCATTGTCTCCACCACCCCTCACCCGAACTCATCCCATTGTCTCCACCACCCCTCACCCGAACTCATCCCATTGTCTCCACCACCCCTCACCCGAACTCATCCCATTGTCTCCACCACCCATCACCCGAACTCATCCCATTGTCTCCACCACCCCTCACCCGAACTCATCCCATTGTCTCCACCATACATCACCCGAACTCATCCCATTGTCACCACCACCCTTCACCCGGACTCATTCCATTGTCACCACCACCCCGACTCATCCCATTGTCTCCATCACCCCAACCCGATTCATCCATTGTCATCCCCCCCCCCGCAGCCCCCCCCCCGCAGCCCCCCCCCGCAGCCCCCCCCCCCGCCCCGCGTGACGTCACGCCGCGGGGTTTTCCTGCTGGAGGCCACCGCCGCCGCCGCCTCTCCTCCGTCTCTCGCCCTCGAACCCTCTCGCTCCGCGGCTCCAGGTGAGAGGCGGTGTGGGCACCCGTCAAACCCTGCCCCATCACCACCACTATCACCACCACCAGCAACAACACAATAATCAAGAGGAACCACGACGAGTGACGGCGTTTGGTGGTGGTGGTGGTGGAGCCGTAGAGCTGAAGCGGCCTAGCCGAGGCCCCGGGCCTGCAGACGAGGAAGTTGACGCGGCGAGAATCTAAACACGAATGCGGTTAAAGGTGGTTGTTGTTGTGGTTGTGATGTGGTTGTTGTGGTGGTTGTGGTTGTTGTGGTTGTGGTTGTTGTGGTGGTTGTGAGTGTTGTGGTGATTGT